TGTCTGTGGTACCTCTCGAGTTTCACCTGTGCCGCCCGAGCAGAGTCTAAACCAACCGGCCGGGCTCGACTTACACGACATACCGTCTATACGATAAAATAATAAACAAAACCCGACAGTGCACCCATACAGCGCTTTCTTATCACGTCGCCCCCCTCGCCACACCAAACCGTTTAACGAATCTGCTTTCTCTCGCTCAAGCAACAACATAAGACTTGTAGGCTCACGGTGCAATTGTGTGTGCCCATTGGACCGGCCACCTTCCAGCAAAGCATCTCTTGTCCTCTTCACGTTACAACCACGATGTCTGTCTTCTCCCTCATCAAGAGATCCAGGCAACAAGCCAAGGAGCACAAGCAAAAACAGGTGGAAAAGACGACAGAGGCCCCCAATGAACCGTATAGGCATGTCCCTACTCATGCCGCCTTTGACGCCCTTTCCGGGGCACCGTCGTCATTCAAGCATGAAGACCGGCCCAGGATCATGGAACAAAACCGGAGGAGGAGTGTCATGGCCTCCAGCGGGTTGACCAAAATGTCTAGACTCTCTCTGCCTCGCGTCTCGAGCAGCCTTTCACACGTCACATACCCCTCCGAAAACGCCACTCCGATGAGTATCATGCCTCGGGCTTACAGCTACAGCGGCGGCCCGCCCGCGGCTCAATTCTGGCACGAACGCAATAAGAACTCCGTGTACTCGGGCACAGATGGCAGTCGCATCTCGCTCAAGGGTAAGGAGGTGGATCGATCCTGGGAGTCAGGTCGCAACAGCCCAACTTCTATCAAGGGTAAGTCCTGCGCGATGGAATCATCATCTTCACCGCAGCTAGTGACTAACATTACCACAGCCGAGTCTCCTACCGGTAGCTCCAGTTATTCGACTAGCTCACAGGAGGACCTGGAGATGAAGCCCGTTCGCCAAAAGTCTGTGCCGCCTGCGCACCGAAACCCTGCGGCTACTACTGATGCTCACCGGCTTCACCCGAGCTCTCGCCGTGCATCGGATGCATCGGAGCGAGGTGATGGCTCCCCCAAGGCGGCCGAATGGTCACCAAACTCGACCGACAGAGCCAAGCCGCCCGTATCGATGCGTGGCTTCAACGCCATCCCGGCAATGTCTCTCCCGCCGATGCAATTGGGGAACACTTTGTCAACCATGCACGGTACTGTTGCTTCCTCTGCCGCCTCGACCATCAGCAATCGCTCCTCGTCCGGCCTCTCGTCCTTCAACTTCAACACCAACAGTGCACCTTTTTCGGCCCCCATGTCTGGCCGATCATCCGCCGCCACCACGCCAGCAGCATGTGTCACACCCGAGCCAGTCTGGGAGTCTGTCGAGGAAGAGGAAAGCGGTTCCTACACGCACGCTCCGTCGTATGCATCCGCTGCTGCCGCTGCAGCTGTTGCGCCGTCCGCCATGAAGCAGAAGGATCGGAGAAGCGCGTCAAAGTCCAAAATCACCCGCTTCACAGAACTTGAAAAGATCGAATCCCACACGGAGAAGCCTGTCGCCGCGCCGACGCAGGACCCCGATGATAAGGACGTCGTCGACGAGGCCATCGCAGTCGAGATGGTGACCGCTACGCCCACCAAAGTCGTCTCGCCGAGCAAATCCGGAAAGCTCTTTTCGAAGCAGGTCGGCTCCAAGCTGGTCAAGAAGAACCGCTGGTCGATAAGGAGCTCCACCGTTGCAGCCTGACGGTAACAAGCGCGGTGCCTCTTCAACCTCCCCCCTCCCCCCCCCACACCGGTCGGCGTTTACACAGTTTCATGCCAGTATCACTACAAACCTTTCTTTTTTCCTTTTCTTTTTTTTTTATCCCGCACGGATACCGCGGTGTTCAACGGCAATTTACCTATCATATCATTCTCTCTTCGTAACAGTCACAACTACAAGGGTCGGTTCACGTGGGTTTCATGAAGATGCACCCCTTTGGCATGAGGTAGAAGAGAGAAAGTGAGAAAAAGTGAGTGAGTGAGAGAGAGAGAGAGAGAGAGAGAGAGAGAGAGAGCGATGGAAAACCGACGAGGATATCCAAAGTTGCTGCAGTTGGGCCTCAGCAACGCGAGACAACACACACACACACACACACACAAAACAACACCTACAGGGACTAGATTGACAACAAAACCGGACTCGGGGGCATAGACCCCTTGCCATGTTTCTTGTCCTACTTGTTTGACGACCATATCATGACCACACATACATAGACATTTTCTTTTCTTTTCATTTCTCGATATACTATTCTAGTACTCTTCTAGCTTATCAAAGCAGAAGAGAAGGGGCCCGGGACGGACCCCTCGGTCCGATGTTGAGAGAGTTTGGGACGGGCGTCAGTCATACACGTGTGTGGGGGGAAAGGCTTTAGTCAGATAAGTCAGACGAAATAATAATAAAAAGCATAAAGCAAAAACAAGGCCCGCGTCTCTCTCTCTTGATTCGATTGATGCTACCCGAGACAGACCGCCCACAACCCAACGCACAAGGCGCGGTCTCACTAGGTATCTGAATGACGACGCGGGTGAGACATTGCCTGGTACGACCCTGTAACTAGCAGCTCGTAGTGGACGGCGGCGGACAAGAGGCCCGCTCAATTAGCCCACGGTTAGCCTCACCGTACCTGGGAACACGATATCTCTCGTCCGGGCGCCATGTGGGCGCAGCCTCGGTTTCGTTCGCGGCGGTATTTTCAAGGGGGGGGGGGGGTCCCGTTCACAGAAAGTCCGTCGTGTGCATTATCTCGCTTGTTTCCTTGCATCAGTCGAATGGTAGGGTGTGTGGGAATCCTGCTGGCTGGCTGGCGTCGTTTCCTAGCGCAGCGGTTCGGACCTCTGGTCTGCGCCTTTGGAAGTCAAATTGCGATCTTCGGTGCCGTCGACCCGTCGGACTCGGTGTTGGCCGTCAGTCAGACGTCTGCCCGGTCAAACGTCTGCCATCGGTCGTCCACACGCCGCCTTGGTGCGGCGCGCTATTTCGTCAGTCCATTTACGAAGAGTGAGCTGATAGCTGTCAATGGCGTAGAGATCGTCAGGGACGATGACGGTCTGGAACCGCCTTCAAATGTTAGAGTGGAGGCTCGGCCGGATATCCTATAAACTCCGTACGCGGACATCTTTGCGAGCGCCTCATGCTGGGGTGCGAGCCCATGAGGCAAGCAATCGGGTGGGGGTTCTCACCCAGCCGCGGACTGTTCTGGGCGGTTGGTGGGGGTCTGGCACGCGCCAGCACACGTTTTATCGACTTCCTGCATATGCCCTGGACTCGGTGGCCTCCAGCTCCCCGATGCAGGAGCATCGTAGAACCCCCTCCTCAATGAGGAAGTGGCTACTGGAGGGATGTCATTTTGTATTGATGCGCTTGCCAGACTTCAGCTGAATATGCATGCAAGGCCAGTAATTATTGAAGTGATGGGAAAGGATTGTGCAGCGCATGGCACATGCGGTACGACTCGGGCGCTTTCATCCTGCCCCCAGCAGCTTCGTCCTTCTCCTCTGTCCGCCCCATCAGCCTAAAGAGACAGCGGGAGATCGCAGTTCTGTCCGTTGGATCCGGGGAGCTGGGCTGGATTCTTGTCTTCGGACGTTGGCTTGCACAGATCCAGCTGATGCGGCCAGTCTTGGCTCCTCAGGCTGCTTTGGCGAGCAAGAAACCCGACGGGGAAGGTGCGAAAATGAGACAGCTGAGCGAGGATGTCTGTTCCCCTCTCTCCCCAGCTAAGCTTCCGCCCGTTTTCGTTGCGGCCAAAGTTTCTCAACTTCCAATGTTTCATATGAAAAAGGTCTCAACCGCTCCCCAGTGGTGCCAGATTCACCATGTGATTGAACAATAGTGGATGGGTTCACAGCCGAGTGGCAAGGGTTACGATGTGAGAGTACGGGTTGGTGCCGGTTTGAGCGAATCTGGTGGACAGAACAGTATTCCATGGGACTCGCGTGGCTTTGTGGACGGGATGGCGGATGGGCGCTTGCAGAAGGAAAGCTGTGTCCGCCGCAGATCAATGTATATATTGACAATTATACATAAACACCGGAACGAGTGGTGGTCCGGTGCTACTCCACACTAACGGGAAGCACCGCAGCTCGGGGAATGCGAGGAAGCTCCTGGTATGTGGGTTGGGTCCGGTCCCAACAGCACGGGACCATCCTTGGACCAGCGATGTCTCGGACGGGACACTGTAAAAAAGTCTGAACGGGTTGATTCGGTGCGATCGTTGAGGCCCGGCAGGATGCCGTTCTGCTCTCCTCTCCAGGCCTTCCATTTTCTCTCCTCCAGAGGGGGCGGATTTCTTCCCATGGTTGAGTATGGCCCTTACGATGTTTGAGTTGATAAACGTGTGGCCATGTGGCAACCTAGAGTGCTGCCATTCCTTCGCTTACCTCTCTTTTAGGGCTGCGATGAAGAAGGATTCCGGCCGGTTGGTACCGAGTTGGCAGGTGCCGAACGAGAAGGGGGGAGACAAATGTTCCTTCCAACCAACAAGAATGCGATTCATAGCAAATCGCATTTTTGGCTTCTGCACCCATCTGAATCCCTGGTGACAGGACGTCTGAACTGCGCACTAATGCAAGGCTGCAGTGTAGGTACCCCGTCCCTCCCCCACAGACCGAAAATAGCTGGAGCATTCCCAGGGGGGTTAGGGGTCTACCCCTCCAACTGTACCTTCCTTCTGGCTCTCCTCGTTGGTTCGATTCGCCAGCCTCGTCAAGCCACAAAAGGGGCCTCCCCAAGAGAGAGCTGTTCCGCATTACGTATCCCAGAACACCCTGAAATGCAGTGCGGTCGGTGGTGCTGCGAATCCAACTGCGCCTGCCTTCACCTCATTGTCTCCGGCTTGAGCTGCAGCTGCGGCAGTCGCAGCGCTTGCTTCTCTTTTCTTTTTTCTTTTTCTGTTTCGCGCAGTGGACACACCAATTGTCCTTTGTTGCCATTTCTGCAACTTTCACTCCTTTCCCTCGACCAAGGGCAGCTCGAGCGCCCACGGTCACTGTTGTGCCGAAGTAATGGACCAAATCACAGAGGCCTCGTGGCCGACTCTCGGCGTCGCACTACTCATTCTTTCCGTCATCGGCCTTCTCACGGTATGTTAATCAGTCTCTCATGGGCTCATGGGCGGTACCCTTTCCTCTAATGTTTTCCCACAATGCGGTTCAATTGAAGCTGACAATTATTCCCGTCGATAGGTCTTCGTAACCCTCCACCTCCTCGCCCCGAAGCCCCGCGCTGTCCTTCCCTCCGAGAAACTTTACCTCACATCTTCTGCCTCGGGAAAGCCAATTCAAGTCTCTGCGCCCTGCTGGTTTGACCGTTGGTCCGCTGAGCGCAGCGTCTCCGAGGCTCGCGCCCACCTGACAGATCCTCGCGATGTCCCCGACTCTGGCGCAACCATCGACCCCGCCGATGTGCGACTCACCGTCGTACTCCCCGCTTACAACGAAGAAAACCGAATCCTGCCCACCCTCGAGGAGGCTGTCGCCTACCTTGATGAGAACTTCGGCCGGCCCTCATCCCCGACCAAGCCCCTCTTCAGCCCTACGACGCCGCACCGACGTACCAAGAACCCGCCCTCCGAAGCCCTGAGCGGCTATGAGATCCTGATCGTGGACGACGGATCCCGAGACAACACTGTCAACGCCTGCCTCGAATTTGCGCAGAAGCAAAGTCTCCATGACGTTATCCGTGTCATCAAGCTTGAGCGCAACCGTGGCAAGGGCGGAGCTGTAACACATGGCTTCCGTCACGCCCGCGGCGAGTATGTGCTCTTTGCCGACGCCGACGGTGCGACCAAGTTCAGTGATGTGGGCCGCCTGATCCAGGGCTGCGAAGATGTCGTCGACGGTTCTCATCGCGGCGTTGCTATTGGCAGTCGTGCCCACCTCGTCGGCAGCGAGGCCGTCGTCAAGGTATGCCCTTTTATTCGACTCCCTCCCATGGTCAAAGTGCTGACAGTACACCTAGCGATCTGCTCTCCGCAATTTCCTCATGCGTTCCTTCCACCTCGTCCTCATGATCCTCACTCCGCCTGCCACGTCTCGCCTCCGCGACACCCAGTGCGGCTTCAAGCTCTTCACCCGCGCCGCCCTTCCGCACATCATTCCTTACATGCACGCCGAGGGCTGGATCTTCGACATCGAGATGCTTTTACTCGCCGAGTCGGCCCCTCCCGCACCTGTGCTTGGAGACGATGGCAGTGTTATTGGCACCAGCCCCGGAATCCGTGTCGCTGAGGTTCCCGTCGACTGGCACGAGGTCCCCGGAAGTAAGCTCAGCGTCATCTCGGACAGCATCAAGATGGCCATTGGTCTGGCGGTGCTCAGGGGTAGCTGGATGATGGGTGTCTATCGTCGTAGACTGACGTAGGGTTTGAGTGCGGGTTTGTAAAGTAAAACAAGCTTCTTTACTCTGTTCATTTTGTTTCGATGGACGAGAGCACTCATGGTCACATACTTTTAGATGAAAAAGAAAAAAGACCGGTAAAAGTTTCACTAGCAGACGCTTGAGTCAGTAAAAAAAACGGCATACGAGGCAGAGACGGGTTTCCCATCTTGCACGATCCATATCTTTCGATTGAAGAATACACTGGTGATATGAGGTGCCATTGCAAAGGTATTTATACCCAATCCTCGGTGTTGGCAAAAACGGCCTGTACCGTTGCAGGCTCGATGAAGCTAGTAGGACAAGACTGATAAAGGGCACCTTCGGCCAAGCGGGCGCCATGTGCTTCAAGTACATGGAGCAGCCGGGCAAGTAGCAAGATGCCAGTGATATCGACTATGTGTCTCCAAGCCGATAAAATCGTCCTGGACTAGCATCACACGCATGAGGCGCACATGTGGGAAATAGCTAGTTAGGATAAAATAGTCCGTTGGGATAATGAAAAGAGATACAACCCCAGAGATTCACTGGTCACCGCCGATCTCGCTACTGCTCCCTGCGGGGGGGGTATGGTAGATGGCCCGTTCCGGCCATTATCACGCTGTGCACAGTCATGGATAAATCCATGGTTTGTTCCAGCGAGAACATATAAACCATCGCGAGGCTATTCTCTAGCGCCACAGTCGAAACCAAGGGCCTCAGCCATCACCACTACTACCACCGCATACCAACCGCCGGGGAGAGGGAAAAGGTTTATATCAGGCCACGACGGTCGCAGTGCATGTGCTTAGTTAAGGAGCTGGCACCAAGGGACTGCCATGCCTGAACGGGACGGGGCTGCTTCGGTTTTTGTCCGAGAGGGCTCTTGCTTGACTTCGGCCGTTACCCTGCTGTTTTCTGGTCAAAGGCACACGGTTTTTGTTGGACAGCCCTTGGCCGACGCCGCGAAAGCCTCTCGAGACTTCCTCGGCCTGGAAGAGCGAACAGGGCTTGAACAACTCACTCACGGAGCCCGCTCCTGATGTCAGCGCCACCATTGCTCTCACGGCGTCGCTGGATCGAGCCGGCTCCGGCCGGAGAGGCCAGAGTATCGCGACCGCCTATACTCGCTCGTAGTAGAGTCTTGCCAGAAGTTCTCGGATGTTGTGGAGAGGTTTGTGTCTTTCGAACCAGAAACCACCGCGCTGGTTTGGGGCTCTATAAAGTTGGCTTTAGCGGTTCGCCAAGAACAACAGACATTAATCTTCTGGGGCGTGGCTCAACGAGTGTCCAGACTCTTGGCAGCTGGGAGTTCCACAGACCCCAAGAATTGGGCCACGCGTCGTGGTATGAAACGAGCAGGCGATATTTGATCCTGTCTTGGGCACATAACCTGACTTTCGGCAACTACTGATTGCACAAAAGATCTTGGGCACAGCTAGGGGGGGTTCACAAGTTCCAGTCTCTCTGGCTGACCAAAGGACGGACATGGACCCGCAGGCTTTGGCATTGAGCTACATCGTTGCTGGAAGTGCCGGCGAGTCTGGTCCGCTATGGATGCGCACGTCAGAGATATTTAAACCGATTATTATTAAAATATGGTCTGATGCACCGGTATCTAGGCCTAGTGATCCAACGATCTGCTCATGGTCTGTCGTATGTGTGATTAAGTGTATGTATATATACAGCCCGGATACCGTCCTGACAGAGGACCCGGGAAGGGGGATCCAAGCCCCTTTATTTTCTCTTCGTTGGTTCATTTGCTCATCACACCAACGCCTCTTGCTCATGTCTAATAACTCGCTTTTCCAAGAATCTAGCACATACACCTTTGTTCTAGTTCAGCTCACGCCACATGACGGGCAGGAACACGACACTCGCCCTCCAGAGAATCAGGATGCCGTCAATGAGCGCCAGGGGCGCTTTGAGGAAGCCAAAGACGCTGCCGCTCATAAGGTCGAGGGCGTTGATCCAGATGGCGAGGAAGGCGACGCTGAAGAAGTGGTACGCGAGCTTCGACGGCTGGTGCATAAGCCCGCCCATGAGAGCCATGGGCTCCGATGCGTGGCCGCGCTGGAAGTACTCGAAACAGCCCAGCTGCAGGGCGCGCAGCTGGCGGTCGTTGGCCGCGAACAGGGCGTACAGGGCCATGGCCAGCACGTTGATGATGGAGGTCAGGCTCTTGCGGCGCCAGTGGAACTCGCGGAGCGCGTTCTTGATGGCGATTGGGTCGGCGAGGTCAGTCACGCGCGAGGGGTGAAGCAGATCGGAAAGGATGACGCAGTCGTTGAAGGCAACAGTCATGCCGCCACCCGTCAGAGGGTGACGCATGTTGAGGGCGTCACCGAGCAGGAGCATGCCGTTTAGAGTCTGGCGGGAGGGGGGCAGGTACGAGTTTGGCATGGAGGGCGGGATCTTGCCGTCGGCGAGTGCAGCTTCGAAGCACGGCCGCATCTGGGGTGGCAACGTCGGCATGACAACGTTCTTGATGTAGCCGCGGACGCCGCCGGCGGCGGGCGAGGCCTCGGGAATGTTGGCGGGGACGTCGATGAGAGCGCGGGTCTCGTGGGTGCCAATCTGGTACATGAGGACAGGGAAAGCCTTGCCGATGACGACGTGGCCGAAGCCGGGCGAGGGCATGGGGGCGTCGATGAGCTCGAGGGCATAGAACTTGGACTTGACGACGGGGGCCTGGGGGATGCACTCCTTGCGGAACTTGGAGGCATAGCCATCGGCGATGATGGTCAGCTGGCCAAAGAAGAAGTCGTCCTTCTTCTGGCCCGTCGCGGGGTCCGTCGTCTTGGACCTGACGCCCAGGACCGTGTCTTTGTCATCGCCGCGTATCGTTGCCGTCACCTCGGTCTCGAAGATGGTGATGTTCTTCTGCTTCTGGCAGGCCTTGCGGAGGTTCATGATGAAGCGGCCGTGGTGGAAACTCCGGCCCTCCTTCTGCTTCGCGCTCGAAGCCGTCGTCTCGTTGTTGGCGGAGGGGTGGATCATGCGGCCGTTGTCGTCGAAGGAGGGGTAGGGGACGTCGACCCCCTGGCCGTGGTAGCTGACTTTGTAGCCGTAGCAGGGCACAGCATCAATGCCCTCGAGGGTGTCGGCCAGACCCAGTTGACGCAGGGCGACGATGCCGCCAGGCTGCAGAAGTTCACCGACGATGCGATTGGGCTCCTTCATCCATCTTTCGAGCAAGATGACGCTTCTTCCCTGCTGGGCCAAAGCGTAGGCAATGGCGGTGCCAAAGACGCCGGCGCCTACAACGACGACATCGGCCTCGTGGTACTTGCTGCGGCGCTCGGCGCGAGCGTCGGCGACTGCTGTCGGGCTTTCTATCATTTCAATCCGACTTGGAAGGAATTGTCTGGCGGGATTGGTTTGCTGTTGAAGCGAGTGGCGGGGCCGTCTTGGTCTGTCGCCGAACGAGGTAGTGTCGTCGAAGGGAAGGGGAAGAAAGTGAGATCAGGCACCGTTGTCGACTTTTAAGAGAGATGAGTGGTTAGGAGGAAGGCGGTTAATTGGGTGGTTAGACCTGTCGTTCGTCCCGTCTCGAACGATACGCAGGAATAGTGGTGTTGCAGCAGCAGATCAATGGAAGATAAAATAAAATAAAAAAGGCGCCATGAGTGGACAATTTAGTTTATTGCAAGGCCCCTTGTACAATACCATGGGCGACTTGGTCAGGGGTAACTGTTTGGTTCGTTCTCCGCGAACTGACAGAGAGGAGAGTACCTAGGTAGGTAGGTAAGTACGGATAGGTAGTGTAAGTACACTACACTACCTAACAGGTACCTACGCTATTCTCGAGCCCCCCCACCAGTACTTACCATTACGTGTGATCAAGCATGTTCCTTGATGTACACATCCCCCTCCCCCCCCCCCCCCCCCCCCCCGAAAAACATCTTGCTTTGGTGGCGTACCTATCTACGCTCGCAGAGGATCTAGAAAAATTACAGAAGGCGATCTCGACAACAAAGTCGTCCCATAGCGGCTCCCGCCGTTGCAATCGGGCCAATCGTCGCGCTCCAATCGGTGCCCACACACCGCCCATTTCACGTGTCGAACCACGGTCATGCGTAATGGATTTTCTGGCTTCGCTTCCTGCTCCGCCCAACCGAGTCCCTGACTTTTCCTTTTCGTTTTTATTTGACAGGCAACCCACGGATGGATACTTGCAATGCTAGTAAAACTGGACCCCCCAGATCTGCCCCTGCGTCTTGGGAGCTGCTGTCCGTCCCAGGCTAGATCCAAATCAAGAAACACCCGAGTGAGCTGACGTGCCCCCATCGAAGCAAGCCGTTCGAACGTCTGACCACCCGGCCACTCAGGTCAGACGGCTTTGCGTACCTCGTCACCTTTAACATCCTCTTCGTGGTAGCTGTCACTAGATGTTGGCCGACATGGTTTGGGGAGACTTGTGCAAAAAAAGGGGCCTTGCTGGTGCCATTTCCCCAATACCCCGGTAGCCCATCATGGCGACTCTACTCACGCTACAGATAGTTGCGCCACCTCCCATATAGGTAGGTAGGTCTCTTTCTATAATACCTAGGTACGTGGACTTACACTCTGTGTGCCTCATTGCACGCCTTGGCTGTATCTCGTATCTGTCCGATAAATCAAACGCAACCCGCATCAGGCCACATGCCGTTTCTGGACGTGCTGAGAGCGTGCTCGACCCGATGTTATGGATACCTACCGGACAACCCAGATCCTGAGGCTCTTGCACCTACACGTCCCGACACTTGTGACCTCCTGCCCGGTCCATGCCATTATATCTTCAACCAAGGTATCGAGTCTGCCTGCGGGACTGTTGGCTTAAGCGGGCTCCCTTGCGTCACATGTGAATACACGTTAGCAAAGACTTCGTCGTCATGAGAGAGTTGTAAACGTAAAAGCCATTCGGGAAGCTTGGCACCGAGAAGTATAGAGACATCGTGGGGTTGAGGCTTTCTGTATCTGGGGCCATGCTAGTCTCGCTGCCTTTTGTTAAATGCACTTGTTACTCTGTTCCATGATAATCGTCTTAAGTCGATATTGGACACCCTTCAACTGCTGCTTCGGCGACGGATAACTCAACACCCCCCTGGCTTGGGAGAATAATAAAAAAAAAAAAATCTATTTCTGGTTCTGGTGCTTCATGAACTGCTTTGACCACTTGTCGTACCCGTCGAGCATCTGCCGCGTGATGCCCTTGGGCACCAACTGGATGGCCTGCACGATGTCCTCCATGCAAACCCGCGCCTGCTCCCCCTCCTTGCCGGCCGTCGTCCTGTTCAGCGCCTTGCTCAGCGCCGGCTCCGTCGCGACGTTGACGATCTGCTTGATCTCAGCGCCCGAGAAGCCCTCGGACAGCCGCGAGAGCTCGGCGACGTCGATGTCGGGCGCCAGCGGGAGCTTGCGCAGGTACAGGTTGAAGACGGCCTCCCGCCCGGCGGCGTCGGGCGGCCCCACGTACACGATACGGTCGAACCGGCCGGGGCGGAGGAGGGCCGGGTCCATGGCCTCCGGTCGGTTGGTCGCCGCGAGGATCAGCACCCCGGAAAGCGCCTCGAAGCCGTCCATCTCGGTGAGGAGAGTCGTGAGCATGTTGACGGACCCCTGGCTCTTTGCGGCGGCAGCGCCGCCACCGCCGCCCGCCCCGCCCGCGCGCTGGCCGCCGATGGAGTCGATCTCGTCGAAGAAGATGATGCTGGGGCTCGCGGCGCGCGCGCGCTCAAACAGCTGGCGCACCGCACGCTCCGACTCGCCCACGTACATGTTGAGCAGCTCGGCGCCCTTGACGGCGAAGAAGTTGAAGCCCGACTCGGTCGCCATGGCCTGCGCGGACAGCGTCTTAGAGCAGCCTGGCGGGCCGTAGAGGAGGAGACCCTTGGGCGGCGTCAGGATGAGCTTCTGCACGCCGGGGTCGTTGGTCGTGGTGAGCGTGATCATGTTGCGCAGGGCGCTCTTGAGGCTCTCCTGGCCGCCGACGTCTTGCCAGTGGATCGTGGGCGGCTTGAGATTCACGTCGTGCATGGCCGTCGGCCTCGTGGAGCGCAGTGCCTGCTCCAGGTCCTCTCGCGAGAGGTATGGCGTCCCCATCGTCTCCTCGTCGTATCCGGCTTCGTCGGGGTCCAGCCGCTCTGCTGAAATCATCATCGAGTTCTCGATGAGCCTGTCGAGATCGCTTGCATTGAACGCGTGTGTCTGCTGTGCCAGCTTGTCCAGCATGGCGTCCTTGATCTCTGGCTGGATAGGGATGTCGAATGACTTGAGGATCTCCAGTCGACCCTCAGCGTTGGGTATGGAAAGGGCTATGTTCCGCTCGAACCTCGTCCTTTTCTGCAGCTCCGGGGGCACGTCGGTCATGTAGTCCAGACAAGTGGCGACGACAACCACCTTGGGCAGGGTGCCGTTTTTCAGGGCGTCCTCGGCCAGCTGGTCGAGCTGCTGTCCCAGTCTTTGGATGATGGCCGTGGAGTTCGCCCTGTCCTTCCCGATCAACGCCTGCAGACCGTCGATGAGAACGATGCTGGGCTGCATCGTCCGCGCCTGCTTGAAGACCTCCTCGACGGTGGACGATTTGTCGTTCTCCTCGATCCGGAAGACTCTGCCCCAGCCCGTGGCCGCTATCCGGCTCAGGATATACGACTTTCCGGTGCCGCGGCCGCCGTGGATGACGATGCCGCACGACTTCTGTTGGCCCTTGTAGACTAAGTTGGTGTTGAAGCCGCGGAAGAAGCTCCTCAGCTTCTGCTCCTCGGCGTGTAGGCCCGGGATATTGGAGACGACGAGCCGTTTTACATCCCGGACGACCTCCTGGACGGGCTCTTCCCCCTCGCCCAAAACGATACGCGTTACTGTCGACACAACATAGCGGGCGACGTTGTCGGTTTGGCCGTCGACGGTTGTGATTCTGAAGGTTTGCTTCACCCCCGACGCCACACACTCGAACTTCATGCCGGGGAACACTTGCTCGGCACGTGCTGTGCGATGTCAGTACTGTTCAGAGTGTAACCCGGGGGCCACGAAGGTCGCAAATGCGCATCGTGAACCGGTATAGGCTTGGTAGGACGGACCGAGATAGAACCGAATCACTCCGATCCATGCGCCCTCCCACGCACTGATATCTGCCTTCTCCCTCTCCGACGTGGTCATAGGCAGAACGTTTACCGTTTCGGCGTCGGGGACGGCGGACTTCTCACACATGGTGATTGTGACATGATCGCCCAGATCGAATCCGCAGGCTTCGCGGTACGCCTCGCTCATGAGGATGATGTTAGGGCTGATGTTCTTGTCAGATAGGGTCCAGAGCGCCGCCTCACGGCGCAGCTCCGCGGCGGACTTGGTCGCATCTTGAGCGGCGGTCCTTGTTACGATGCAGCGGCGGCCGTTGTCGATACTGCCCGTGAGCTGGATGAGAGCGTCCCGGTTGACGTAGATGCGCGATGCGCCCTTTAGGGTCGCCTTTTCGAGCGTCTTGTCGAAGGGTGCGAGGGGACGGACCTTGCCGTCGATGGTCTTGGCCATCTTTTCTATCGTTATCGTCGTTGTCTTCGTCGGTGTATTCGTAAGTGTATTCGTCTCTTTGGTGAGTTGCTGTTTCTTGCCAATGGTGTAGGGCCAGACTGGGGTATGACATGAAGAAAACCCTGCTATAAGAGATCGGGGAACGATGAGTTTTCTGTAGGTGTGCACAGCGATCACACCAGTCTTGACTCACAGTTTCTCACCAGAGGGCTCACCCTGATAAATTAGATCCGAACAGGCGTTGCAATTTTAATTTTAATTTTTACACGACTTCCTCGGTTTGGCGGTTAAAGCTATTGTTCCCGGGCTAATGAACCAAAGCCCATCAGCTCGTGTAAGTGCTCGCTCATCCAGAGAAGTGACCTGTGAAAAATTCAAACAGGTAGACCAGCTAACGGTAGGCTTATAGTACTTCTATCCTAAAAGGGCCCTTGACTTCTATGGTTTAGCAGGCATAGAAACACAGTGAGAGTATTCATGCCTGATACATAACACGATATGAGGTTCAAGCAGAAATACTAGAGAGGTATCTGGGCATTTACCCTATTGACTACTGGGGACTATGTTTCTATCACAATATTGTGTACCTGAGCGACCCTATGACGGACCGCCATGGATCAGTACCTAGGTGAAAAATTCAAAGTCCCCCCTAACAATTTTCCTTCCAGCACCGGCCCCACCCCAGCTCGGGTACGGGGGTACCTCCCTGCAAGTGTCCAACGTCGCATCGCCGGGGCGGCCAGCGAAGAAAGCCCGTCAAGCCCAGCTCCGACCTCGTCCCTCACGAACTTTGAATTGACGAATAACTCTTCCGCTCCTTCACCAAACTCCCACGACGACAATTCAGAGCCAATAACGAACGACGCGCCGCCCGCTCGCCGCGACACAGCTTCCCTCCGGGCCCCATGCAATGGGCTGACCTCCGAGGGCTGAGCAGCTTGACCCGAAGAGGAGTTGCCCGGATGACCACGACCGCCGCCCGCCAACGGCTACCGCTGTTGCCCCCCCCGCGCGTACCGACGCAGCGATGGCGCGATAGGCCTCGCACTGCCGGCGAGGTGCGGCCCTTCTCCGCGGCAGCGGGTCGGAGGACCGACAAGCCCTCGCGGACCCAGCCGAGGCCGAAGCCCCCCTCCCTGTTCGAGGAGCTATTCCCGCACGACGACCCCTCGGCACTATCGACGCGCGGGAGCAACGGCCAAAACCGGAGGGGAGCCCCGAACCCATCGAGCAAGGACGAGGGGGGCGGGAAAGTCAAGGTCCGCTTCCTGACGTCCACGGACACCGGGAGACCCGACACGACAGAGTACCAGCAGAAGGTGCTCAAGTTCAAGCAGAAACCCAGACATGCCGAGCGTCACGCGTCGTCCGCAGCCATCGTCGACCTCCTCGAGTCGCAGGCGCGTGCGAAGAAGGACCGGGCCGAGGCGGCAGGAGGAGAGAGCCCCTCACTCTTCAACGAGCTCTTCTCGAACCGCGATCCCGGATCAACGGCGCCGGGGGGGACAGCAAGGCGAGCAGAAGCCGAGCAACACCTGTCCGAGGACCGGCACGTCAACCACGACGACCTCCAGTCCTGGCTCGACTCTCTCCCCAAGGGTGACGCCGATACCGCCGCCGATGCAGCCACCACGGCGACGTCCTTAGCCACCCGCCCCGCCATGCTCGTCCTTTCCAACGCCAGCCCGAACCTCCAGGAGAGCGACTTCTACCGCATCGGCCCCCAGGGCCACCACCTCGACGGCTGGTCCTCCTCCATCCGCAAGGTGATGCAGGCGTACGACTACAGCACCCTCGAGCCCATGGACCGCTACTTCATCCTCTTCGACTCGTACGCCGCCGCCGAGTCCTACCAGAAGGAGGCGCAGCGCCGCCACGCCGCCGCCCGCCGCTCCCTCCTCTCCGCCGTGGCCCCTCTGGCCTTCGCCTCCCGCGCCGTCGAGGGCGGCTCGGCGCCTTCCCCCTCAATCTTCACCCTCGCGCCGCCGTCCAGGGCGCCCCTGAGCCTGCACCTCTACAAGCTTGACCGCGCGACCGAGGCCCGCCTCGGCACTTTCAGCGTCCAGGGCCTGCTGAGCATGACGCCCGAGCCGCCCCCGCGCGCAAACTCCCACGTCATTCTCTGCATCGACGGCGGCACCGTCGACCAGCGCATGCTGACCCACTGGCTACGCCGCGACGGGCGTGAGCGGAACCTCGGCTGGCCGGTGCAGCACATGCGTCCTTACTTCGCGCCCAAGCTCGACGACCGCACCGTCACGCCGGGCGAGGCCCAAGAGGTCGACGACGAGCCCGGCTGGCGGGACGACGACGGCGACGACGACGCGCCGCCGCCGCTGGTCGACGCCGAGGGACAGCAGAAGGGCGGCGGGCCCGACGAGAACGCCGTGTCGGCTCGCTTTGTGCTGTCGTTCCCGGACGTGCACGAGGCGCGGCGTTTCGTCCGCGCGTGGCACCGGAGGGAGTTTGTGCTGGCCAACGGTTCGACCGTTGTGTTGAACACCTACGTCGTATGGTGACCCACGGAGCGGCCACGCCGGCCCTTACTGTACTATGTTGGCTCTATGGACGTGCCTCATAGAGCAGCTTCTTCATCAAAATCACCTGTAAGAATAACATAGAAGGGTACTTTATCAGCCTTGTATCAGTGGCCTCGGCCTCACCATTGGCCTCGGACGAAGATTGAGGGGAGGGAAGGAGGATAAAAGATGTATTATAAAACCCAGAAATAGAACCCGAAACTCCAGGCCAGATATTTGCTCTCGTCGGGGAAAGGCGTTATCGGCAAGAAACCACATGACAATGGCCACACAGTGCTCTCTTTCCGTTCAAGGGGGGGCGGGGGGCCGTAGAGTAGGCAGGCAGATCGGTTAGCGCCGCCATGTACCTTCTCTCTCCCAGCCGCGGCCGACCGGCCTACCGTAAAACCGACGTACTAGTGATTTCCCCTCTTCCCCGCCCATCCTCCCGCCGCAATGCCCGGGACTGCTTCTGGGCTTCCCCGATCATTTCTTCCATTCCCCGACTTCGTCTGTCTCTCTATGGCGGCCAGGTCGGCCATGAGCCCCATGATGCCGGACGCCTTTCCTTCTTCGCACGTCTTCTGCCCCAATGCGCTGTGTCCCCGGCGGCAGCGCAGAACCGACCAACAAAAGCCGCAACCAAGTCTTGTTCTCTCTTTCTCTCTCTCAAGACAGCGCAAAATCAAAGGTCTCGTCCGTGTCCTTCTTTAACAGCACTTCCCGCCGGCTCCACTCTGCTCGCCGACGTTGACGCCTGAGGCAGCGGGCTGCTCGTTCTTCTGGTTGTCGATTAGGCGCTTCTTGATGTCGGCGGCGAGGGAGTAGAAGGCCTTGTCGATGTTGATGTTGCTCTTGGCAGAGACCTCGAGGAAGGGGATGCCGAGCTCGTCGGCGAGCTGCTGGCCGCGCTCGGTCGACACAACGCGCTTCTCCTCCCAGTCGCACTTGTTGCCGATAAGAATCTTGTTGACGCCCTCGGTGGCGTGTTGCTCGACGTTGGCGAACCAGGTGCGGATGTCTGTGTTGGTAGAGTGGTCAGCTTCTTGTCACCTGTCTCCTGTCTCATACGGGTGTGTCTGCGGTGGCGGCGGGGAACCTCGGCCAGCTCGCAGTAAAAGACCATACCAACGCAAACACACCAGGGGAGACGTACTGTTAAAGGACCGCTCGTCGGTGACGTCGTAGACGAGGAGAATACCCATGGCGCCGCGGTAGTAGGCGGTGGTGATGGTACGGAAGCGCTCCTGGCCGGCGGTATCCCAGATCTGGAGCTTGACACGCTTGCCGTCCAGCTCAATGGTGCGGATCTTGAAATCGATGCCGATGGTCGTGATGAATGAAGGAGTGAATGAGTCTTCGCTGAAGCGTAACAGGCAGCAGGACTTGCCTACGCCCGAGTCGCCGATCAGCAGCAGCTTGATCTGGAGTGCTTGTCAGTCACATGTGAACACGATGTCATGTTCATTTCGCTGGTGGGTTTTTTCGACGAGAAAAGGGGCAGATGGCCCTCAAGAAGGTACGCTCGGGCATGGGCAACCCCCCTCGAGCAAAGGGCGGGACGAGAGGTAGGGAGGGGCAGCGGCAATTGGCACATACAAGGAAGTCGTAATTGCGGTTGCTCGACATTTTGGCGGCGGCGGGTGGTCAGGGACTAAGAACCGAAGGGGCCGATCTTGAAGGGAATCGTTGCTTCTCGGGCCGGCGTGAGGGGGGATATCGGGCGAGTTTGTTGTGATCGGGAATACTGGGAGGGACGGAGAGGATTGTCGCGATGTTCGTCGTCGGATTCGGGGGTATCGGGGGGTAAGAAGGGAATCGGGTTTGGGACGTGGTCAGGAAATCGGCCTAGGCAGTCTAACGCTCGTAGAATAGGTAGGCAGGTAGTAGGTATGTAGTCGGTTCTGGGATGCAGTAGGCGACCTGAGGCGAGGGACTGTACAGTCCACTTTACTGTGAGGTACGTAGCGCAAAGCGGCGCAGCGTACCTAGGTAGTGTCCCGTCGAATCGCTTGGCTTTTTTGGGAGGGGGGAAGGGGGGGAAGAGTGGTGCTGTCGTCTGGGGTAAGACACGACCCGGCCTTTTCTTGCTTGACCGTGACCCGGTGCTTGTTGTGCTTGTGCTGGCTGGAACCGCTGGGACAGGGACTAACGGATCTGTTGCCCAGCGGTGAAGTGAACTTGATCGGCTGGATACCTGTTAATATACCGTCGGCAACGTGTATTACGCTGGCTCCTTCAGAGGATTGTTTTCTTCTTCTTCTTCTTCTTCTTCTTCTATTTTGCAAGGTGTGCAATGCGCTGTTCTCTTTACACTGCTCTCTGGTAACACTGCGTCGCTTTACTTTTCTGCAGATGCGCTTGGATCGACCGTGGAGGTTTTGCTTCTCTTCCAACCTTCCCTCCCCTCCGACGCCGATCCGACGCCGTCGCGTCTCCTTACCGGGCACCGTAATATGCTGTCCTACCTATAGGCTGTCCTTGCTGGTCATAGAATGAAGCGGAATGTAGGAACACCACTGGAACCGGCTCGTTGAAGACATCACGGTGCAACGAGCTCTTGTCCCGGGGTGTCTTTATCGTTACCTACCTCGAGTTATCCCGAACCGGCGGCCCCTTGCCTCTTCAGTGCCAGCTAGGTAAGCTGCCATCGGTCTCCCGCCTCCGCCAGGCTTGCCAGGGGGAGGGGTGAGGGGGTTTCCAAAGCAACGTCATCGCACTGTCTTGCCCCAGGGTCCAGGTCCAAAGCTTGGTCACAGGAACCCAAAGTACCTACCTACTCTAGTACTCAGTAGGCGGCTCATCATCACAAGGGGCAGCAGTCTCACACACCATGCCCCCTGGGAGGTTGGCCAACTCTGACGCCCAGCCTACGTTTCTAGCCTGTTCCGGTCAATAACGCCACCAGTTTGGTAATCATGTGCAATTGTGTGTAATGAATCAACTTTTCGTTTTAACCGCTGTCCCTGGTGACAAATGCCGCCTGCTAAGCCCCGGTGCCAGTTTGCGATGCTCTGTTGACAATTCGTGATGCCTCCAGCGAATGTACAGATATGGTACATGTTCCGCTGAGAGGCAGTTCCCGCTGTGCATAGTAAAAGTGACCTGAATGCTGAAACCTGTAAGACCGTGTATCCATGCGAATCGTTATTGCGCCCAAGGCTATTTCTTCCCCTCCGTCATATTCACTGGAGCCACCTGGCGTAGGCCCAGCGAATTCGATCCAACGCTCTAACCTGCACCTGAATGCCTTTCAGGTTGGCGAGGTCATCCAAATCCTCAAGAAACTCTCTCTGCCTATCGCGGGGAAGCACTCCCTGCATCAGGCTGCGCAGCACGTGCACCTCGCACAGAAGGAGACCGTGGTCCTTGTACGAGAGAAGGTTGTTCTGTGACGGCGTCGCCTCCGAGAAGATGCGGTCAATGTTGCGCAACACTCTGATACTTTTCCCAGCCTTGTGGCTGTGACGGGCTCCCTTCCGGGCGCCAAAGATGCCGCGTAGATACTGGACAATGCCAATCGAGACGAGCACACCGGGGGTCAGACCCACGAAGCCAAAGACCAGTTCCTGGCTCTTGAGCAAAGAGTCGATCCCGCTGATGGCCACCTCTAGATCGACCTTGGTCTTCTGCACTTGGATGAGAAGGGACCGAACTAGGTCGCCCTTGACGGCGCCCACGAAGGGGCTTCGCAAGTCCTTCTCAAATGCGCGGAGCACCGGCGTGACGTCTCCTTCGCCGACCTTGGCCCTGATAGTGGCGATCTGGGCGTCGCTGAGGGAGGAACCATTGCCTACAAACTGAGGCTTGTCCAAGGCAAAGTCCACCACCATGCGCTCCAAGCTCTCCCGGTCGGCTTTGAGGCTGTCCCGGCTCATGATGGCGATCTCGCTGCTTGAGTCGTGGCGGATAGTTCCCACAATCTTGCGTGTCGGCTCGACAACCCAGTTGAACCAAAAGTCGCGCATGGTAGCACCAATATCCTGAATCCAGCCGAGAATCTCTGCACGCCGGTTGGCGAGAAGCCGGAGGATAGTCGTCGATGACAGCAGAGCTGCTGTCGCAGGCAACCAGTACCGAATGAAGCGTGACGGGCGACCGTTGTCGCGCACAAGCATCTGCGCCGCGGCGACATGGCTGGGGAGACCGGTATCGAGGATATTGAGGAGACGTCGGGCGAGAACAGAGGGCTTTTCTACAGCGTTGGCGTCCTCGATGTGGATACTAAGTTCCGGATCTTCCTCTACGCCGGCGAACACCTTGTCCTCGAACTCGGCAACCCCGGACTCGAGAACAAGAGCTTCTTTGAGGACCATGTCCATGAGGGCCACGCTCCTCTCCACCACACCTTTCCAGTCGTGGCTGCTGACACCTGCCTCGCTCTTGTCGTCGTCGTCGTCGCCGCCGAATGTCAGTCCTTCATCAACCAGCACGCCGAGGCCGCTTGCGATCATATCTCGCAAACGTCTGAGATGTGCCAGTTTTCTCCTGGCCTCACCGCGACTCAGGGCCACCGGCGAAAGGACCTTGCGCTGGAGGGTCGTGATCGAGGAGTCCCTGATACTGTCCCGAACGATGCCATAGAACTGCTTCCACCGATCAGACAGGCCAATACGCGTGGACTCGACGAGTTCTCCTGGCGTTTGGCTGAGATTCTGTATGCGGTGCTTGCTCTCGCGATAGACGTCCTTGGTCAGAGCCCACAAACGTAAAGGCGACGTCTGGACTGTGTAAAGACTGCTATAAGTGTAAGAGCTCAAAACCTCGTCCCAGTACCACATCTCGTCGCTCAGGGGGATGATCTGGTCCAGGAGAACGTTTAAGATGATTCCATAGGTTTGCACAGTGGCTTTGCTGATGAGTAGCCATTCGATTTCGGATTGATAATGACCTCGGCCAGCCCCTTCGTTCTGCTCCGCGTGAAAATCCCATTCCGCGAGTTTCGACTGATGCAGAAGGGCGTGGATCCTATGGGAAGGGAGTAGGGAGAGCGAGGACGAAGTAGTAGATAGAGCTCTCGCGATGCGGAGGAGCTCGTCGATTCTCGGGGACGAAAAGGCGTCTACCGCGGCAGAGTTGAAAATGCCATGTTCCTCAGCAGAAAGCTCGCCATCATCTTGGGAGAGGCTAAGGCCCAGAGGGATCCGGTCCAGCTGCGCGTCTAGGCGACGGACTTGGCTGTGCGCAGGGAGAAGGCGGATGTCAATAACGGGTTGTTTTTGGGTTGACGGAAAGTCAAAGGCGGGGGAAATATGGGACGGAATATACTTACTCGGCCACAACAGACATTATCGCTTCTCACTCAGAGCACTCCTCCTCCACATTAATGCGTCGGGCGTGAGTCTTGAGGCCGGGGCTGTGAAGACCGGAGTCGCGTGAAGTTGGGATTAGACACACACAGAGTGAACCGAGTGGAAGTTTGGTTTAGACGTCATCAGGTAAGCAAATGCCAATGCCCCGGACAACACAACACTCGGGCCTGGGCCTGTGGGGGGCCAACTACGCGGTGAAGGGTGGGAGCGGAATGACGGGTGGGTGCCTGAGGTGTCTTGGCCATCAGAGTGAGCTGGAGTCGTTGACGGAGCTAGACCGCCGGGACAGCATCGGTGCCACGGCTTCGCGCCAAGAACAGCATCCCAAAGCGAAACGCGACCACAGGCCCACCACAGCTTTGTCAAAATCGCATATTTGGCAAGGGTGCAAGTCTAATCGGAAAATGGAGAGAATGACGGCAGCATACGGTTCTTTGCCCGCCAGGGAATATTGCATGGCTGCCGGTGCCGGACATTGTGTTACCTCGATAGCGGCGTGGAAGCCTAGGACGCACAGGTTCAATACAGGATAAGCATCACAACGCCAGATGGCACTGCAGCTGTTCTTTCACAAGGGGCATGTATCGTGGCTGAAAACTGGAAGATGAAATTATCAAAAGAGCATCCGGACTACCTAACCTACAAGCTGACAAAGCCTAACCTAGGTGCACTACACTACGGATACAAGCTATGGATATAAGTCACTGAGCAATAGGTCGGATCAAGCCCAACCGTAACACGCCATTGTGCCATGTGCCCCCTCTGTCCGTGTCCAAAAGTTCCAATGGAAAAGTGGCGGCGATAAGTAACGGTCAATTCACCATGATAGAGCATCGCATCCCAACAGGGGGTACGCCCTCGGCCCGTTCTGACAAGCACACGAAGGCGGCGCCGTGGCGCGACGGCACACCCAGTGGTCAGGTGGATCGCGTCGGCAATCGAGTATTAGCAGAGTTGAGAAGCTATGGGAAAATGTCATTCCTCCATCTTCCGGCTCCAGAGCTACTGCTCCAAACTAGTAGCGCCAAGTCCAAGACATCAGCGAGACGTGCAACAGTGCAATGCGTCTTCCCCCCCCCCCATATTCGTATTCGTGTTGAGGTACCTGGCTGGGTACGTACCACACATCTAAGTGACTTATATTCAGCCCGGCCGCGCCGTCCACGCAACGCAAATTGATAGGCGTAACATGGAAAAAGTCGAGGTGCGAGGTGCTTCATGCAGGGCGATAAGATAGGGCAAGTCTATCAAGTATACTTCATAGAGAATCGGCCTCCTAGCATTGCTCGTCACGGGGCAAGCACAGAGCGGGTAAAGGGGCGCTCCAATGACAAGTAGACATTGTTGGCCTCCCATCTAACATATCTATTGGTAATTCTCGGTTCAACGTCGATTTTAAATTGGCATTAGATCAGACTGTTTGTTGTTGCTGCTGCTGCTGCCGCCATTGTCAGCAACGTGCCTGTTGTACACTACCTTGGGAGCTTGAATACGAGTCAACAGCAAACAGCAGAAAGGAAAGAGAAGCTTTGTTCAATGATCCATACTATGTAGGCACCGTGCACTCGAATCAACGCCACTACCGCCCCTTCAACCACTATGATTGGCGGCGTCAACCCAACTGGGCCACAACTTGCACGTCCTTTTGCCTCTCGAAATCTCTCTCTGAATACCTACCACCCACGGATACTTGTAGGTACCCTCCGTGCCTCCCCACTCACCTAGTGTACCTAGTGTAGGTACTCCGTACCTTGCACACCGCCCGGCCCATCTACCAGAGCCCGCGCCTCTCATTGGCCGGTATCCACCACGGAAGACGGAAAGACCCACGAACTGCATGGCCTGATATGCAGACACAGCCTCCCATTGGCTCCTTCACACCAACAGGACCCCATCCTCTCCAGCACTCAGGGGCGTTTTCATAGTACAATTTGTTCCTACGTACCTAGTAGTTTTTTACCTAACCTTCAGAGTCGCAATGGGAAAAAATACCTTTGCCCGTTACCTTTTAGCTGCAGGTGCCGTTTCCATTCCCCGTCAACCGAAATGATCCATTGATAAAACCTCAACAAGACCCAGCCCTGGACCCTTCGCCTTGCCGCTCGCTGTCTTTTTTTCTCCCCCCTAACCCAAACCTAACTCTTACCTCGGCGCGCATTGTCGAAGAAGAGAGAGAGTGTGTGTGGCCGCGCTCTTTCATTTCACTCACTTCTTCTTTGCCGGCTTTGGCATTCCCACCATCACTTCTTTTCTTTCGGCATCTGTTAGTTGAAGCAAAAGTCGCAACACTGCGCTACCCCCCGCCATCATGGCCGCCTTCATGTGAGTTCGCCCAGTGTACCTGTAACCTCAAAGCCCCTTTACTTGGGCCAGATCTTGGAGCAACGGTCACTGATTTTGTTTCGAACAGCAACTCGACCGTGATCAACACGGCCTTCAACCACACCCAGCCCTACTTCAGCGTCTTTGAGGAGGTCTCAAAGTACAATGTTCAGCTCAACTACTTCGAGCGCCTCTGGGCCGTACGTCAACACCCCCCCGCGCATTGTACTCTCCGGCCATCTGGCTAACACTCTACCTCCACCCAGGCTTGGTATCTCTGGATGCAAAACGACATCCTCGCTACCGGCATCATGAGCTTCGTCATGCACGAGACTGTCTACTTCGGCCGCAGTCTGCCCTTCATCATCTGCGACCTCATCCCCTGGTTCCACAAGTATAAGATCCAACCGGTAAGCAGCAACGCGCCAATGGAGCCGGCAAGATGATAGTTCCTGATTTTCTTAACAGCAAAAAATGCCGACACTCAAGGAGCAGTGGGACTGCGCAATGGTCGTCCTCATCAGCCACTTCACCGTCGAACTGCCCCAGATCTGGCTCTTCCACCCCCTCGCCACGTGGTGTGGAATGGAGTACGGCGTCCCCTTCCCTCCTCTATGGAAGATGGCCATGCAAATCTCCATCTTCTTCGTCATGGAGGATACATGGCACTACTGGTTCCACCGCGCCCTGCACTACGGTCCCCTCTACAAGGCTATCCACAAGCTTCACCACTACTACTCGGCCCCCTTCGGCCTCGCTGCCGAGTACGCCTCGCCCATCGAAGTCATGCTCCTCGGCATCGGCATTGTCGGCTCGCCCATTTTCTGGGTCACCCTCACCGGTGACCTCCACCTCCTGACCATGTACGCCTGGATCGTCCTTCGCCTCTTCCAGGCCATCGACGCCCACAGTGGCTACGACTTCCCCTGGAGTTTGCGCCACATCCTGCCCTTCTGGGCCGGCGCCGACCACCATGATCTCCACCATGAGAAGTTCATCGGCAACTACTCCTCCAGCTTCCGCTGGTGGGACTACTGCCTCGACACCGAGGCCGGTGTCGAGGCCCACAGGAAGCGTCGCGAGAAGAAGCTCAAGGCCATCAAGGCTCAGAAGACCCAGTAAATGCGCCATGTTCCTTTCTGGCTCGGCGCCCCACCGAGACGACACGCGAATGTACCGAGGGGAGCACGCTCATGGGCAGTGCTTCGAGTGCAGCTCCGGATACCGGTTGGGTACCTCATGATACGATGTATAGAAGCGGCGGGAACGGGAATCGCAAGGACGCTAAATGACACGAGGCTCGACGCCGAGGCCATCAAAGTCTACGTAATTACTCATTGGAGCGGCGTTTGAAGAGAGATTGATGGTTGTGTAAGGGGGGAAAATGACGATTTATGCGAATTCTACCGTATATAATAGGAAGGCCACCCAGACAAATGGCATTACAGTAGACTACAATTACAGCACAACCTTCACTATTTTTCTCTTTTTTGTCTTTCGCACTCTGGTTGAACCCTTTTGTGTCCGTTGACAGTATACATGATTGTTACAATTGTTCTTTGCGCGGGTCCCATCCAAGGATATTCTCACTCCACGATGGGCCGGACCTCGTTCCCGAAGCCAAGTAGAGCCGCCGGGTCAGGAAGGGGGCCAGAGGTCCAACTCACTTCTTGGGCGTGCAGCAGTCTCCTGCCGTCCCCGCGGCTTTATCGGCCAGGCCCCTGATGCCGCAGCTGATGGTGGCCTCGCCGTCGCCCTCGACGCCGGCGGCCGGCGGCACCTCGACCTCGCCGAAGTCCCTGGCCAGGGCGTCGCAGATCATAGCGAGCTTGAGGTCCTTGCCCGACAAGCCCTTTGGGTTGTGCGTCGTCCAGCGGATGAAAGTTGTGTTGTAGACCTGGGCCCGCACGTGTTCGTCAGCTCCGGGGGAAGTACAGTGTTGCATCTCCGCCCGATTCATTCAGTTTGGAAGAAAAGAAGAAAGAAGAAGAAGAAGAAGAACGGGAACGCAGCGAGCCTCATGGACTGGTGAGACATACGTTGGACCACTCGGGGTGGTGGTTGTGGATTTTGCACTGCAGGCTTACGGCCGTCATGAAGTCCTTTATATATGTGCCTCGTCAGTCCCTGCCACATGCCTCGTCGGGTTGTTTCACCCACGCCTCGGCGTAGGTGGATTCACGGGCCAGGATCCGGCAATGAGAGGGCGCTATGGAAGGGAGGGAGGGAGGTAAGGTGTCACGCACCCACGTCTTTGCAAAGTTCTTGAACTTGAAGCTCCTCTCCACGGCCTCCCCGTCGTTCACCAGCGCCCAGCGGCCGGCGCCCAGCAGTGTCTCCAGCGTCGCGGACAGCGAGGCCTCGTCGGAGCCCTGCGAGAAGCGGGCTGTGGCCTGTGCCGGGGCTGTGGGGGTAGTCGACATGGCTCGGCGGTGCGGGCGGCGGTGTGGCTGCTGGACGGGCCGAGGCGATGAGGATGCTACTGACGATGACGACGGTGCTCTCGAGAAAAGTGGTGATGCGGTGAGTGATCGCGGTGTTTGGCGTGCGAGACGGCGGAGGAGGACCGAGGCGTTCATCTCTGAGGAGATGGTTAGAAAGGGAGTGGGTGAGCAGTGATATAAGTTCTGCAGAGCGTCTGCGCAATACCTACATAGGTAGTGAAGAAGAGCCCGCGGGACTATTTGAAGGTTGCCGTGTAGGGATGTACCTACCCCTGCCGCTGCCGAGCTCGGGTGGGGTCCTGATAAGATTGGCCAGTCACCTACCTAGTTGTCTCTTGCATTCTCATCCTCTCTCTTACATGAACACATGTTGAACTACGAGGTGCCTTTACTACAAGGCGAGTATAAATCAGCTACCAAGAGAGAGAGGGAACCGGTGATTTTCAAGTGAGTTCGAACCGGTAAAGCTGGGGAACGGCAGGGTCACAGGGGTAAAATTCGACGCCGGACAATGCCAATCTGCCGCCCAGCTACCAGACCTGTAGAGACGGATGGTCTTCGCCGTGTTGTCAACTCCGCATGCGTGAGCCATTGGCAGATCGGACATTGGCGCAGGAAGGGGATGGCCAGCGATGGAAGGCCATCAGCCATTGACGTCCCACGTTGTCATTGTTCCAGGGCGGTGGCCCGTAAGGGTTTCCACGAGCCGCGCGAAGGATCGCCCATCGTACTCCCCTTCGCATCTTGATCTGGCAGCTCGTTTCCCCGTCCCACAATTGCTCACTTCCTGCGGCGCGAATCCGCCAAGAAGCTCGGGGGCTTGTATCAGCATGCTGTTATCCTTGACCCAAAGTTCCGGGATGCGCTACCCCGCGCTTCGAATCCGTCCATGAGGAGAGCCGGCAAGTGGTCTATAACTCTGGATTCGTCCGATTTCACTTCTACCTTTGCATCAACACGATTCCGCAAGTTCACGCAGCCGCCAACATTCGAAACCCAGTAGCTTCCTAACTCGTGGCTTGTCGAACTCCGACAGCCCAGGAAACATGCATATCCACTATCGGCATTCGGCGGTGGATGTCTTTTCGCGTCCATCCATCACCACAGCTCGAAGCACCTCGTAAGCCTCCGGAATACCTTCAGAGAAAGAGGTACAAGCGGCGGGACTGGATGTCACTGTCATCGTAACTGAGCTACTCATCCCGGGCCGTGGCGACCCCGTCCATGTCAGCAAGCATGACAGGGTCCCGGGAAAATACCGCTCAGTCAGGCCGGTCCATATTCCGGTCGTCATGCCTGGTCTCTGGGACGTGCACACCTACTTCACCGGCCTCGACGTTATCACTGGTTTTGACACCGGCTTGTTCAACGTCTTGCCGGGATCCAACGCCCTGGTGGGCGCCATCACCGTCCAAGACCTGGAAGAGACGCTGATGGCAAGATGCATCTCTATCCGAGAGCTTGGCAGAGATTCCGGGGACTTGGTCCCGCCATCGAGAAGGGGCGCCTGGTAGGGTCCGACGTGTACTCGGCCATCACCGCCATGTCCATCACCGGAGGACACGGGGATCAGCACGGCCTCTCCATCCGGACGGTGATGAGATTTGCCAAGTGTGGCGGGCCCTGGTCCATTGTCGACGGCGCGGACGACTTCACCGAGGCGGTGAGACTGCTCGTCCGTCGGGGAGCGCGGTGCATCAAGGTCTGCTCCAGCGGCGGCGTCCTGAGCCTATTGGATGATCCGGAGGACAGGCAGACGAGAAGTTCAAGGCCATCGTAGAGGAGGCGGGCCGCAGACGTCGTGCCGTCGCCGCTCACGTCATTGGGAAGGCGGGCATCATGGCCGCGCTCAGGGCGGGCGTCAAGAGCATCGAGCACGTCATGTACCTCGACGACGAGGTTGCCGATGCCATGCTAGAGAAGGGCGCCATCTTCGTCCCCACCCACCACATCGTGACCACCAAGGCAAAGATCCGTCACAGCTACCCCCCCCCCCCCTCCATCTCCATCGCGCGCAAGTCTGAGAAGCTGATACAAAAGGCAAAGTAGTCTTATCAGTTGGCCATCAAGAGAGGCATCAAGATTGCGCTCGGCACGGACAGCGCCAAGGAGCTGAACTGGGCCGTCGAGAACGGTATGATGCCGCGAAGGCACCGCGAAGGCCAGGATGTTACCGGAGGAATGGCGCCGCTGAGCAGACAACTTAAGGAAGGATACGAGGCGGACCTGATCTCCGTCGCCAAGAATCCTCTGGATGACATTGAGGTTCTGGTGAAGAAGGAAAACATCACCCATGTCTGGAAAGGGGGCAAGCTGTTCAAGTCCCCGTAGGGCGCATGTCGTGCGTTGTACTGCCACAAGGGTATACTGCCCGATGGCTGGCCAGTACATATCGGTACAACGCTGAAATGTAACGGTCTCGCCAGGAAAAGAATCATCAGCTTGCTGTCACTGCGGGGATCCGCCTGCGATCAGTCAGCGACTCGCCTGTTGGCGAGCCAAAAAAAAAAAAACCCGTGCCACGGCTCCTCTGTCCGACGCTGTCTTCCCTATTAGCCTCGGAATGCCTTCCACGTGTGGTCTGTGGCTTGACGTAGCTTCAGCGTCCAACACAGAACCATTGGAGCTCCCAACAAGGGCAATGATGCCATCAGCAGCCGCAGTAGGTATTGTCGACTATCTCGGCAGTTAATTTACAACCGGGCTTGCCTTCGTCGACTTCGCTCGGAGCAGGGGGGTGGGGAGCTTAGCGGTTAACGTGCTGACTGGATACATGCACTCACGCACGCAGTGCCGAGACAGCCCTCCTGATGCTCCAGTAAGCGGGGCCAATATTAGATGTTGACCGATGTTAGTGGCTCTATTTCGAGATCTGCCTTCAAGAAGATGCGTAGCAGGTTATCTGTTTGTATGCAGGGTCCAATCAAGACTCGGCAGGACGTTCTACAGACGTCTTACTAGATGATTTGTAAGGAACATCATGGTGGCAGCTGCCACTCGCCGGTAGCGGAGGGCAGGGCGGAAGTACATATGGTCAGTTGCCATTGGCGGTCTTGCTTCGATAGTACCGTCCGGCCGAGTTTGTTATGCTCTTGGAATATGTGTGCCTCAACCGAGGTATGGCGATTACTGAACTCGCCTGACTAGTCCAACGAGCAAGGCTCTGGTGATGCTCCTTGTACTCATAGAACTTGGCGTCGCATGGGCGTTGCTGGTGAACAGAATTCATGTTCCAAATCCGATGGATCCATGAAATACTGACAATAAAGGTAGGTGTCGATGGATGGCGAAGGTGACTTCACTCCATTCAGGTTGAAGTAGTTGACATGATCCAAGTAGCCAGATCAGAAAACGACGTTCCATGGATGAAAGGATTGAAATATCGCTCCCCCAAACTATAACAATAAGAGGCGCTTCCTAAGCAGGCAGGTTGGACAGCTGCGGATTTAAGCTGAGCGGCGTATAACGTCGAATAACGTCGAATATAGTCTGCATAGCATCGCCACCGCCACCGAGCTTGGGGACGCGTACAAAGACAGCACACCTGGCGCTGAGTGTCATTTGGATATCTCCGTTGGCTTGCATCACTGTTGTAGGCCATTTCGTCGGACGGAGTGAGCCGAGTAGAAGTCTGGACTGCCTGTCAATACGGCGAATAACATGCCATTGGCCAGGGAGTCATCCGGGCAAGCAGGCCAGATCTTCTAGAGCGCGCACAGACCCCACTCAGTGCAGCAAGCACAGGCGCATGCCACACGCGCCAAGCCCCGCAGGATTATGTAAGTCAAACGTCGGAAGTCGCGATTCCTGCTGGCCGAGGAAAAGCCTGCCCCCCCCCCACAATCCATCTATTCGGTCGTCCAGGGAGGGCAGGTGTTATGTTATCAGAGCCGCTTAGGTGTCCGCGCTGTTGAGGGGAGAGGGCCTTCCTGGCAGTTGGCCGTTGGCGGGGGGCGATGACCAATTGTGAACAAACACTTCTCGGTGAGGCACCTCTGTGCTGGGCGGTTGCTAGGCGGTCACCTTACAAACCAGCCATGCGGGAAGAATGTGCCCTGTGGGCATCCGTTTCCCCATATCCTTTTTTTTCTTTTCTTTCTTTTTCATTTTTCCTTTCTCTTTTCTTCTAGGTATTCCGCCAGGATGCGGATAACCTCCCCGCATGGATCCCTCAGGCGCCCTGCTCTCGTCGGCCATTTCGAAAAGTCCGTCGGCTCGCCTTTTGCAGTGTGTTTCCCCGTTATTGGCGAATGGGAGTGACGGATTGGTGTCTTGTGGAGAATGGCTTGGATGAGGTAATTAATCCTGATTCAGAAGGGTCTGGGTCACATTGCTGACAAACAGGGTTTGATGACTATGCCGGCGATAACGACTATGGCTCGAGAAATCTAAACTAATACATTGGAGTATCATGCCGACTGTTCACAATACATGCATGGTTCCGTTGCCAGAACCACCGAAGCAGTGTGTCAGATAGGGTCCAGTGTTGGCGCTGTATGGATACCGCGGCAGAGGTGCGTGCGTGTCTGGACACTCTGTATGCCCAACCTCTATGTCTTCTTTTTTCGCCTCCCACCGGTAGGTAGGTGACCAAGCTTTGCACTCCGGAATGACGTCCCGAACTCTGTAAAGCACATTCGAACATGGCATGCTGCGGCATTACCTAGGTACGCAGAGAGGGACTGTAGGGAAGGATTGCAGAATTGGTGCCTTGGACCAGATTGCAATGCTCAGGTTCGGTGTCGAAAGGTAGACGAGCTGAGCTAAGATGGAAAGGCTGTTCTTGCTCTGTTCGTCCACGTCTGCCCCTATCACTCGATTGAATGCTGCCTGGCCTATCCTATTTCACCAGCTTGTCTGTCTCGCGGCGCAAGGCGCCCCCAACGGACGGGTTGAGGCAGGAGAGGGGGACGAGACCCAGGTAAGGAAGCCAGGCTATCCGTGTACAGGAAAGGTACCTCTCAAGATCAGAAAGGTACACACCGAAAGTACCTTCCTCGGGCGAGCAAGAAACAACAAGCTGTCTGCCTGCCTGGGGCCTCGCCTGCCTCGCCTGCCACGCCTGCCACGCCTGCCTCTCCGCCTTACCGAGATTCCTCCTCGACGCGTACATGGCCAACCCTTTCCTTCCTTCTCTCCAAACCAGCCAGCCAATCGACCAACCAGTCGATCCTTCACTCCCAGCCACGCACTTCTCCTTTTCCCCCCTACTTCTCTCGCGAGAAGAAGCCTTTCGATCCATCCCATCGTAAATATTGGGTCATAACTGCTGGCAACCAAAACAGGACGACACGACACACTAAGCGCGTCAAAATTGGCTCTTGAGCTCTTCCACACCTTTCCAATCACCGAAACCATAGCTCCTTCCTTCCGCACCTGGCCATACCTGGGAGTCAACCGAGGGACGGGCCACCAGACCACCATACTCTCATACTGCATGCTTTCTGTCTGCTGCGCCGAATCACCACAAAAAGTGGTCCAAGCTACGCGACCTGACCCTCTCTCTCTGCCCTGCCTTACGTTACCTCGCCAATTTTCTCTCTCTCCCTCTCACACACACCTTGGCCCTTCCTTACCTCTCCGTAACAGGCCCGGTACCTACGGATACCTTGCCCAACACCTTACGTTACCACGTACGGATTTACCCACACTCTTGTCAGGTTTCCCCTCCTCTACGACGCGCTAGGGTCCCGGTCGATTACATAATCCTTCTTTGAGCTGCCGCATCGGTCCCCCGTCTCATCCAGTCGCTCGTCCGGGCCCTCTTTATAAGTCGTGGCCGGGTGCCTGTAGTCATCAATTCTCCCGTCCACTTCATGCTGAGTCAGAACCGGAGCTTGAAGATGCAGAGCGCTTCGCCCTCGCCTTCTGCGAATACCACCACTAACACAGGTGAGTAGTTGCTGGTCTTTCTTGTTTCTGCTTTCTCTGATTTCCGAATCCCATCCCAATATCCTATCCTGTTTCTTCACACCATCCTGCAGCTCCCACCCGACCACCGAGACCTCTGCTCCTCCCCGTCGATCCCGTATCATCCTCCTCTGCCATCACCCTCTTCCTTCCTTTCCCTCTCGCTCACTCACACTCACTCTCACTCTCACACACGCCTCTACCTCAATTCGTCTTCCAGTGCCGGCAGCTCGTCTAGCTTTCCGCCTTGTCTCATCTTTACACTACTGCTCGTACATTGTACCTTGCCCGGGTCGAGTGTACTTTGTGTGAGACGAACCCTTCTTCACTTTAAACTACGTTACAATCTGCAATACCTGCTACATCCCAGGAGAGATCGCGCTCCCTCACCACCATTGATATGTAATCATCCCCCCTTTTCCCCATCAGCTCCCCTTCCACCAGCCGACTCCCCAAAGTCCCTTAGCAGCTGTCTGAGCTGCGCCTTTCCTCTCTTTGTCTCCGCGACAAGTCGCTTGAAGCAAAGGCGAAGCGGAATATTGCGGAGATTCGGCCACTCAGGCGGCTAACACTCACGCCTCTCTCGCCCTCTCACGGCGCATCTTCCACACTTGGCCGGACCCTTGCTGCTACAGGGACTCCAGAACTCCCCGGGACCTACATCAAGCTGTAATCTCCCGCGCTATATCATGCCAAAACAGCCCCGAATTTCACTGGTCCTTGAAACCATCTGTTTTTTGACAAGTCCTGGTTGCGCACCAAACTTAGACATTCCTTGCTGACATGATATATGATCTCCACAGACGCCCACCTGCACGCGCAGCTTGAGCTACTAAGCAAGCACACCACGCCCAACCCGTCAGACGACGCGACAGCCCAATCCCGCGGAGCTCGTCCCCAAGCTCTTAACCCACCGAGCGCGTCGCCTGCTCATGGCTATAGTGACGGTTCGACCTCGCCACCTACTGACGTCTTGCCGCCGATAGTCAACAATCACACCGACTCCGAAGCGCATATCCATCCTGATCTCCGAGCTCGAGCTACCCACGCGCCAGCCGTCAACATGATGCCCGCTGGCGTGCCTCCGCAACCCCAGCAACAGCAACAGCAACAGCAACAGCAGCCGATTGTACCGCCTGCAGTGACTGCCGGCCCCTCCACGGCGCCTCCTCCCCACTCCCCCCCGTCAAGCATGGCGTTGGACGAGACCGCAGAGGGGCGCAAAGCTAAGCGCGAGTTGTCGCAATCGAAGCGCGCCGCTCAGAACCGAGCTGCACAGGTACGATATTCATAATATATAATGGGTGCGTTGGGTCAATGGCGCGTGATTACACCGCGCATGCTGCAGAAGTTTGTTGCGGCGCTCGCTCCACTACGGGGCTCGTCAGCCTGTCTGACCGACCACTCACTGCTGCCAAACCTGTTGCATACAGCGCACCCATCCAAACTCTCTTTATAACTTGATGATGGGCTTGGGCTGACTTGCTGTATCATAGAGAGCTTTCCGCCAACGCAAGGAGGGATACATAAAAAAACTCGAGCAACAAGTAAGGGATTACATGGAAATGGAGCAGCAGTACAAGGCGATGCAGTCAGAGAACTACGCATTGCGCGAGTACGTGATCCACCTTCAGTCGCGCTTGCTTGACGTTCAGGGCGAAGTCCCTCAGCCTCCACCCAACGTCAACCTCCAACACCCGTCCATGCCGGCTCCTGCGGTTCCCACGAGTGGCCCGGAAATCCCTCCCAGTAATGCAGGCGCTGGCCCTCTTGAAGCTGTCGCGCAGGCGGTGGCCGGTCTGCAGGCCCAGGAACAGCTTGCAGAGAGGCAGCAGTTTACAAACAAGGCCTTCCAGCCTGAGCAGATGAAGGAGGAAACGCGACGGGAGGGTGATGAGATTGACCCCCAGCTGCCGGACAGCCTCCCGGCTCCGACCGCTTCTATGTGAGCGCGCCTGAGAAATAACAGCGCGTCGAAAAGAGACCCGACTTACTCACAGCAAGCGGACCGCGACAATGAAGCCGCTGCGACATTTAAGCAACAGAATTTTGATGTCACTCGTTCACCCCCCTTTCGTGGGTTGTTTTGTTGGGCCTCGGGCTTGAGTTCTTCATCAAAAGGGAGGGAGAGAGGGTGGTTTGGTGGTTGTTGCGACGTTGACACGGGACGGAACGTGTGAAAGGAGGAAAATCGAGGACTTGATGGAAACCAACCGCCCGGCGGCGTTGTTGTCTTGCGCAATGTTCATATGGGTCCTTCTCCAGGTGATGACCATGCGGCAGCGGCAGAGCTACTCCGCTGGCCGCTCATTAACAGCATCGGAGACCTTGGCTCGACCCAGTTCCCATCGCAGATAGTCTTTGCTGAATCACGTTGCATTGCCACTACTTGACGTCTGCCGTCACGCGACGACGCGTCCTTGCCCTTGAGCCCAGGGCATCCGGGTTACATGAGTGACGGACAGACTCACACATAAGGACGAAGGCAACGAGGCTTGCTTTTCATTTGATTTATATGATGAGACTGATTAAAAAAGCGCCCCCCCCCTTTCCTATTCGATTAATCATACATACGACATGTTGCCTAGGTCGTGCTCCTGTGGAGGGCAAGATTAGCGTTTCATGAACGGAGGAACAAGAATAGACGCGAGATGAGGATAAGAACGTGATAGGGGGGTAAAGGGGTGACGAAGACTTGCTTACCTTGATGTACTCGGATCCCTTCTCCTGGTACTCCTCCCGCGTGATGGTGGCGGCCTTCCACGCGGACGAGCCCGCCCAGCCGGCGGCGCCCCTCCACGCGTCGAGCAGGGCGTCCTGGGCGCGGCGGATGGCGAGCGGCGAGTCGGCGGGGAGCAGCGGCCTGAGGCCCTGGCGGAGGCGCTCGTCGAAGCCGCGGAAGAGGGTGTTGCCGCCAGTGAGGAATATGTCCTTGAGGAAGTCGTCGCGGTCGGGGACGCCGCCGAGGCGCTGATTGAGTATGTCCCCGATGATCTCGACGAGGCCCCCCTGGTCGACCCCGGCGACGGACGGCTGGAACACGACCTCGGGAACGCGGATGCGCTCGACGTTGAGGTGGATCTGGTTGAGCTCGGCTTGGGAGCCGGCGTCGAACGGCCGCGGGCCGCGCGCGAAGGCGTGCAGCATCGACTTGGACCAGTCCGTCTGCGCCTCGTGTGTGTCCTCGTACGTGAACTCCGGGTCGTAACGGAGCAGGTCCTCCTCGTAAGTCTTGAGGTTCGCCTCGAGGTTCTCCTCCTCCTGCTCGTCGTCGCTGTTGTCGCCGACCGTGATCTGGCGGTACACACCCCAGTCGTCGTCGTTGGCGCCGAAGGTGTCGTCGTCACCACCGCGCCGGCGCTTCTTGGTCGGATTGTCCGAGGCGAGGTTCGCGATGCTCTTCATGCGGATCTGCGACGCGAGCGACTTGCGGTTGCCGAGGTCCTGCTTGAGGCGCTCGCGCTCCTTCATCTTTTGCAGCGTGACGGCGCGCGCCTGACGTCTCTCCTCAAGCCAGCCCTCGAGGTCGTTCTCCCGGCGCTCCTCATCCAGCCGCTTCTCCTCTTCGATGCGGGCCTTCTCAGCCTCCTTCTCAGCCTTGGCGCGCGCGCGCGCATCGTGATTGGACTTCATGAGTTTCTGTTGGCGTTTTGCCTTGATACCAGCCTCGTCGAGCTCCTCATCCGGCACGTCCAAGAGGTCAAACACCGGCTCCTGCTGCTCCTCGGCGGGGTCGCCGCCGACATCCTTGGTCCGTGCCTTCTTTACCGCCTTCTCCAAGGTCGCGATGGCTCTTTCCAGCGCTGCTTCGTCTTTGAGATCATTGCTGTCCAAAAGCCGCCTGACCTCCTTCTTGTTGGTCTGCTGCTCCAGCTTCGCTTGGAGCTTCTTTAGTGATTCGAGCTCGTTCTCCTTGCGCATGAGCTTCTCCAGACGCATCTTTGCCGCTTGCTCCTGCAGGCGCCTACCGCTCTCCTTTTTTCGCTCGGCGATACGTGCCAGCTCCTCCTCGGTTTTCTGCACAATAACTTCTTCCGTGAAGGGGTACTGAATGACGATGTCCCGATCTTCGAGTCCGGTCCAGTCTAAATAGCTCCGCAGTTCGTTGTCGTAGTCTGTCGAGACGTATGCGTGGTCGCGAAGCATATGCTCAGCCTGCGATACGTTGAGCTTCCCCGTGAAGGCGGGGTATTTCAGCCGGATCAGCTTCAGAAGATACTCTGCTGCATGCCATCCTCCCCAGTTGAGCCTCGTGGCTTGGTTCAGCACCGCCTTGTGGTTGTAAACGGGTATTATATGCGTGGAAGTGTAGGATGACGACACCACTATGCCCGTCTTTCCCTTGTTGTGTGCGTAAGAGAAGAGCGAATCGATACCGTACGCCAGTGATGGAGCACCGTAACACTCAAATATGATTTCCGTCATTGCTGCGTGGACGTCAGTCAGACAGTTCTTAAGGCTCCTTCCTACGAGGTCGGCTTACATTTCCGGGAGTAGGGCAGGTTAGCCACGGCCTCTGTCATGACGATGGGTAAGTCTATGGACGCATCGTCGCCGTTCATGCCGAGCTTGAGAAATATGTAATCGAGAACATGTTCCATGACATCCCAGTTGCTGACTATGCCCGTCCCTTGCTCGTGCGCATATCGAATGTGGCTCCTCGCCGTCGTGTCGGCGTAGCAATCGCTGCCGGCGAAAGAGTACGTCTTCCCGGCTTTTCGGTCGCGGTACTTGGACATGATCGGGGGGATGATCAACCGTGGATTTTCCTCAAACGACCATCCGGCGCGGACGGCCGAAGAGCCTGGCGATGACGGTTAGCAAGGGAAGAGCTCGTACCAGCCTGTAGCCGTTTGGGAAGCTTACCGTTGTCGATGACGATAGCCGCACCCCCAGACGACTGCGCCATTGCCTTCTCCCGTCCATCGTGCAGCACCGGAATTGGCTTCTCGAACTTGGCTTCCTTCACCGGGAAGATTTTCGCTGGTGGATATGTTCTCTCCGGGGGCGCGGGTAGAGGCGGAATCTCGCCCGTTGCTGAGGGCGCCATCGCGACGACTGTTCGTGGTCAAGTCTTAGGGTGTCGCGGTGCGACAGACCATACTCAGGTGACGGAAAGCAATTGTTTGGATCGAAGTCGATCGTGCCTAGTCGCCTTCCTCGGAAAAAGCCAACAAAAAGCGTTTGCGTCACGTGCGGCAGGTTCAATGCGTCTATTCGATTATGGTTGTTGAAGCTGTAATGTGCCCGTCCTGCGAGGCTGAGAGGCTGCGAATTTCAGTGGACCCCTAGCCGCTGCAGAGAGTCACAGGGCGGCTTTGCGATCTTAGTGCGACCCCCCTACAGTGTGTGCCAGTTGGTTCCCCGGATCGCATCTCAGGCTCGCAGATTCTCTCAAAACGCGGGTCATTAGATAAAGTGCAAGATACGATGGTTATGATGAATCTTGTATGTTAAATCAATCAGTCAAGCGACGGTTTACGGGTTTCCAGCTGTGAGAACAGTGGTGGCTTCTTCTGCTCAGGGTATTTGCTCTATGGCTTCTGGGCTGTAAACCAGGCCCGAATCGGGTTCATCAATCTTGTCTCATTCCTCATCCATATCCCAAACTCTCTCAAAATCTCAAGTGATTTTATGAAGGAGGCTTCAGGTTATCGGTTGCTGGCATGGAATTAGTATCGGATCAAACCCATCATAGCGGCGGACCTACCCTCCAGATGGAACAAAACGTTGGATTGGTAGTTCTTGAACATCTGTGCGACAAGCTCGACGTTCATGTTCTGGATGTTGATTTCCTGGGCGCACCATCAACCACTGCCCTAGTCAGTTATCAAGTAAAGAAACGTACCTGAAGCGCTCTGTTCATGACTACGACAGCCTCGTTGAGTTTCTCCTAATTGCCGTGTGAGTCGCGTTGATCTATGGTCGCCTGACGCTGAGAGCCTTACCACATTGGTGATGATGCGAGAGAGCAGCAAGTTCTGCTGGTGTTCATGAGGACTCTCCTATTGATAAATCAGAACATTTGGTTCACCAGGTACGACGGGTTGCTGCTATACCATTTGTCTGGGCTCGTTGTGCCTGTGTTTGTGATGTGTTTGTTTACTCACAGTAATGCCCCACGGAAGCCAGTTGCATTAACCTCGGGGGTCCTCACACCGAGCTCACCGAGATGCTTATTAAGGCGGTCAGCCGCGGCAAAATAAGCTCCCCTGCCATCGCTTCAACATGGTGTTCGGGTGCGACCACCCGCCCTCCTCCAATTCGACCGGCAACGACCCCGAGATCCTGTCCGAGAACCTAGCCACCCACGATAATTCGAACACGAAATCATGGCTGCCCCGAAAGAAGCAACGGAGGCACAGATTGCCCACCAAGCGCTCCTAGACGAGCTCGACATCCACTCCATCCACAAGAGCTTCCGTAACCCGTCCTGGCGCCCCAACCAGCGCCGTAACAAGAACATCAAGACCATCCTCGGCGATGCTTCGCGTCGCGAGGCCTCAGCCATGGCGACCCCCCAGCAAGAGGAAGCCAGCGCCGCGGCCACGCCTGCCGCAGACAAGCAAGGAGGCGGCGAAGACGGCCTCTCGACGAGCGGTACCTCGACGCCCGCGAATCCAACCGGCAACGGCCACGACAACCCCAATCTCGCCCAAGCCTCACGCAGCCTCTCGAAGCTGGTCCTCGAGAAGAGTCTGCGGCCCAACGGTGGCGGCAGTGGTGCCCCAGGACCGAACGTGACGTACACCAACATCGAGTCGGCGCCGTCGCTGGCGCACACGAAGCGGTACTGCGACATCACGGGCCTACCAGCGCCGTACGTCGATCCTAAGACGCGGCTGCGTTATCACGACAAGGAGGTGTTCGGGCTGATCCGGTCCCTGCCGCAGGGCGCGGCCGAGCAGTACCTCGAGGCGCGCGGGGCGCATACCGTCCTCAAATAGAGTGGTTCACAGCCGTGCCGCATTACTGGTATGGGTGGTTGGTGGATGGCACCTACGACGAGTGCTGCAGACCTGCGGCTGTTATGGTTCAGGCGTTTTAGGGATCGCATCTTTGCTATTACCAAGATATGGAGTCACGGCGGGAAAGGGACAAGCATGCGTCTAGGAATGAATGCCTTTTGAGTTGAAATTCATATAAACTAGCTACGGGCTGGGAATGGAAATCATACACATGTGCGACCAACAAAGTCAAATCTCAACTATACAGCCCGGTGCCTTTCGGCATAGGGTGCTAGATGACACTCCGGCTTAATCGTGATCAGCTGGTTGTTCTCCGCCTGTGAATCGACAGATTACCGAGAACGTATGGGGAGACGATACTCAGTTGCCATAGCCTTTGAGGGCTGCGGCTGCCGCGGCAGAACTGCAAGAGCAGTTTGTGTTGTCGCCTATCGTGTGTTTATGGACCAGACACTTGTTGAGCCAAGTGGCAGTGCGGTAGCAGCACATATTGGTGTCTGCCAGCGCCAGTGTTGCTGCTTTGAATGTCGCCCACACATTGGAAAGTAGAAACAACGAGTCCTTGAAGTCCCGTCTCAAATGAGACATAGCGGCAGTAAGGAGGATGACATCAGGGATTCTTCAGGGCAGAAGAAAAATGTGTCGCCCTTGACGCCTTGTCAACACACCAAACAAGACGCAACGTTGAGATGGTGCTCTTGCAAAACCCGAAATCTTGCAAGCTATCCCATCTTCATGTAGGCGTTGTCGAACGCTCCATCGCCAATTGTAAATATGAATATGATGAGGACGGGGGAGAGGGGACGAGTTACGAATTTTCCAATCGACGCGTGCTAAATCTGCCTTTGCGAAGTCCCCACCAATCTGCCCTAATTGGCTAATGTCCGGGCTGTTCGTTAGGTACTTCCTTTTTTTTTCTTCTTTTTTTCTTTTACCGCACCCGCGCGACCAAGAAATCTGACGCGGCGCGGCAGAAGCAACAGCTGTAGGTAGCACTACAGCAACATTGGCAGCAAAGACCCCTGCTCGCGTGCCAGAATCCGATGTCGCCTAACCCCCTGGTGATCTGTTCTTTGTTTAACCAAAAAATCACACGCTTGCTCGTCCAAGAAACTGATGCCGACCGACCTAGCAATTCCGCATATCTCGTTTTACTCCTACTTAATTTGCAATCCTCCGTAACTCGTCCAAAGCGAACACGATTAGAGAGACATACCCCTTGACGTCCCGAACCGAAAGCCTCCTCGCTGTTCCTTATCCCTAATCCAAATCCATCCAAGATGGCGTCAATGTGGATGTCCGACACCCAAAGTATGTCTTTGCGCCGCTGAGCTTTACGACGACAACATCCGGCCTCTCCCAAAGCTCTGCTTCTCTTAATGGACCACAACTAACCGGTCTTGCAGAAATCGGAGTGATTTTTTGCTCCGGAGGTATGTTTGCGCCGTCCCCAAGCTCTAGCGCATAGAAGAGCAAAAGGACGAGACGAGAGTCTACCGGAGCTGACGTCGGCCTCTGCGCTTGACCAGGCGGTTTCTTCCTCATCGGCGGAGTGATGCTGTTCTTCGACCGCGCCATGTAAGCCGCTCCTCCATTCCCGATTCCTCTTGCGACGGCGCAACTGACCGGTCTCCCTAGGCTCGCCATGGGAAATGTACGACCACCCCCCTCGCCTCCCTGAAACGATGAGCATACAACATCCATCCGTCCTAGTGTAAATCACCAAAAGGCTGACTCTCGTCTGCGCGATGGCTAGATCCTCTTCCTTATCGGTCTGACGATTATTATCGGACCCCAGAAGACGCTGCTCTTCTTCGCGCGGAAACAAAAGGCAAAGGGCACGGCAGCCTTCTTCGCGGGGCTCGCCCTGATTCTGCTGCGGTGGCCCCTGATCGGCTTCTGTGTCGAGCTCTACGGCATCATGATCCTGTTCGGAGACTTCCTCGGCACTATCGCCGCGTTCGCGCGCAACATCCCAGTCATAGGGCCCTACATCGGGGCCGCGGTCGACCGGTCCGGTGTTGGACGGCGAAACGCCGAACTGCCCGTGTAAAGCTCACGGGCGGTGCCTGGCCGGAGTTGGAGCTGCGGTGTAACAATAGTTTTGGGCACTCGGTGGCAGGCTCTCGGGGTAGCGTGTAGACAAGCTGTATGTATACCACAAACGGCGCAGCTTGAGTCGAGGGGTTTGGCAGGATGTGTACTGTATTGGATTGTGCGCTCAACAACGTTAGACGGGCGGCCTCAGCCGAAGCATGAGGTCGGACCACAAATAATGACTGAACGAAAGACTCTGGGACATGCTTGTTCTGAAGCGGCACTCGGACATGAGAACGCACGCGTACTATGCAAAGTCTATATCTTTCGGACGCGGCCGCGGCCAAGCAAAGAGTCGGCCATTGGTAACTATTGCTATTCTAGTGTTCTTCGATTCGTATGTCAAATCCTCGTTTGTGGAGGTGTGTGTGGGAGCGAGATGCCCAGCCTGCCTCGCACACAGTAACAAATCTCCAGGGATGCCTCGAAATATAAACCTTCCGCCTCCCTTTGCGCCAATCCACTCCAAGCAGGTCGCCTAGTAGCCCACGCCGATGAGGTAGTCTGCCAGCTTCTGTACCGCCTGTGTAGCGTTGCCAGCCTGCTGGGCCTCGCCGTGGTGGCCGAGGAGAACGGCCTGGGCAGATTTGGCAACGGCGATGCCCTCCTTGCCCTGTACAGCTCGATTAGCCTTGTATGCGCTATACGGTATGAATTCAGCATCAACCAACCTTGCGCGCGTAGATGGATCCATCTTCGGCACGGGCCATGACGTATCTTTCGCCGCCAATGAAGAGACCATCGGCAAAGGCCTTGTCTGTGACGGTCTTGTCGCCCTTGACAATGTCTGCAACAACCTTCATCTCGGTAGCGGAGAGCTGCGATGCGCGAAGCAAACAGTCAGCAGGGCCAACATGTAAGGGCGACGGCAGAGAGTAGGGTCTGGGTGATGAGGCTCAACGTACGGTGAAGCCAGTGGTGGACGCCCACGTGCTGTCGCCAGCAATGCTGATGATGGCGGCCTTGTCAACATGGCCAGTGCCAACCAAGCTACAATTCCCACATCAGCTTTCTGCCCGTGTACAATCAATCCATCGAGTTCTGCCCGAGACGGGTACGCCGGAGAAGGAGCTGGTGCGAGTCTACCTTTGGTCAACGTAAGCTGTGATGAGACGGTTAGCTCTCTGCTTCCTGGAAGGTGGGGGTTTTTCTCAGGATGGCCTCTCCTGGAGGGGGGGAGCTGCCACCGCCGCATCGGCCACTGTCGGAAGGGGTGCTACATACCTTGCCACGACATTATGAGGTAAGTAGAGGAATAAGAGACTAATGCTCGCTAGTGCAAATCAAAGAGAAAGAGACAAGAAGCTTCTGCGTGTCGAAGGGGTGTGTAAAAGCTCAAGCTTTGACGCGGTGTGGGATATGGGGGGGGGAGAGAGGTATAGTCGGTTTGTGACTGTTGATGTTTCTTGTTACTCTTCCTGCCTGATGTGCCCCTCCCAAGAAGATGCATCAATTTTTAGGTCTGGCGGGCCGGGCGGGGTATCGCGCTACCTGTCAAGAGGTCATTGCTGGTGCCAAAGTAGCGGTGCGGGGTACTTTCTTCACTGCTCCTTGCGACTAGGCCAGTACCTGTGTTTCTCGTTGCTTCCACTCTCGGCATATCTGCTTTGTCCTGAGAATCCACGGGTGTCATGCAGCAAGATCTGCCTATTAAAACGCCGTTGGGTGATGCGAATAGGTATCTCACCATTTTTTGTTTTTAAACTTCTTTCTTTCGTCATCGCAAGCTCAGCCGCGCTCCCGACAAACCGCCACGATGTCACTTTTCTCAATCAATCCACTCAAAGAGTTATTACCACCGTTCTCCATGATCAGCCGGGTCTTCCCCATCACCGCCTTTCGAGACAGTACCTTGCCGTCCGACTAATGCTTGTATAACTAAACTAGCGTCTGTCAGCAAGAGCATCGTCCAACTTGGGAACGCTGCCCCGCCAAAAGCCCACGAGTGGATCACGTGATGGCGGGGTGACCGTGCAAAAAGTCATTGGAACACAGTATCGGTACATCGCTGTCGGTCGCTTCAGCCACAACGGCCCCCATTCGTCGGAGCAACTGTGCCAAGCCTGCCTGCCAGACCCTCGAGCCCTGCATCCTAGCTTGCTCACCGATGCTGCTGCTTATGCAGCCTGCCAGAGGCAACATCAAAAATATAGGTACGGCCACCAACGATGAGGGGGCCGTTCGTCAAGACGGCTTCGGACTTCTCATTGAGGTCTTACCATCTATCTCCATGCAAATTTGGTTTCGTTCTGTCATCCTTCCAACCTACTGCGTCGTGGAACTGATTCATTCTCGCCACTAAGGTCTTTACTCTGTAGTAGATCTGTCAAAGGCTAAGACCTCCCTATATCAAGTGACTGCTGGCCGTCATGCACTTTCGATCGACTGTGCAGGCATAGACCATCTGAACGAGTCGTTCTCACACACGCCTCTCACGGGATGCTACACTGTCCATCGATCGTCGTCTGGGACACCTAGGACTTTACAGCCGATCACTGGTGTCTCAACTTTACTCCATCGCCCTGATCTCTCGTCATCTCAATAGCAGCGTCTTGTTAACACAGCAGATCTTCATCTCTTGGCAGACAGATCACTCGGTTCATTGAAGAGGGGGAACGCTCGCGACAGCAGGCCTGAGAGGTGCTGGGGGGAAAGGAAGTGCAAACCAAACAGCACTGGTCTTTTGCCATTGTTTTCGGTCGCCGCACGCCTAGCGCAGCCTAATTTTGTGCCTAGGCAGTCGCTAAATCGACTTTCAATCACCCAGTCCAGGTCGTGCGAACTGCTCCTGCAAGTGAGCGACTTGAAGACTGGCTACACGAGCATCGCATCTGCACATTCAGGGCCAAAGCAAAAAGGATCCGAGTGGTCACTTCAGACGAAGGACTTCGGACGTGGATTGCTATTCATTCAACCCGGTTTGCCGTTCGGGAAAAAAAAAAAAGGCATTGTGCTCACCTCCTGGCGCTCGGGGATGCTGCAGCTAAAATCAAGGGCCTATTTGGCTACAGCGTCTTCAGGGGCAATAGTTGGTGTTTTCTAAGAAGCCATCCCAACGGCAAACAAGGCTCAGTCCCTTGTCGCCAATTGCAGGTAAGGCCGGGCTCACCGTTGATTCGGGTTTTGCTGGCAGATTTGCAATCTTGAGACGATCATTCAGTTGTCGCTTCCTGGTCGAGACAGTTGAAACCCCTTCGCTGAGCAGCCTCGCCGCAACTCCAATTCCCTCCTTCTGGCCACTATCCTACGTCTCGGCCCGTTCAGCCTTGCAGTGCAGGACTCCTTGATACACGGCGATCCGTTGATGTCATCTGGGTCCAGAATATCATCTGATAATATGTCTATCTCATGGATCGAGAGACACCGATTCGCTTGTTAGCGCTAGGCCCGAGCATTGCCCCCAGAAGCGAATAGCCTAAAAACAACAACGAAGTCCCCAGTATTCGGCGACGCCTAAGCATGGCTATTCGTGTTCCAGGGGGCACTGTTTCAATACTACACCATATTATTGATGCGCCGGCCAGCACGCCAACTCGAGCAGCAGGTCGCATACGATGGCACCAGGTGCGTGTCGAGTTGCAGGCGGCGCACATGTTGTTCGCAGTGTGATTGCATAGTCGTATACAGGGACACAACGGGTTATTATGCTCGTCGCACGACACCAAGATAGACACCTGCAAGGCAACGGGTCCAACAAGCGGTGGGAACCGCGCCAGGAAAATTACAGCGACCAGTGCTTGGCGGGACGCGAGCAGGCAGAGCTTGTGTGGGAAGGTTATTTCCTTGATTGCGTAGTGGTTGGTCGGTCGGATGCGGTGTAAGCGACATCGTCTCTGATCCTTTCATTTAACACCGGCCGGCCCGTTTGATGTCAGTGGGGGATCGAGAAATGCCCGAGCAGGGCGTTGTTGGCCAGCCAGAGGATCCGCGACTGCAACGTCGTGTCACTCTTATTCGCCGGCTGCATCGACTGGGAGATTGAACTCCAAATGAAGCAATACTTCATCCCGCCGGCCATTGGGCAGGACCTAGCAGCAACAGAGCGGGCTTTCAAGGCCGATTCGGACGCCAGTCAACACAGGTACTCCTACGACGTGAAGTAACAGCTCAGACTGCACCAAAGCTGCGGCACTTTTCCCCAGAGTTGCGGACCGATTTCCACAAAGGGTGAGGCTTCATCAGCGTCGGGGGCAACGGTGGCAACGGGGGCGCGCATCCACGGCGAAAGGACCTGCGAATACCATACGGTAGGGGCGATCCTGAGGGCGCTGGGGTATGCCAACCTTCCATGGATATCCCGCACACCAGGCACGGATGCAACCCTCCATCCTCTTCGTTGTATCCTTCTCGAATGCTTCCCCTTTGACCTCTCTGGCTATTACTCCGATCCTCCAACGGCAAGGTACAGAGAGACACGATGGGATGGGCTCATCTTACCCAGGGGCCAGGGGTGAAGGTCTCGCCAATTTGACTCCAGACCGCTCCTGAGGAGCTCCGGGATGGATATTGCTGGGGACCCGGCTGCGGCATTGGCGATGGAGTCATTCATATCAGGCTGGCCTCGACTCGCTTACAGGCACTACGGATACTCATCAGTAGGCTTGACTTGCCGCCCCCTCCCCTTCCTTCCTTCCTTCCTCCTCAGTCAGCCAAGGAGTTCACACCGCACGGCAGTGTCCGAACCGAATTGAGACCAACCAGAGTTTCTGGGCTTCTCGTCTTTCCACGAATCCATGCAGCTGACGACTCCGTTAATCATGCTTCGTCGCGTCCTTCCCTACAGTTCTCACTAGTCTGACACACGAAACCGTAAGACCTCCACTCAAATGCAGAGGATACGTGACTTGTTGTTCACAAACAACCAGGACCCTTGATCCACAGACCACCCCATGTACAGGATGTCGAGGTTCACCATCCTTGCGTTGATCAGCCCCTCCCCTAAAATATCCGTCCTATCAACCTCAAACAAGCGACAAAGCTGCGAGTCGCTGGGGGTGCCTCTGGGCGGGAAAATGAAGGCTTCTGGGCTCTGAGTCGGCCCTGCAGAGGCGAAATCAGAGGAAATGATGTCGAACAAAGTCAGATTACACCCCCGGCCGAATTCACTCCTCCTCTTTGCATACGGGCTCGGGGGAGTCTCTCTCTTTCATCGGGTCTTTGGTCTCTTTTCGTTCCATCTAGTCTACCAACAGTCTCTTCCTTCTCATACACACACTCACACACGCTCACTCATACACTCCTGCCACCACGTTCAGGTGGTTGATAACCTTCTCGCCTCGATTGTTCGATACCTAATAATTGATGTACTCGTCGTGCAAAGGTTTCTCGTCATCCCTTATTTTCGGCCCCGATCGCCCCGCTCCAAGTGGACAACCGACCCAGTTCTTGCTCTAAGCCCTGTCAACCAGGATCGGGCAGGCATTAGCGCTGTACGGTTCTCCTCTGTACCATTGAAGGATCATGTCCAAATTGGTCAACCGTTCCAGATCTATGAAGAGCATGAGGATTGGAGAAGGGGCCCCTGGGGTCGCGCCGCGCACGCACGGCCCAGAGTCTTTCGTCCTGAGGTCGCCGGGTCTTGTGTCGAGTTTCCAACAGACCAAGAAAGACTCTGGGGTTTCTCAAAACGAGGTCTTGCCCTTCTTTGCAGTGGACGCCGCTGCCGTCGTTCAGACTCGTCACACATACAGCCATCGACCTCTGCCCACACCTCCTCGTTCCAAAGCATCATCGACCATGGCTGAGCGGCCTAGGACTAGCGGCGGCCCTTCGCCTCATAACTACAGCGCTGCAAGTTTCAAGAATTTTGATAAACGTGTCTCCAAGGATGACATGTACATCAGGCCTCACTCTTCGGCTCGAGGAGGGTATAAGTCTTATCACATCCCGATACGGGACAACCCAGCGTCCCCGATAGAGAGTCCCGGTGACTTCTCGTACGACTACTCGCCAGCGCGCACGTTCACGGTCAGGACACAGACGCCGGACTCGATGGATAGCAACATGGGCACGATCGCAATAGGCATGGCGATAGGTAGTCCGACACACCCGCCACCTCAGTTTTCGGCCTCGAGCGAGTTCGCGGCCTCGAGCGAGTTCCTGACAACATCGGTTTCCGCAACGAGAAGCGATTGGCAGCCACAGTCATCCGGCATGAGCACGAGCATGGTCATGGCCTCGCCAGAACCGCCGCAGGAGACATCAGAACCCGCACCGGCACCGAAGCAGAAGTCAGGAAGGTGGAAGCTGTTCGGGCGTTCCAAGAGCAAGAGACTGGCATCATCCCCCGTCACCATCTCCCAACCCATGAACCTTCAGCAACCATCAGCCAGCAGAACAGACTTTGAGAAGTTCCCGACGACTAACCCGGCCAGTGATTTGGGAAGGCGGAACACGGAGAGGAAGCCGGCCGAAAGCAAACCGCCAATGCTGCGCTCACAAACAGCCGGTCCGACAGCCCCGCCAAGTCCGAAAGACGCAAAGGCTCCCAAACTTTTGAGCAGGATGGCGTCGACACGGTCAGCACGGAGTGTCAAGAAGTCGGATATCTCGGGACCCGTGCATGTGTCGATGGCAGTGCCGGTGATGCCGCCGAAGCCTTCGGCATCACCGAAGCCTCCGGGTGGCTTCTTGGACGTTGAGATCCCCAGCATCAAAATGGAGCGTTACAGCGTCATGTTCGGCAACGTTTTGGGGCAGCCGCGAGAAGTGCAAGCTTCGACGTCGGGACAGCAAGCACTACACTCGTCGTCATCTCTTCTGGAGAGGCGGCAAGCCACGCTGGACAGACTGAAGACAATCAGCGACCAGATTGCCAACGGAGAGAGGAATAGGGGTCGGGCAAAGGGTCGCAGAGCAACATCACCACAGCCGCCCGAATCACCGGCGTTCTCGCTTTCGCTGTTCCCGGCCACTCCCTCAGAGTCGGCGAATAGGCCTCCGCAATCTCCCCGTTACCGCTCGAACACCTCGCCTGCCTATATCTCCTCGACGCAACGGGCCAAAGTCGAACTCGCAAAGACGCATCCCGAATCCACGAGAAGGAAGACGCCGTCACCCGAGACGAGCGGTAACCGGCCCCGCCGGCCGCGGGAGCCTGCTGCGCATGAGGTCGTTACCGGCCCCAAGCAGGGATCCTTTGCCAACAATGACGAACCCGAAGAGATCCACCTGACGGAACAGCTGAAGCCGACCATCTACGAGCCTCCATGGCAGATGGTTGCCCCGGCCGCATCGACCGCTCCCTCGAGCGCCGCGCCCAGCGCGAAGGACCGTTCCCCCACGCCCGTGTCGCCCGTCCAGACGCACGTGACGAAGCCGTCTTTCGACGGTTCGGAGCCCGACGACGCCCTCCGCGCCGCCGTAGAGATCTCCATCGCGAGGCAGATCAGCATCTCCAGGCAGCAGCGCCAGATGCTCCGGCCCATGAAGCCCAACGCCGTCCGCATCGGTGGCGCCAACAGCCCCCGGACCAAGAGCCCTGTGCCGCCCATCGCCGTTGGCAAGAACGAGCGGCTGTCGTCGACGAAGAGTTCCACGCCAACGCTCATCTGCCCTGGGGAGACCTTTGAGCAGCAGATTGCGCAGAACCGCAAGAGCGAGCGCATCATTGTCGAGGACGAGTAGCTCACGACGACATCACCGGACCCTCCGACGGAACCTTTTTCTTTTGGACGTGTTTCTTTACATTTAGCTTTGTCCACTGGTTCGATGGCGGCCTGGCCTCGTCCATAATTTTGCCTTGGCCACTCTTTGTTTTCTTTGACTACATTCTCGGCAACCAGCCCCTCTTGTCCCCTTGTAACGCATTCCCAGACTTTTTATCCTATTATTCTGGAAGACCACGATTTGACGACTATGATTGGAGCGGACGACGGCATGCTCTGGGGAGTACTAGCATATGTGTATGATTCAATGTTGGAATCCATGTTTTTATTATTTCGAGGACGGAGGCATCAACTATCTGCGTGCGAGCGAGGTTGTCCAGTCGGTTCTGGGAGCATCAGACAGGAAGAAAAGCAAGAAAGAAAGGAAAAGTAGCCCTCCCTTTTTGCGAGCGAAACGACGGGGGGCTTGTACCTTGCCGGGGGGATCCGTGTTGGGGGAAGGCCAGTCCTTTATTCGTCTCATTTGTTGTCTATAGCATGGCCCCTAGAGGGCTCGAGTTTGCTGCATCGATACCACCTGTTGGAGAGGGGAAAACGGGGAGAAGGAGACGCGGCGCGTTAATGGACAGATTGGGGGAGGGTCGTAACAAAACGATTCACCCTGTCCTTCCTTCTCCTGCGTTTGTGTTTTATTATTATTTTGATTTGGTTTGACTTGTGTGATCTAACTAATGCATGGTCAACTCACTGGGGGCAGCGTGAAAAGAAGAAGAGAAAAGGGGAGCCCTTGGGAGGACCATGCTTCCTTTCGGATAATCTTAAAGCTTAAAGCGCACATCTTACACATCTGCTGAGCAATCTAGTCTTGGATATCCTGCCGTGCCCGCTCGTCGAGTGAAAAAAAAATTGGATCGTGTAAGCCAGATGGGATCATCGCATAAGACGGGCCTCACTCAGCGTCCGGACAATCGTTGCGAAGGGAGGCTTGGGAGCCGGGTGCGCACGCCGCGTAGGCTCCGCGCGGCTTGCGGACTCTTGACGAGGCCACGTCTGCCTGCCTGCCCCTCCCGGACGTTTGCATTTCCCGCATGGCTGCAGGTCTAACAACAGAGAACAGCGGTTGATCGTGTGACGTTCCCGGTCTGGACGCTAGAGTAGATGAGGCGATGGTGCAGCACCCAATCACATTTGTCTTTTCCGCACTGGAACTGACATTGAGCAGTACCGGGCGACATCGCCAGTAGTGATTGGAGAGGGTTGTAGTCCCGGACGAAGGAGTGCGGGTAGTACTGCCTCCGTCGAGGCTGAGTCTTGGAAGTTGCAGGGTTGTCAGTCAATTGCCGTGCAATGTCTCACGCTCAAGATGCCGGTAGCCCGTGTCTCAAATCGGAACAGTCTCTGCGAGGTTCACTATGGAAGAGTTGGATTAATCCTGAACCATCGTCTCCGTCACTACCCGAAACCATGGCTGCACGTTCGGGGCGGAATATATAAGCGCACCCCTCCTCCTCCATGAAAAAAGATCTTCCTGCAAAAGAGAAAACAAATACCGTTCTTGCTTGCGGAAAAAACAAAAAACAAAGGCCTAGCGAGCGTGACCAGAGCGAGCGTTTATACTGAAACGGGTCCAAAGGGTCCAAAGGGTCCAACGCCTTATACGAAATGACCAAGTAAGGACATGAAGGTATTTGAGAGTCGGCTAGATTTACATGACGATGCAGCATGAGTTTTGCTTCTTTGCCTGTTCTGTGAGGGGGGATCAGCTTCTGGGCGATAAGAGATGGGGCTTTTGGGAAACGACTTACGATAGAACATCTTGCTCTGGGAGCTCAGGCCATCACTCTTGGCCACCAGGTCGTCAATCTTCTCGCCGCGCTCCAAGACGCTCTGGATAGTCTTGTGCAGCACGATCTTGGTCTCGTCGAGCTCCTTCTGGATCTTGAGGATGGAATCCGCTTGTTGAGGGTCTTGGTACTTGGTGAGGTACTCCTTAAGCTCGGGCAGGGCGAGCTTAGGCTCGCCCGTTGCCCACGTGGAGCGGGGGTGCTTGGTGAGGAACTCGTCGACACTTGGGGGTTGGGTCAGTACATTATTCTACTCGGTCGGAAAGGAGGTTTGGCGATTGGCCAGCGCTTGGACGTACATCTTGGAGAGCAGCTGGTGAGCAACTAGACTCGGGTATTGGTGGTCGGAAATGATGCTGCGAGGCAACTGTATAAGCACCAACTTTTGCAAAGAGGGAGGCCCATCGACTTACACGCCACAGATACCCTCGCTTCTCCCTACGCAGTGGAAGGTGTTGTCGCCCTCCTCGATATCTTGCCTCTGGCCAGGGCGTGTCGACTCTGCGACCTTTTTAGAAAACAGAGTCATGAACTCGGCGTAGCTTCCTGTACCACCGTCAGTTCCAGTTCGGTTGTGTAGTGCGTGTAGGCCCCGAGGGCGCCCCGCTCGAATGAAAGAAAAGACGCCTTTCTTGCGCGTCATGATGAACTGACCCCTAGTGAATCTCGAGTATGCCGACAGCTCCATCTCGCTGCACAGCTCGACGGCGGGCTTGCTGTCATTGCGAAGGATCTATGCGACGCGCGAAAACGTCAGCAACTCGTGCGGATCGAAGCGCCGCAGCAACACGCGTTCTTGTTTGCAAGCCCTCTGCTAGCCATATTGCGACGAAATGGGGAAGAAGGACGTACACCGATGTAGTGCAACTTCATTGTCTTGACCAAGTATGAACGTTAGTCGTCGTGGCCGTTTGTTCGCTATCAAAGCGGTCTGGGCGGGGGAGATCCGGCTGCGACTTACGGCGGATTTTTAGAGGAAGGCACGAGGGGTAGTGAGTGGCGTCCTCGATCGCAGGTTGTCGTCGTGTTTCGTAGAAAATGGAGCTGTTGGGGTTCGGAGGCAGTCCTGTTATATCGTGGGCGGGGTGGGCAGGTCGTGGTGTTTTGTAGGAATTGAGATGAGAAACGGATAAAGGGGACGTTCAAGTTGGAGGACGATGGAGAACGTCTCTGCGACGTCAAAGTGCCATTAGTACACTGGCCCTAGGTGCGGCGATACATCACATGCACCAGCCACCCACTAGGAGGCCTGGTTCGGCGACCACCCATCCAGGCTGCAGAATACAGGTACCGACCTAGGTAGGTAATAACTAAGAGTACGGATACCTACTTAGGTAATCCAAGTACCTCAAGGCATTGAGGTACCTACCTCTTTGCCGTCTGGGCACGACATCACCCCGCAAAATAGCTTTACTATGTGGTCAGGTGTGTTATCGGGCGGGCCGGGTGCACCTAGGTGATCCTTCTTTACCTGTTGGAAGGGAGAATCAAGCATTGGGGCAATCCGTTTGGGTCTGTCTCCGTGGCGGTCAGACCCGTGCAGTGTACCCATATCCGTAAAAAAGCGGAGGAATGATAACGGACCCCCGCCAAAGACGGACGTCATTGGGTGCGGGTGCAACGAAACTCCCACAATAGCGCTGATGACAGGGGAATGGCAGCTGCAGGAACACCGCGCACTGTATGTACACCACTAACCTACAGTAGGCACATTCCGTTTTCACCCCACCAACAGCCGCCAGCCGTGGCGAGTCGGCTCGGTGAATGACTCTTCCAAGGCGCTAGTGAGCTTGATATTTCAACGTCACTGACGGGTTTATATAAGCGCCGGGCAAGCTCCAACCAACTGGATCCTGTACTCAAGCCGAACATCGAACCCTCTCAGTACCCGCAGGCAACCGCAAAATGGCGTCCGCCAATCTCGACAATGCAGAGGCCCAGTGGCGGGTCCAGTTCGAGGCCATGAAGACCGCCTTGGCTGGCCTGAAGCTCCCCTCAGAACCCCCCTCCGATGTGGACTTTGACGATGATTATGAGGGATACTCATCCGGAAGCGGCGCACAGGACGTTTGGGACTTTATCTCTGATGATGAGGATGACGACTATAGCAGCGATCAGCTCGACGGTCACGCTGCTACAAACGGAGATGCCTCCTACGGCGCTGCGTGGTTCGCTAGCAAGTGCTCGGGTGTAGCTGCGAAGAACGGCCTAGCCGACGATGTGTTCGAGAACCAAATCCTGAGCGTCTTGACATCTGGCCAGGGCGACGAGGAGCTTCAGTCTCAGCTTGCCGATCTCATCGGGTTCGACGACTTTGACTTCATCATCGAGCTGCTCGGTCATCGCACCGATATTGTGACGGCTGTTACGTCTCAGGGGTCTCAGGAACCGAAGGGGAGACTTCTCAGCAAGGCACAGCGCGAGGAGGCATTGCGACGACAGGACTATGAACACAAGAATGCATCGCTTGCGCCTGCCATGACCAGAGAGGTTCAATATCCCCATGTGTACAAAGCATACAACGCCGGGAATTCCCTCAGTCACTCCGGAAAGAAATACGCTCTTCCGACGGGGAGTGAGAGACTCCAGTTCGACAAGTACGAGGAATACGCCATTCCAGCAGGAAAAAAGGGCGTCCTAGGCCCTGGCCAGAAGTTGGTCAAGATTTCAGAGATGGATGGTCTTTGTCGCGGCACCTTCAAGGGCTACAAGACTCTCAACCGTATGCAAAGCCTGGTGCACCCAGTGGCATACAGGACGAATGAGAACATGCTCATTTGTGCTCCTACCGGTGCTGTGAGTCACCGCGCGGCCACGAGGGTCCTCACAAGATACTGATGTTCTGTCGTAGGGTAAAACGGACGCCGCCATGCTCACAATACTGCAAACCATTGGTCACTACTGCACCCCCAATCCTATCGAAGACCCGACTGTCACGGATTTCGCCGTCGAAGCGCAAGATTTCAAAATCGTCTATGTTGCTCCGATGAAAGCCCTGGCGGCTGAAATTACCGAAAAGCTTGGCAAGCGACTGGCATGGCTGGGCATCAAGTGCCGCGAGTTCACTGGAGATATGCACCTCACCAAGGCCGAGATCGTCCAAACCCAGATCATCGTCACCACCCCTGAGAAATGGGATGTGGTCACGAGAAAGGGAACCGGCGACACCGAGTTGGTGCAGAAGGTCCGTCTCCTCATCATTGATGAGGTTCACATGCTTCACGACGAGCGTGGTGCTGTCCTGGAATCGCTCGTCGCTAGAACTGAACGCCAAGTCGAGAGCACCCAATCGTTGATCCGTATCGTCGGTCTCAGTGCTACGCTTCCCAATTATGTGGACGTTGCCGACTTTCTCAAGGTCAACCGAAATGCCGGCATGTTCTACTTCGACGCTTCTTTCCGTCCTGTCCCGCTGGAGCAGCACTTCATTGGTGTCAAGGGTAAAGCTGGGTCGAAGCAGTCCAAGGAGAACCTGGACCAAGTGGCTTTCGAAAAAGTCAGGGACATGCTCCAAAGAGGCCACCAAGTCATGGTCTTCGTCCACTCGAGAAGAGACACTCTCCTCACCGCCAAAATGCTCCACGAAAAGGCTATCGAGGACTTCTGTGTGGACCTGCTAGATCCCACTGGCCATCCCAATTACGAGAATGCGGTCCGAGACATGAAGCAGTCCAAGGCCCGTGACCTGCGTGAACTGATCCCAAAAGGATTGGGTGTTCACCACGCTGGTATGGCTCGCTCCGACAGGAACCTTATGGAAAGGCTCTTTGGCGAAGGTGTCATCAAAGTCCTCTGCTGTACGGCAACTCTTGCTTGGGGTGTGAACTTGCCCGCAGCCGCCGTCGTTATCAAGGGAACCCAAGTGTACAGTGCACAGGAGGGTAAATTTGTTGACCTCGGTATCCTCGACGTGCTGCAAATCTTTGGTCGTGCGGGTCGTCCCCAGTTCGAGGACACCGGTATTGGCATGATTTGTACCACGCAGGACAGACTCCACCATTACCTGACGACTGTCACGGAGCAGCAACCGATCGAGTCCAAGTTTTCCACGAAACTCGTCGACAATCTGAACGCCGAGATCGCACTGGGCACAGTCACCTCGATCCCCGAGGCTGTACAATGGATCGGATACTCGTACCTCTTTGTACGTATGCAGAGGAGCCCCATGAGCTACGGCATCGAGTGGGCCGAGATCAGAGACGACCCTACGCTCGTCCAGAGACGGCGGCAGTTGGCCATCCAGGCAGCCCGTACTCTGCAGCAAAGCCAGATGATCGTCTTTAACGAGGTGACTGAGGAGCTTCGCAGTAAGGACATTGGCCGCATTGCCAGCCAGTACTACATTCTACACACTAGTATCCAGATCTTCAACACCATGATGCGCCCCATGGCTACGGAAGCTGATATTCTCAAGATGATCAGCATGAGTGGAGAGTTTGACAACATCCAATCCAGGGACTCGGAAGAGAAAGAGCTTTCCCGCCTGAAACACGATGTTGTGCCTTGCGATGTCGATGGTGGCATCGATACACCCCAGGCAAAGACGAACATTTTGCTGCAGGCTTACATCTCGAGGGCTCAACCGGAAGATTTCGCGCTTGGAAACGATCTGAACTACGTTGCTCAGCAGGCTGGCCGTATCTGTAGAGCCCTGTTCATGATCGCCCTGAATAGGAGATGGGGTCACCAGTGCTTGGTTCTTCTTACCCTTGCCAAGTCCATTGAGAAGCGCATCTGGCCATTCCAGCATCCCCTGCACCAATTTGATTTCCCCAAGTCCGTGTTCAACCAGCTTGACGCCAAGGAAAACCTGTCAATAGAAACAATGAGAGACATGGAGCCTGCGGAAATCGGCGCTCTCATCCACAACCAGAGCGCTGGCAAGAAGATTTCCCACATCCTCAACAACTTTCCGACAGTCAGTGTCGAAGCCGAGATCGCTCCTCTCAACCGCGATGTTCTCCGCATCAAGCTTTTCATCGAGCCTGACTTCAGATGGAACGACCACATTCACGGAACGTCCGAGTCGTACTACATCTGGGTTGAGAACTCCGAGACATCGGAGATCTACCATCACGAGTTCTTCATTCTCAATAGGAGGAAGCTTAACGACGATCACGAACTCAACTTCACCATCCCGCTTTCGGATCCCTTACCGACTCAGATTTATGTGCGAGCGGTCTCCGACCGATGGCTGGGTGCTGAGACGGTGACCCCCGTCTCCTTCCAGCATCTTATTCGCCCCGACACGGAGAGTGTCTATACCGACCTCCTGGACCTGCAACCGCTGCCCATTAGCGCGCTCAAGAACCCGGCGCTCGAGGAGATTTACGCCCAAAGGTTCCAGTTCTTCAACCCCATGCAGACGCAGATCTTCCACACTCTCTACCACACGCCTGCCAACGTTCTCCTCGGCTCTCCCACAGGCAGTGGCAAGACGGTCGCGGCAGAGCTGGCCATGTGGTGGGCTTTCAGGGAGAGACCGGGGTCCAAAGTGGTCTACATTGCACCCATGAAAGCCCTTGTACGCGAGCGTGTGAAGGACTGGGGAGCGAGGCTGGCTCGGCCTCTAGGACTGAAGCTGGTTGAACTAACAGGTATGATTTGCGTGGCGCCGAGCCTGATTTTCCCACTGACGACGTCCCCTAGGTGACAACACTCCCGACACTCGCACGATCAAAGATGCCGATATCATCATCACCACGCCTGAGAAGTGGGACGGTATATCTCGTAGCTGGCAGACGAGAGGCTACGTACGCCAAGTGAGCCTCGTCATCATTGACGAGATTCATCTGCTGGCTGGCGATCGTGGCCCGATTCTGGAAATCATCGTTTCTCGTACGTGCAAGCCGTCATCCTCGGCCGCCCGTGTCGCTGACCTCTTTAGGCATGAACTATATCGCGGCATCCATCAAGAACTCTGTACGCCTGCTCGGCATGTCGACGGCTTGCGCCAACGCCACTGACCTGGGCAACTGGCTCGGCGTCAAAGAGGGTCTGTTCAACTTCAGGCACTCCGTCCGCCCCGTCCCCTTGGAGCTCTACATCGACGGCTTCCCCGAAACCAGAGGCTTCTGCCCGTTGATGCAGTCCATGAACCGCCCGACTTTCCTGGCTATCAAGACGCACAGCCCCGACAAGCCCGTCATCGTCTTCGTCCCCTCCCGAAGACAGACACGCTTGACTGCGAAGGACCTGATCAACTACTGTGGCATGGAAGACAACCCCCGCCGCTTCCTCCACATGGACGAAGACGACCTACAACTAAACCTCGCCAGGGTTAAGGACGACGCCCTCAAGGAGGCCATCAGTTTCGGTATCGGGCTCCACCATGCCGGTCTCGTCGAGTCGGATCGACAACTGGCCGAGGAGCTCTTCCTGAACAACAAGATCCAGATCCTGGTCGCGACCAGCACCCTCGCCTGGGGTGTCAACTTGCCCGCCCACCTTGTCGTCGTCAAGGGCACGCAGTTCTACGACGCCAAGATCGAGGGCTACAAGGACATGGACCTCACCGACGTCCTCCAGATGCTGGGACGAGCCGGCCGGCCGCAGTTCGACAACTCGGGTGTGGCCCGCATCTTCACAAAGGACGCCAAGAAGGACTTTTACAAGCACTTCCTCCACACCGGCTTCCCCGTCGAGTCGTCCCTGCACACGGTGCTCGACAACCATCTGTGCGCCGAGGTCTCGGCCGAGACCATTGTGACGAAGCAGGACGCCCTGGACTACCTGACGTGGACCTTCTTCTTCCGCCGCCTGCACAAGAACCCGTCCTACTACGGACTCGAGGTCTCGGCCGAGGAGCATAACAGCATCGCCGCGCAGACGCTGGCCAACGATTACATGATCGACATGATTGACAGGTCCCTCGACGAGCTTGCGCAGTCCAGCTGCGTCGAGGTCTTCCCCAATGGCGACGTCGACCCCACCCCGATGGGCAAGATCATGAGCTACTACTATCTTTCCCACCTGACCATCCGGCACCTCGTCAAGCACGTCAAGGCGCAGGCCTCGTTCCTCGACGTGCTCGCGTGGATGTCCCGCGCCACCGAGTACGACGAGCTCCCTGTCCGCCACAATGAGGACCTCATCAACGAGGAGCTCTCGCGCAACCTCCTCTTCCCGGGCAGCTCCTTCGGCCTCCCCATGTGGGACCCACACGTCAAGGCCTTTCTCCTGCTGCAGGCGCACATGTCACGCATCTCTCTCCCCATCACCGACTACGTCGGCGACCAGACCAGCGTCCTCGACCAGGCCATCCGTATCATCCAGGCCTCCATTGACGTCACCACCGAGCTGGGCCACCTGAGCACCTGCCTCGAGTTTATCAAGCTCCTGCAGTGCGTCAAGTCCGCCCGCTGGCCCACCGATCACCCCACCTCCATCCTCCCGGGCGTCGGCGTCGACACCCTCAAGTCGGACAAGTCCGACCTCGGCCTCGCCAAGGTTGCCGCCCTCGCCGCCTCCCCAGGCAAGGTCTCCAACCTGGCGAAGCAGCTCTCTGTCCCGGCTCATCAGCAGCCCCGCTTCTCAAAGGCCGTCGCCCAGCTCCCCAACCTCGCCGTCTCCGTCCCAGAGGCCACGGCGCTGTCCGTCGCCGTCGACCTGCGCCGCCTGAATCCGCTGACAGAGCGTGACGCCCACGTTTACGCGCCCCGCTTCCCCAAGCCCCAGAACGAGGGTTGGTTCGTCGTCCTCGCCGACCCGGCACGCGACGAGGTTATCGCCGTCAAGCGCGCCGGCTGGTCCCAGGGGCCCGGGCGGAGCGTCGCCGTCGGGTCCAAGCCGTCAGCCCGCGCCAGCCTCAAGGTCCCCGAGGCCACGCAAGGCCGGAAGCTCGAGGTTATTGTTGTCAGCGACGCGTACATCGGGCTGGAGTACCGCGTCGGCGTCGACGTCCCCTCGGCGCCCGTCGTGGACGACGACGTGGACAAGTCCAAGAAGGCGCAAGCGCAGCAGGGCAGCGGCGCTTCTCGGGCGTGAGAGGTGCGGAGTACTTGTCAAATATGCAGATCTGGCGGAGCGTGGTTCAAGTTTGGTATTAGATGCGACCGATGCAAGAGAGATGCTATGATGCGGATGAAGAAGGATGCTACATGCTGCGGCCTGCTGCTGCTGTTGGCGTTCTCCTTCGCCAAGGAAATGCTCCTCCTCCCCCCCTGAGACGGGAACCGTGTAGACCAGAACCAACCAAATGAGAAAAGTTCCCACCTGCGGGCAAAGCCTTGGAAAAAACAAAAACAATGAACAGTACCCTCTCGCGAGAGATTCTGCCCCCTTTCCATGTAAACAAAAAAAGATGAAGGCCGACGAGGGCATCGTCGGGCGAGACATGAGCACGCGTATGAATAAAGAATGAAAACACAAAAACAACCAAAGTCGGGTCCCAAAGAAGCCAAAGAAGAACAAGAAAAAAATACAGTCCCTTTCCATTGTGCCGTGATCCCGAAAAGAGTAGTTGCAGCTTCCCAAACATGGAAACGAAATAAAATAAAACGCCATCGCACCATGCTGAGCTGTCTGTCCCAAAGAAAATGTGTCGTGTTCCATGTTTCGTGTTCGTGTCGGAGGGGCGTTGTTGTCGTTAGCTGTTTGATTAAGCGTATGCTGGCGCTAGTCTGGATTGAATGGCCGTCGTCGCCGACGCGTTGGTTCTCCCTCCCTATCGCTCCCCCCTGTGTGTCTCCCAAATGCCGATGCTTCCTCCCAGGTGTGAGAGGAATCCGTAGAAAGGTGAAAGCATTCGTCGTCGTCGTCGTCGTCGTTGTCGTTCGTCGGGGTATCCCATCATCTCGTGCTGAAAAAAGTCCGATTCCACCAGTCCCGTCTGCCCATGGTATGCTGAATGCATCTATGAATAAAAAAGGGGGGACGGAAATAGATGCGTATGGAGTCCCCTCCAGCTCCCCTGCACGTTTCTCCCCTCTCAAGAGTTTCGTGCTCGGAAAATGTGAAGAACGCAGACCCAGAGACCCTCCTCCTAGTTCCAGTGTCGTCTCTCCCAAGGAAGGAAATCAGTTAGGTGCCGCTCTCAACAGCACCTTTTCCTTGCCTTGCCGGCCGCCTCGTCGGTCTCCTGTTCCGTTCCGCCCTGCTCGACCGTAACCGCCGGTGAGAAGTTTGGCGAGAACAGCCAGCTCCGCCTGTCGCGACCGACGCGGAAGCTGCCCCTCGGGTTCATGCCGTCAAAGTAGCCGCCGTCCATGCCGGCCTCGTAGCCAGGCGTCCCCGGCGTGGCCATGGCCATGAGCAGCGCCTGCTGCATCTTGCGGTTCTGCTCAACCAGCTTCCGCGTCACAACGCGGAAAACCTCCTCGACGCCCTCGCCGCTCTCGGCGCTGATCTCGTGGCATGCGTCCCAGCCGACCTCCTGGCCCCAGAAGCCCGACGACCGCTTAGAGCTCGGGCTCCGCGGCTCCCCGCCACCCCCGCCGAATGTGCTCGTGCTCTGGTATACCTGGGACGATGACTGGCGTGGGTCGGAGGAAGAAAGGAGAGAGGGCATGCCGTTGGGGGTAGCGGTGGGTGGCGGCGTGGAGGCCTGCCCGGGGGCGAGGTTCTCGGCAACGTACGCTATGCAGCGCTCAAAGGGAACCTCACGGCGGGAGGGGTCACGGGCGACCATGTCTGCTTTCGTACCTACGACGTGGAGGACAACGTCGCCGGGGAGATTACGGCGTAGCTCGGTGAGCCAGATGCCCATCTCGGTGAAGGACTGGGCGTCGGTGATGGAGTAGCAGAGAATGCAGGCGTTGGCGCCGCGATAGTAGAGGCGGGAGATGGACCGGAAGCGTTCCTGGCCGGCTGGGACAGGGGACGGTAGGTGTTAGTCAACGTTTGCGGTTGCGGAAAAAGATAGACACGAAATGGGTGCAACATACCGGTATCCCAGATCTGTAGGCGTACCATGGTATCGGTATCGGTATCAACGACGCGCTTAGTCATGAAGCTCGCGCCGACGGTAGACGTCGTCTGGGCCGGGTTGAAGGAGCCTTTGCAATAGCGCATGACGAGGCTCGTCTTGCCTACGTTCTGGGAGCCGAGGACGACAATTTTGGCTTCGAGGGACGACATCCTTGTTCTATCTCGGAGAGAAGGGGGTTATTGGGAGGATGAGGAGGATGAGGGGGAAGAGGGGGAAGAAGAAAGCGCGGGTCGCGCTCCTTTCGGAATGGTCGGTCGGTCGGAATGCAGCCAGACAAACTTCAGTCGCTCCAAGAAGTTCGATGGTGATGCGACCGAGGGAGGCGGCAGCGTAGAGGGGGAGTGGAGAGAGTATATGGAATTCGGTGAGGGAGATAAGGGGAAAGCGAATGTCGGCGTGAATGGTAGTTTTTGTTGGAGAAATGGGGGAACACACTCGGACGGGAGTGGCTGTCGTCCTAATCCTCGATGGGGGAAAGTTACCTTTGCGACAATGTGGTTCCGAGATCAAGGTAAGACGACCGTTTGGTTTCGAGGCTCCCAGAAGGTGCGCGAGGCACGTAGTGATTGGGCGACGATGCGGCTGACCCGTCTCCAGTAATATCTACGTAGTAGGGGGTAGCGCCGTTGCGCATGGACAGCACAATAGCCTTTTTCTTTTCTTTTTCTTCTTCTTCTTCTTCTTCTTCTTTTTTATTTTTACTTTTTAGGTGCGAGGTCCTCTTGTTTCTTACAGAAGAACGATTGGATGGGCTGGATCTAAGCGTGGTCACGCCGGCGTCAGGTCAAAAACGTAGGCGACCACGAGGTCAGTGATCGGCCGATGGGTACGCGTGTTTTTAGTGGCGGCGGCAGCGGTGGAGGAGGTGGTACGTGTAGTCGTGGTGGCGCGAATTTGCGACCAGTGAGTTCCGAGGTAAGGTACTCCGTAAGCAGGAAAGATAGTAAGAAATTATTGATGATGGATGGCAGAAGTCGCTGAAAAGAGGGAGAGCGATTCGACTCTGACGGAACGAGCGGCAGGGGATGGTGATGTGGGCGCTTGTGGTGTTTTTTGTTGATGTTTTTCTATTCTTCTGTTTTTTTCTTTTTCCCTTCTTTATTTTTATTTATTTTTGGCCCTCTGGTTGCTTGTTTCCGTAACATGGGGGGGGGGGGGGGGGGGGTAAGAGGGGAGCATCACGGACGGGGAACGGGGGAAGATATGGAATCGGCTTTGTTTTGCGGGGCGGCGAACGCGTTGTCTTTGTCTTGCTCATGCGTGGGAACTCGTCCGTTCACGCCTTCTTTTAAAGCACAAGAGGGCTCGAACGTGGGTCTCGGAAGAAGTGGTAAATTGGAGTTGCATCTTCTCTTCATCATCCGTCTTCTCTTCGAGACTGACGGGCCGCCCGAGGAATCGGGTTAAGTACCTGGCCGACGTTTGGGTCTTTTACCAGTAGAGGCCGTGGGTTGGGATCATGGCTACCGCTCTTGCCCAGTTAGTAGTGCCAGGAGAGGAGAGACACAGCATATGCCATCTGCTTCTGGTGACCCCAACGGTTCCTAGAGAATGCAAGTTGCACGTTAAAGATGGGATGGAACCTGGAAGGGATGCTGCATGCATGGGCGGGAGGTCCGGCGTATCAGGTATCGACTAACAACTTAGCTTACCCAGAGTTTACATGGCAATTAATGTAATGCACCTAGACTGATAGGTAGAAGACTCAGTTCGATGTTGAACACGGGGACAGGGTCTCTCTCTGAGATGGACGCCACAGAGCTGTGGGGGGGGGCCTGGGGGCCTCGTTCAGCTTTCCAGACAGCGTCTTATCGCTGCATTTCAGAGGTGGTCGCGTGGTGAGTCCCCTTCTCCACCCTTTGGGCCCACAGATGCGTCATGTCGTCATCGCCCATCGAGGGCCGTTCCTGCGATGGCCACCCTCGAAACCTACAGCTGACCATTGAGACGAAGAGGACGAGACATGGTATCCGTATGCTGTCACCCGGTACCCTGTGGGAGGAATAACATGCACGGCCAAACCCAATTGGACCGTCCTCGGCATCGCGTCCGATAAGCCGTCAACCTTTCTCTCTGTCTTTGTCAGCTACAAACTCAGTCAACAGGGTAGGCAGTTGGATACGTCAATACTGAGGTACGTATTGTGTTTATTCTAGAAACCTCCTATCGTATTGTTGAGTATCGGGCATGATGCTGTGTTTTTTTCTGACTGTGTCAACAGCGTTGTTGTGCACCTGTGTGTGCAACCTCGAGGGGGACCGCTTTGTCACCGTACCTGAATGCGACCTCGAGGGATCGCCTTGGATACGTACCTCAGGTTCCTTTCTGCCTTCTAATTAGCTATTTACTTGGCACACAACAACTGCTCCTCTTCTGGCAGATGCGGCAGCCGTTGACGCCGTTGATACTGGTCAAGTCTGGACAGCTCACGACTCTCGCCACGCTACATTTCCAACTCTTGGAAGAACCTGTTCGGTTCATTACGGCGATCTGAGGCTCATAATTGTATGTAGTAGATGGGATGCTCTTCCAACCCTACCCTGCTAAATTTAGGCTCCACCATGTTTCGGGAAACGCCGATCTCAACCCCCAATAGCAACCTCGCCATGCACATCGTCACACATCGAGTCACAGATCGCACCTCAATCATAGACATTAACGATTCTTGTTGTCTTGTCTCATCAGGCATATGTCTAAAGGATATCATGCTTTTTTTTTGTCCAAATCAAACCTCCCCCCAAAACACCAGAAAATCGACGCCAACACCAGTGCAAACAGGCTTTTCCCTTTTCTCCATATTCACAAGATTACGTGCACAGTCTTTGCGATGCTGGGCGTGCCCTGTGGCGTGGAGACGAAGAGGTAGTAGTACCCGGGGAGCAGGATGCCGTAGTCGTCGGGCAGCGTGGCCGAGTACTCGTTACCGCTGACCGTGACGTTGAGCGGGACGCGACGCTGGTCGCTGTTTACCGAGTGCGTGACGCTACCGAGGCGGATCAGCGCCGCCGTGCCCTGTCCCTCGACGCCCTCGACAGTGAACGTTAGTGTAGCCCCAGCCTTGATGGGATCCGCACTAATGGCCGAGATCACGGGCCGCGCGGCGCGGCTGCCGTCCTCGTTGAATAGGTAGGGGGGCTCAAAGATCTCGCCGTCAGAATGATCGACAGTCTTGTCGCAGCCGGCAGTCGAGTCGCCGACATTCTGAACCCAACACATACCGCCGCCGCCTGAGAAAACGGTTGCATCGGGCAGGAGGATTGATACGGAGTGGTAGTTTCGCGGTACAGCCATGGGCGCCATCTGCTTCCACTCCCTGGTCTCTGGGTTGAAGAGCTCGGCGACGAGAATGCCGTCTGTGTTGGTGAAGACCAAAGACATACGCTGGCCACCCGTTACAAGAACCTGACCATCAGGGAGCACCACAGCATTAGCAAACCCACGGGGGAACCCCATGTCGGCGACACGCTCAACCTCCGCTGGCGTGTTGGGCTCGCCGATGGTGGTGATATGCGCGCGCTGGGTGGCAGGGCTGTCTGTGTAGTCAGGACTACCGCCAGCAGAAAAGATCTTGCCAGCAACAGCATCGTACATGACCCAGACGCCACACATGGCGTCGTCATCGTCACGAGTGGCGGCCTTGGCGACGGTCCCGTTGCCCTGGATGCCGTACCAGTGCTGGTCCTTACTAGGGCCAGCCTGGAAGATGCTGCCGTTCTTCCATCCAAAGAGCCAGGCGTGGTTGTCCTCGCGCCAGATGCCCTCGTGGTCGTTGGTCAGCATGGGCCTGAAGTCAGCGCCAGGGAGGTAGGTCCACGCGTTGGCGACAGGGTCGTACACCTCGCCGTTCTTGCCCACACGCTCGCCCGAGTAGGCGCCTCCAATAGTGAAGACCTTACCGTTAGACAGGGTGCACGAAGTCTGGTATCCGCGGGCAAGCGTCATGTTGGGACCACGGGTAAACTCGTTGGTGGCAGGGTCGTAGATGCTGACAGTATCAGCGTCCGAGCCTCCCTGGATCAGAATCCGGCCATCCTCAAGCTGTGAGATGCCCGGGCAGAACATGTCGTGGTGCGTGTTGGTGACAGTCCGCTGGGAAATAGCGCCAGTGGCAAAGTCATAGTCGCCGAATTGGGTCATGCCGGAGGCGCCGCTGAAGGCGTCGTTGCTCCAGGAGGAAAAGAACAGCAGCCTGCTGGGCTCGGGGTAGGACGGGACGATATAGGCAGCAACGGGGATCACCGGCAAGCGGATCAGATCACCCCATTTCCCCTTGACCGCCGGGTCGATGTTTTCGGGAAGACGAATGGTGCTGAACTGCTTGTCCTGGACCCAGAAGATGGATGTGGCGGGCTCGGCAGCCTTGATGGCACAGGCGTTGTTGATGTGGTCAAAGACGGACTTCCTGCAGTCCTGCGTGTTTGAGCAGAGCTCGGCGCACGCCTGAATGGTGGTCACGCCCTCGACCACCTTGGCATTGACACCAGTGTAGTCAGTGTCCGGGCAGATGCGGTACTCAGCGTTGGTCTCGGGGACGCGGTAGGATGTTTCGTTAAAGGAACAGGTGGAGATGAAAGCACCCTCGGGCAAATCATTGGTCAACCGGATGGTTTCGAAGCGGTCATCGGCAGCCCATTGCATCGGGTTCGTGCTGTTCTTGACGTCGCATGCCTTATTCACATTGTCGTAAACGGCCCTGTTGCAGCGAGCATCTGAGTCGCAGATCTTGGCGCATTCGAGGCTGGACTGGATATCTCTGACGGTCTGAAGACTGGCGCCACCGTTCTGGTAGTCGGAACCGGGACAGAGGGTGTACTTGACTCCGATGGGGGTCTCCCAGACGGTTTCATTGTTCGGGCAGCTCGTGATGGCCGCGGATGCGAGTTGTGAAAGGAGAGAGGCGGCCGCAATGGCCTTGTACGCGCATGAGCGAACCATGTCGACGCGAGAATAGTATAGTTGGTGAGAGCGAGTTTGTTGTGTTAAAACGAATGTGGTTGCTTAACGGGAGCGAGTATGAGCGAGTGTAGTGTGTAATGAGTGTAGTTGGTGTAGTGACTGTGAGGTACGTATAATAAAAGAGTGACGTGTACCTCATATTAGAATTAACACATGAAAACGAAGCAGCAAAAAGAACGAGAGACTGCTCGTGAAGTTGCCGGTGAGAGCGACGTGAGAAACAAGAGGCTCTAAGAGGGGGGAGGGAGGTTCGATATGTATACACAACCGCCATAGGACCTAGGTGGTGTAGACATGCTCACGGGCACGACATCCTTTGCGTCCTCGGAAAAAAAGTGGAAACCCCTGCCAAACTGCGCCTTTGCAAAGGTACGGGAGTTGTCCGGTAGAGCCCGCCGAACGGGTCATGCTTTGTCGGCGCCAGGGCTGGTCATTGACGAATAGGAACAGTTCTTGAGGGGTACGCGTGGGGAGGATGTCGAGAGGCCAAGACCAGGCGATAACCGTCACCGTCAAGCACCGGGGGTTGACCCCTCGGGTCCCTCCCCCTTTGATCTGCCCTTGCACCAGGAGCCACATGGCTCTGGCCCAATGTTCCCACCATGGTGTGTCCATACGGACTCTTGCAGTCATTTAGCAGTATAAGTTATTGTCAGAGCTGAGAATTAGAAGACTTGGGTCCAGTGCTCGGCAGTACTCGTGCTGATTAGAACTTGCAGACATATACTGACACTAGACTTACCTTACGTCTAGTCTTGGTATGCTGGAAATTTAATTTAATAGCATTTATGTAATGATACTACTATTGTTACTGTAGGACTTACAAAAGTGGTAATTTGCCTGTGGAAATCTTATCTGAACATTTATGCTTCGTCCGAACGATCCGATTCCCAAAGTCCGTACCTAGATCTGCCGTCCGATGTCTTTATGATGATCGGCATGCCACGTAGAGGATCTCGAAAGTACATTGTACATCGTATGTAGCTTGTCACCGCCACCCTCTGCACGTCACCGGTGTTGACGTTTTTGTGGGCATGCAGTGACTGGTCCTGGCAGTTGAGATTATTTTTTTCCCAAGCCAAGCAAGACAAGAGATGGGGAAAGGGGGGGGGAAGGGGGCATCCCGCCGGCGACGGAGACCGTCCTCTACCGCTCACCCACTCAACCCTTGGGGCATTCTCAGGCTTCTTGTGCGATTTCTCGTGTTGAAGGTGGCGGATGTTTGCGTCGAAACTACGCAAAAGAGAAAACCGTCTCGACGACCATTGCCGTGTGGAATGAGAGAAGACATCCCGTCGGCCTGAAACAGTATCAGGTCGTTCGGAAGCACGCGGCTTGTTGGTGGGGGTTCGTTGTTGGCCAGCACAGCCCTATACTACCCAGGCTAGCCGATGACCTAGGTACCCACCCCTGGTACCTGAGCTAAACAGATATAGAAATCCGTGGGGGGGGAAGGTAAGACGAGATGGAAAGTGCTAGACGCCTTACTACCAGTATACACACCTTAGGACCTCAGCCATGGACCGGGGGGTCCTGAAACGAGAAAGTGCTACAGTGGGGTACCTGTCCCCCACTTTACACCAAAACTCATAGTTTTTAGACTTTTGTTCTACGCTATATACATTGTAGATAGTAAGAAAAGTATAAAATAATTGATACTAAGTGTTAAAGTCTATTAAAGTATGTATAATACAATCATTTATAAATTTTACACTAAAACCTTTATATATTATAAAGTCTGTTTTAAACTATATATATATAGGTATATAGGTTTTTAGCTTTAAACTAACAGTAGCTAGCCTTTACTACTACGGTATCGGGCCAAAGTTTAACCCCCTCGTCAGGTAAATGTGGCCGTGCTTTTTTTGATTATCCCAGCGACAGTACGGAGGAGCGTGTCAAAAGTAGTAATCCACAGTGCCAAGACTAGAAGTAGGGAATCTAGGAGGAAAGACTTCAAGATACCTCGTCTTATCAGACTCTTAAGGGACTCTAGAGTGTCAACAAACTATAGGCTTAATCTCTTAGGGGAGACAAGCTTAATGTCTCAGGGGAGACAAGCACACTTTAGGTATAGTAGGTGGGGAGAAGTATAGTAAGCGTCAGGCTCTTATGTACTTCTGTAAGATAATTGCTTGGTTAACAACCAACTAGACGAAAAGGTCTAGTCTTGCTTCCTCTAATGTTAGAGGAACAAGACAGAAGCGTGCTTAAGTACTCTAGATCTCTATTTCCTTACAACTTCCTTGTACTAATACTGTTAGCTAGGTGATGCTACTTAAATTTTCTTGGCATTCTAGATCACTACTTTTGACATGCTCCTCCGTACTTTGAGCTTCTTGTGCACATCTATCATAATTCTGGCCAGTGAGAGTCTCTCGTACGTGGGTCACAACTCCACACTAGGTACCTGCTAGGGAGTTTATACTTACCCATCATACGGAGTAAGCTTCTAAAGTTAGTAAGTTTTGGTGTGAGCATGGTGGATTGCGGGGAACTTTTGTTTACCCACTGTAGGCGCCGATCACGACGTACCCACAGCATTCGGCCTGGTTACTGGTATTTTCACGGTCCCCTTCTGGTATTTTCACGGCCTACCCGCCACCACCGCCACAATAGTGTACACCCAAATAACACATTCCATCACCCTAACATAACCAACTAACCCAGACCCTAACCACTAACCCTACGCATCTTTTATATATACTTTTAAAGAGGCTCAGGGTTAGTGGTTAGGATGGTTAGGGTCTGGGTTAGTTGGTTATGTTAGGGTGATAGAATGGAATATAGTATTCCTAACGGGACTAACTACTAGCCTAGATGGGCTTAGAGGGCCGTGAAAGTACCAAAAGGGGGCCGTGAAAATACCTGTAACCATTCGGCCTCCCCCTTCCCACGTCCCGTAATGTCTTTTTTGATTGCATCGAGGTCGTCAATGACTCGCACCCGCATAACATACCATGTACCCTCGACGGTCGCTGAATCGCTCAAGCCGAGTACTCCTCAAGCGATACTCCTTCACACATGTGTTCGCACGTCTCTGCTCGCTGCTCCCCTTAGCACGGCTACACACCAGAACGTACGGCTCGGGAATTCGACCAGGGCTTCGGCCGCTGGGAACGGAGGCCCCCCTGCCGGCTCCTACGCGCCGGCCGAGTTCTGTCTCTCGGTTCCTGTGCGAGCCCGTCTGGCAATCAGTCCGGCTTGGTCGTCATCGATGCTGTTGGCTACCACGCGGCCGAGCAGGCTTCGCTTACCAGAAAGGAGAGAGGGTCCGACCGTCAAAGTCGTCGCCGTGCGAGGGTGTCTTTTCATTCTTCCGGCGTCTAGTCGGTCCTTTTGTTCTTGCGCGATACGAGGTCGAGGACAACCGTCCATATTCGACCATTCTCTTCCCCGGTTAGGCGCGTTCACACGCCTTGACAGGTCGAAGCCCACGTTGTTGGACCAAGAGCTACCCACTGCGTATGCATGGGAAGCCGTAACCTCACAGACGATCCCCCTGAGAGACGGCCCGGTGTCATAAAAAGTGGATGGTTCTGAGGCCCAAGGGGGCCGTTGTTCGAGGCTCCTTGATGTGTTCCACACCTGCCTTGAGTATACACACGACCCATAGAGGCAAGTTGGTCGCGCGCGCAAGCTGCCTGTGACTGTTCTTCTCCAGTTAGATGGACCGTGGAATCCGAGCCGGCATCGTGTGGTCCTCCGAGTGCCCAAACAACGCACCAGGTCCTGTGAGCTCGTCCCTTTTTCTCTAGCATATACGTCGTGAGCAGCGGGCATATCAAAGTCACACAGCGTTTGCCATCTTACGCCGCTAGCAGTGTGCCTCCGACTTCCCCCGCCCGATTGTCGGGCGGCAGATCGAGTATAAAACGTGATTGGACGACAAGAGCCTTGAGAGTTCCTCGTGGCTGCGCTTGGTAAAGCCCAGGAGGAGGGCACTGGTGGAGTCCCCCCACCCCAGAGCGAGACGTCGGAAAGCCACTGTATGCCTGTCTTGAGGAGAATATCTGCTTCGCTATTGCCGCCTTGCATGGCGGCTCCATGACAGCAGACGGGACGACATCGGCCTGTCACTGGACACTCGCCGCCGGCGCCCGTACTACCTCAACCAATACACAGCGGTGTATTAAATCGTCTCTAAAGACGTTTGGCCTTCCGTGTCTATGTGATCTACAAGTGGCCGTGGGGCTTCTCAGTGGTCCCTTTATAAGCATTGCCTTGGGACGAAGCTCGGCTGGCAAAAGAAGCACCATGTTCGATCCAACGCGAAGGTGAACGATGACGATACCAGAGAATGCTATTTTTTTCTTCTTCTCTTTTTCTGACGACCAGTTCTGCTCTTGACAGAACATCCGCAACATGCCAACAGGAGCACATATAGTATCTAAACTACGCAGAATGTATTGATATGTTTCTAGTGTATAATGCTATATATATGATATATATAAGCTCTCATGATGCTTCACGCTTGCTCCCAGAAGTCAACGACCCCGCCGCGTGAAAGGCTTCATGTACGTGTTCGCTAAAACGCACAAACTTCTCCGAATCGGGCTTACAACTTGGAAGACTTGGGAGCCTTGGGCCTCTGCACCGGCGTCGCCAGAGGGTCGTACACGGCCATTCCGAGGTTATCCGAAGGCGTGGCGCCGTGGTTGAACAGGCTCCGGGTGTCGACGAGGGACGGGTTGAGCTGGTCTACGCTTGTGCAGCCGATGAGGCGCATATTCATCTCCATCTCGTCGCGGAGAAGCTGCATGGCGCGGTCAACGCCGTCGAAGCCGTAGCCGGACATGGCGTACAGGAAAGGCCTGCCGATGCCAACGCCCTTAGCGCCGAGGCAGAGGGCCTTGATGATGTCGGTAGCGCGGCGCACGCCGCCGTCAATGTAAATCTCAATGGCGTTCTCCAGACCCATGCGGCGCAGCACAGGCATCGTCTCGGCAAGGACCTCGATACCGGACCGGGCAAAGTCGAGCTGGCGACCTCCGTGGTTGGAGAGCACGACGCCCTGGACGCCGGCCTCGATGGCCTTGATGACGTCCTCGACACGCTGCACGCCCTTCAGGATGATGGGCATGTTGGTGATGGACTTGAACCAGGGAATATCCTTCCATGACAGAGCGGGGTCGATGAAGGACGAGATGGCGCGCGCGGCGCCCTGGCTCTGGTCCGTGGCCTGGCCGGACTGCACATTCGCGCCGGGGTCGGTGAACTTGGAGCGCATGTCCTTCTCGCGACGACCCAACTGCGGCGCGTCGACGGTGATGAAGAGACCCTTGCACCCACGCTTCTCGGCGTGCTGCACAATCTTCTTGGTGATTTCGCGGTCTTTGTTGACGTACAGCTGCATCCACTGGACCTGATCCCCTTCGGCGGCGTCCATGAGCTCGTCAAACGAGCACGAGGCCAACGTTGGGATCATCTGGATGACGTTGTGCTTGCGGGCGGCGCGTGTGAGCAGAACCTCGCCCTCCGGGTGGCCAAGCTTTCCGAGGGCGGTGGCGGTGACGTAGAAGGGCATGTCGACCTTTGTGCCGAGCATGGTGGTGGTGAAGTCGACCTTTTCAACGTCGACGAGAATCTGCGGCCGGAACCAGATTCTGTGGAAGGCGCCGTGGTTTTCGCGCATCGTCTGCGTGAGGGTTTGGGTCAGCATCGCTGGCTCTTGGTGCTCTGGCTGTCCAAGGACGAGGGAAGGACACTCACGATTTCGTCGTCAGCGGCGCTCGAGTAGTACGCCCACCCAGTCTTCTTCATGACTCTGCGTGCCACGGCCTCAAAGTCCATCAGGTTGTAGCATTGGGACAGCAGCGGCTTGTGCTCGACCCTCTCCAACCGCTGCAGCTCTTCGGGGTCCTCTTCCTTCGTCTCCACCACTACGGAGGCCATATCGACGGGGCCCAGGTGCTTGGACTTGTCGAGGTACTTGTCGAGGGTGTCGGGCGGGTGGATGGGGTCGAATTCTTCTGTCGCATCTTTGCCGGCATACTTCAGAATGATCTTGGAGCCACCAGGGTGCTCTAGAAACTGGCGTTAACGACGATCGGATCGACGGTTGTGGTTGAAGGCGTACTCACCCGGCAGGAAGTCTGTGACATCATACGCTTTGCCCTATCAATCGGCCGGATGTCAATTATGAGCCTTCTCCGTTGGAGTGAGACGCTCGGCGGCAGCTTACGTGGACAATGACCCAGCAAGAGTCGGCACTGTTGTGCTTCGCGATCTCGTCGCCCTTCAAACCCATTTTTCGTTGGCTGTGCGCGATTATTGTTCCGCTACTCCGGACTGATGGAAGTCGTGAGGTGGGAGGTTGCTTGGAGTCAAGGAGGATCCGGGGTAAAGGCCGACAATTGGCAGATCTTTCTCCACGGTGTAGCGCAGTTTTATGGGTGGCCCGTCTTCTATTCGGACCTAAGGAATTTCAAATTAGGCGGGCCGGGAATAGCAGATCTACAGCACGGTTTGACGTGATGGGTGGAAGTGAAGCCGACACAACCACATGAGCAGATCGAGATGCAGCTGTCGTCTCGCTAGTCAGTTCGAGAATACGTCTTCTACAATGACATTAAACAAAATTAAATGAAAGTTGCGGCGGCGTATTTGCTATATAGTTTACGTACAAGTAGTAGGTTAAAACTGGTGGGGGCCATATTGGGGGTTGGAGAAGAGCTGCCGGGGGGCGGGGGCGAAACCCATCAAAGGTCATCAGCTCGCTCTTCATTGTACCGTCCGCCACTGCCGTGCCCCACAGTGGCTCCCGCGTCGCGCTAGTACAAGTACTCACCTCGGGTCAATTGGGTGCGGGGTAATATGGGCATCACCGTTGATTGTAATTTGTCGGTGTATAATCCCACCGGCCCAATAAGTGCGCACACGCGTTCGTCCAACAAGCCACCGCCTGTACGCGGGGTCCTCCAGCTACCCTTCGGCTTGCGAGCCGCGGCCGGTACGGCTACGATTCCGAGGAAGACACGGGACGAGCGGTCTGATCCGAGTCGTCCTGTCGCGCATGGCTGAGCTGGACCATTTAGTGAACGTGATCTTGACCAGAAGTTATTCCTGGTGGGCACTGCCGTGTCTTGTGGTTGCATTCCCTAACGACAGGCACGATCGAACAATCTCTGTGGTTTTGACCCTCGAGATCCAGGTCTGCGAACCCGCACTTAAGCAGGAGCCAGCAGCGACGAAGATTCCCGTTTTGGACTGTAACGATCAGCTCCCAAGTTACCAAGATGATTCTACATTCCTCCCTGGTTGAAGCTTCCTGGAAATCACTTCCCTGCTCATATCCAGCCAATCAGTCAGACCGTAACTTATTTAGGAAGACCCAAAAAAATACTCGTGTTTCCCCCCTGACTTATAAACCTGGTATGTCGCAACCGACACTTCATGGGGCACAATATGAATAGCAATCCTGCCCCTTCCGTGCCCATCTAGCTTTCTCAATAATCACCGGGTATAGAACTCCTCACCGCCCATCTTGGCAACCAAACACCATAAAACCCCTTGCAAGCCAACCGGCAACCCGTAAAGATGACCTCGACACCCAGCGCCTACTAGAATACCGTCGGTCTCGGGCCGGATGACACGACGACCTCTGACACGCTCGACGTCCTCTGCGACGACGCCTTGCGATTGCTCGCGAATCTCCCAAAGAAGCCCTCGGCCCGCCTTCGCCGCTCGCTGCTCGACACGCTCGAGCGGTCCGACGTCTCGTGGATCGTGTTGCTGTCGATATGGGTCTGCGGGAAGATGCCCCAGACCCCCTTGGCGTTGGTACCGGACCAGCACCAGTGGTCCTGCCAGGCCCCTATGATGCTGTGTTAGCCTTTTCGACTTTCATCCAACGAATGCCCACGCCTAGAGAAAAGAAAAGAGCAGAAAATGGGTGGACGGAAACCCACAGCTGATGTTGGTGATCATATCCCCCTGGTCGAACCGCAGCCAGTCCCCGCCGTCCTTCGTCTTCGGCGCAAACTTCCACCTCGCCACCGCCGAGATGTTTCTCGTTGTGTTCATCCGGATCTCCCCCTTAGGCGGCGGCTCCAGCTTCAGCACGTCCAACGGCGCCGACCCAAAGTTCTCCTCGTGCCATCCCATGACCCACTCGCCGTTGTACTTCTCCGGGAACACGATCCCCGAAACTCTCGCTCCGTTAGCCAGCTCGAACGCCGGCGTGTTGTCGTAGAGCAGCCGCATGCCGTACATGCGCTTCACCGTCTGCGTCGCCGTCGCGGTTGGCCGCAGCGCGATCTCCGTCTGCTTGGCCGCCAGCGAGCTCTCCTTTGGCGGCGCTCGGAAGTGTAGGTCGTAATTGTTGCGCAGGTCAGGCGGTATTTCAGCCTCTTCGATGACCGTGATCCCGGGCACCTGCGGTAAGGGACGGGGATGCCGTGCCAGGTGCTCAAAGAGCTTCTTCTGGCTGAAAAAGACGGTCGCATCGCACTCTTCAAGAGTCCGCTGGGCGTGGACACAGAAGACGCAGCCGTAGAGGAGTTCATCGGCGCGTTTTGTAGCGACGTGGGACTTCTGGAGGAACCGCGGGCGGTAGGCTATCCTGCACGAGAGAAAGTTCGCTTGCTCTGGCAGGTCATGTAAGTAAGTACATAGCAAAGACCCGGCGTTGGAGGAGCTTGTACGTACCTGTTCTGTCGACGTCTAGCTGGACCTGCCTGAAGCCGAGCTCGTACGAGCAGCTGGTACACTTGGCTACCTCGTGGGCGCCGGAGAAACCCTAAATCAAGCATGTCAGTTTGAGGCTTGGTCGAATACCATGGCAACTCACAGGCTTCTTGATCTTCTTGATGCCAAGGCCTCCCAGAGTCACTTCTTTCGCACCCTCGCAAAACCCCTTGTACAAGTAAAACGAGCTGCTCAGACCAATGCTACAGTCCTTCGGTCGGCTCGAAACCATAGCCAGGGGCTTTGCCGCATTGCTCGACTCAGATTCGACAGGAATAAGTCCTTCGCCGTCGTTCATAAGCAATGGCACTCTTTCAATGCCGTCATAAATACCTGACAGGAAGTTTGGCGGCATAACAGGCCCGCGAGGAGGTATGGAGCTCAGCTGCCCACCATGCCCAGAAGACGAGGAGATGCGATGCTCAGTCATCGCAAGGCTGTTGGAGCCATCATTCCTCCTACCATCGAAGACGGAGCTGTGAAAGGACTCCTGGGAGCGTTGTCTGGACGATTGAGAGTAGACCGAGCTTGCCTGGGAATAGCGGTGCGGCAACGGTGCAGAGTCCGGCTTCACCGGCTGGTCTTCGGTCACCACAGCAAGGGTAGCCGACGAGGTCCGGGCTCGCGCGCCTAGAGAGTTCCTATCCCTTGGCAAGGTTGGGGATTGTGAGATATCCAGAGGGCTCGTTTGATGATACTGTTCCTCTTCAGGTAGCATCCTTCCGGTTGGCATGCTGAGCTGTCGACTGGAACTATAAGACAGCCTTCTTGTATCTTCTGGGCTTACCGGCTCAGATACCGGGGAACTCATGGTGGAAACGGGCGGCCGACGCTCGATATGGTCGCCCAGCGATGCCTCCAAGCCCATTTCGATTGCTGGGCTCACTTTGAGATCCCACGGGTCCGTTGACGGAGGCGACGGTTCCCGAACCTCCTCTACTGTGAGACCCGGCTTAAGAGTTTGGATTTCTTCCTGGAGCTCTCTCTTGGGGGCGCCTTGAGCTCTTTGATCTCGATCCTGAGTTTCTATTAAGATGTAACAGTCAGCGCATAGCTATCAGTTTTTTATGTTGAGTGTACCTACCAGTCGCGGCAGGCGGTGACGCCGCGACAACCGGAGCGATGGGCTGCTGTCGCGGCGCCGCCTCGAGTTTCATCCTCTTCAATATCTCCCCGGTCCGTAGCCCGGTCTTTTTGCACAGCTCTCGCAGCTCGACATATTTTTCCTTTTCAAACGCGTCCTCCTCGACGGCATCGTCAAAATCCCACAACATGTCGGTCAGCTGTGATCTGTACTCGGCGATCTCATCTACTTCAAAGTCAGTGAACTGCTCCAGGAATCTCAAGCCCGAAGCCGTGCATACTGTCATCCTTGAGTGCATCCGTAAAGGCCACGCCGTACTCCACCAAGTGTCGCTCGCAAAGCGGCTCAATGATTTTGAGAATGCGCTCGGCGCCCTTGACCAGCTTCTGACTCTCGGAGCGCATTTCCTTGTTATCGCCTGCGTTCTCGAGTGCGAGGTTGCCCTTTTCTACGACCTCCCTAAAGGGACCGGTCGCCAAGTCGGCGACGACGTCCATCGCGGTAGCCTGAACGCGGCGGCACTCGTTCTGTCTGGAAGGGTGAAATGGCGGTAACGTGGTGATGATGCGCGGGCGTGACGAGCTGACAGAGGTTTATTCACATGGACGAATACCGATCTCAACAGTTGCTTTCGTACCAGTCGTGAGTGACGACAGGCATCATTTCAATATGATGGTAGAGAATGAAGGAAGAGGGGAGGACACGAGGGGGTGTAAGAAACAAGAACATCGAGGCGGCTGAACCGAGCAACCAACCCGGGTGTCAGCTTTCGGCGACCGAAGACAGCTCTAGGCCGGAAGATGGCCAACGGTGGGCGAGTGTGGTAGGCAGACGCAGGGCACAACGCATGTCAGACACCGTCCCGAGACATGCCCTCACCGGAGACCCAGGGAGCATCAGGAAGCCACCACTGAATGTGGGCAGGGAAGCCGGGAAGGTGGCGTCCAGCTTAGAGGCAGATGCAAGTGAAAGTGGTGCCCTAGTTCCTGGACGAAACCGGCATGGTGTTTGATAAACGAGGACAAAAGTCGACATGCTCCGAACACGAAGTTGGGCCGGATGTCTAGCCAGCTACCACTGCTATGCTCTCGGGCGACGTGCTACTACTAGGCAGACCCGTTTGAGTTCGTCTGCGTGGCACATTCTTGAACAGGGACCTGCGATTGGCGATCGCAAGCGATAGGAATGTCATGGAGACGGGTTATCTGGGATTTAGGATCATGAGGGGGAGGGGAAGGAGTCTGTGTCAGCTTCCAAATGCGAGTACGTACCTCTGTGATAGGCGCATTTGGTGATAGCTGCACTTGAGCGGTCCAGGGCGGCTAGGCTAGCGCAGAGGCGCAGTCCAATATTGGGGCCCCTTCTAGCAAACAAACCCACTCAATAGCATGCCGGAACAACGACGCGTGCTCATCTATTAAGCCTGCAGGTCTGCCTTGCCCGATAGGCGATTGATCAAACGGTCATCTATCAACCGTAGATCAGGCTTTGAGACTTTTTCGACTTGGCCGTCGGTCACCACTTCAAGAACCAACAAAGAAGGTAGCAGCCCACTCACTTACACCAAAGAACTCACCATTCATCCTTGTATCGTTGACTCAGTCAAAGTACTCAAAGTTTGTGTACATCGGATTCCAGCCCAAGCTGACGACGTTGAAACGTTAAACCATGTGTCTTTCAATTACACTTATTTGCTAACGATACATGCTCTATACGACATCGGACGTAAGTGGTTAAAGGGTGGCCATGTGGCCTTCGACTACAGTCCATCAAGTTCACGCCCTGTTGGCGTGGCCATGGTTTCAAGCCTTTGTCGAGTTTCCAGCAACGCTCTGAAAAATCAATCGTTAGAAAGCAGCATTGAGTGTTGGACGGCGTAAACTTACTTGAGAAATCAAGTTGCGACCGATTTGAATCACCTCGCCCATACCTCGTTGGCGAAGCCAGAATCTAGTACGTACTCTGTTAGCTTCTGGGCACAGGTCTGCTTTCTTTGAGGGTGACTTACGCTTCCTCGGCGCCACCGTGGCCTTGAGTCGAGAGTCTGCGAGCCTCTTCCTCCAATGTCTTCAACGTGATCATCTCGGTTTTCTCGATACCAGGGGTGGCGGCTTGGTCCGAAACGCCTTGACCCAGGTTCTCCTCAAGGAGTCTCTTCTTCATCACGAACCGCTCCTTCTTCTCTTTTTGCAAGCCAGGGCTTTCCAGCTTCGTCATGACAAGACGGACGACGAACTGGGCTGCAAAGTAGAAGTGCTCGGCCAGGAGGATGCTCAAGAGGAGGCCCCAGGCTTGAATGCTGCCAGGGGCGCTATGGGGTCCACTACCCTTACCACTGGAGCTGCAGAGAAAGACGATCGAGGCGCTGGTGATGCTTCCCAGCCAAGACAGGAAGCCAAGAGCGTTGAGCCAAGGACCGATAGAGTCGGCGCGCCACGGGATGGGCCTCCTACTGCTGATGGCGATCTTGACAGCATCGGATCTCATCTCGACCCAATTGTTGACCAGGAAACAGCAGGCCGCCAGCGGCCAGGCTACAGAAAAGAGAGAAAGGTAGCCAAACTGGATTACCATTTCTCGGTAGTCACCGGTGACATCGTAGGTTTCAAGTTCGGCTTCTTTCCTCACTCGCTCCAAGAAAGCAGATTCCTCGGGATGGTCCTTGATATGGGCCGCATCGCCCTCCTTTGACATCTTGGACTGCACCTCCCTGACCTCCTCGAAGACCTGGCGCTTGACGTAAGGTACGATGACCTCGGTAGCGAAGTTGACCACCTGAGCAGTGACGGTGAAGTAAAACATCTGCTTGCTGATTCGGTCAGGGTTGACGACGAATTCCTGGGTCTGGAAGTTGACGTCTTTCGGGGTAATCTTTTGCGCAGTGGACCGCCAGAAGTCGAGATAGGGGGTGAGACGGTCACCGAAAGGCAGGTAGACGAATGTGGTAAAGAACAGAGCCATGTAGGAAGTTAGGAAGTTCAAAACAAACTCCTTCTGTACCAAGGCCGCGTGATGTGCTGGGAATCGTCATTAGCAAACCATTGTGCGCGCTGGCTGCCGTCAAAACTCACCATCGATTGTCTCGTAGTTCTCCATTTCAGTGAGTCTCGTCGCGAACTTCGTGAGCACCGTAGAGAAAGTGGGTGTCATGACGACCAGAATGACAGTTGGGAGAAAGGCGAGGTATGATTGGAACGGTCCGTTGTATACCTCATTGATGAAGATTTCCAGCGAATTGCAGGTCACGATGAGGGTTCCGAGCACCAAGATGCAGGCCGCGGCGAACGGGATCTGCAGCAGCTGCGTCTGCAGGCGCTTGATGGGCGAGTAAATCTTGACAGACTCCCCAGTGACGGGGTCCTCCGCCTGGCGCTCGAACTCGAACTGCGGACGGGGGTGCTGGATGTTGGAGACGCCGCGGACGCCCCACTGCACTGCTAGGTCGACCTCCTTCTTCTTCCAGAACTCGAAAAAGACGACGGACCACAGGCAGCTGACGAGGGCATAGAACCACGAGAACTGGCCGAGGAGAACCCAGGCCGCGAAACCGGCGGCGGCGGGGACGGCGAGGAACTTGAAGTAGGTATGCATAAATGCAAAGTAGAAGGCGACGCTCTCGCCGAACTTGTCGCGGATCTCGTCGAGATCAGTCTCATCCGTCTGGCCCTTTGTACTCACCCTCTTGATCCACTGCTTGTTGAAGGCGTGATTGTGCAGCGGGAAGATGCTGTCGACGTGCTTCCAGCGGCCCGACTGGGGCGTGATGCCGGCGCCGCCCTCGTTCTTGGGTTTCACAATCAGCAGGTATACGAGGCGCAGGCGCTCGGCGTCGGAGACGGGCTCATCGCGGAGAGCCTGAGAAAGGTCCTTGTCGGAGCTCGTGGTTCGGACGCCCTGGAGCCAGTCTTGGAGCCGGGATCGGTAGACCTGATCGTCGAGAAACTTGTCGGCGATTTTGATGAAGACGAGGACGGACTGCTTGTCGCCTCTCCGGACCTCGGTGGTCAGGCCGACATGGGTCAGGGCCTCGACGAGCTGGACGAAGCCCGCCTCGGCAACGGCTCGGTCTGTACAATACATGCATCAGCCCCCGTGAGCAGGAAAAGGGATTGGAGGCAAGGGCTGGGTGGCTCTCACCTTCTTGCGGGATCTTGTAGTTGATCACAAAGTCCACGCCAAAGTTGGAGTCCAGACCCTTGGTCTTTTCGTTGCTGTAGAGGTCGCTAAAGCTCGCCATAGCTGCAGGCCGGGAGTTCGTCTCAATACTCCTCGTTGAGAGCTTGAGCACGGATGCTATGCAGGTTCTATTCAGGAGGTCGGTACGCGAGGGAGATGGGATGCAATCCCGGGGTAAGCTGGGAGCAAGACTTTCCAAGATTCCCAAAATGCTGAAGATGGCGAGACAAGACGGCCTGAAGTGTTTTAAAGCCAAGTTTGTGACACCCGGCCAAGTGGCTGAAGTAATGACGGCGATGTCTTGCTTGGCAGGTTTTTTTGGAAGGACAGCAACGAGAAAGCTTGGGCGGGACGATTGGGGGAACCGTCACGTCACCACGCAGGGCCCGACTTGGATGGGTGGGTACGGTGGGTTTTCCAGGGAACAAGCTCCAGCCCCTCAGCGCCTCCGGCCCAGTGACACGGCAGCGCCATTCCAGGTTTGGCGTAGCAGTGAGCGACTGGTGGATGTGGCCAGGGCAGCCCGGCCACAAAGCTGCCCCTCGCATAGCTGAATCCTTCCCCCCCCCCCTCCCTTTACGTAAGCACGCGGATAGGTATCAAAGATGTTCAAGCCACATTCAGCCTCACCAGGCCCAAGTTTCCACGATTCATTTTCGACGGATAATTGATTCGCCAATCAGAGGATGTGGAAACCCGGAAACCCCGGGCGATGCCTCCGCGCCAGCTGCCGGCCGGTCGCTCCAGTTGCATTCTCCACTGAGGTGCCGGTGCTGTCATCGGTGGTGGGGTTTCAGCTCGAAGCTCTCATGTGAAGATCAGTCCAATGTGGCCCTAGCCTCCAACCGGCCTCAACAACAGCTCACCGTATTTCACCCCTCTCTGTCACAACGTTACCTATAGACCCCGTATAACATTAATTGACCTCTTCTTTCTTGACAAGGTACTCACTCGGTCGAGGTATTTCGAGGCAAAGAGAAAACGCGCCTCTCGCCTCCGATGACCCTCCTCACAGCCCTCGGCCTCAGTCGCAAGAACGACTGGGAGCCCCCAACACTGCTCGATTCCCTCCTCGCCTCACCTTTGCACCTCATCGTCACGATAATATATAGAATCGCTCTCTTCCTCCGCGGCCGACCGTTCATCCCACCCCGCGACAAGCCCGCCATCCGCATCGTCTGTATCTCCGACACCCACGACCACACCAACGTCGCCATCCCTAACGGAGACCTCCTTATCCACGCCGGCGACCTCACCAACGCGGGGACCGCCGACGACATCCAGGCCCAGATCGATTGGCTCGCCGCCCAGCCCCACCAGCACAAGATCCTCGTCTGCGGCAACCATGACAGCTACTTCGACCCCAGCGCCCGCTTACCCCAAGATCGCGGCAGGACCCTCGATTTCAAGGGCATCCGCTACCTCGTCCGCGACGCTGTGACGCTGGAGTTCAAGGGCGGGCGCCGTCTGAAGATCTACGGCGCCCCCGACATCCCGGCCTGCGGCGGCCCCGAGAGCGCTTTCCAGTATGACCGCGCATCGCCGCCCTGGACGAATACCGTCCCGATAGACACGGACATCTTGATCACTCACGCTCCACCCGTTCGTCGGCCCTCCGTCTCATCCACATCTGAAAGGCATTTCCTAACGCGGTACAGAAAAACCACTTGGATCTGGGCCTGGGTTGCCCCGGCCTCCTCAAAGAGGTCTGGCGAGTGCGCCCGAAGCTGCACGTCTTCGGCCACGTGCACTGGGGCCACGGCCGCGAGGCCGTCCACTTTGACGAGTGTCAGCGCGCCTACGAGGCCCTCTTGTCCAAGCGCCCACGCGGCCTCATCCGTGACTTCTTTCCGCACTCGGGCTGGAGAGAAGCTCTCCGCGTGCTGGGTTACGCCGCGCACGGTGTTGTGTGGAAGTGGGTGATGATTGGGCCCGGCGGCAACACCGGCGGTCTCATGGTGAATGCCGCCCAGATGCGCGGAAACACGGGACGGCTAGGGAACCCCGTGGAGGTGGTGGATCTGTGACCAACGAACATCTCGTTGCTATCTGTATAGAACTAGTACTAATAAATGCATGCGCCCGTTGCGCTGGTGTGGTGGTATCATGACGATGTCTATGCTAATGAATGTGTAGGAAAGGGAGGAAAGTAGGTTTCAGATGCTCCGCCAAATGCTCCGCCAAATGCTCCGGGAACCAGCCCTACCGATCCGCCAGTGATGCCTATTGCTTATCAAAGGAACATCAACACGAAGCGCACCATCGCGATGGCCGCTCCTAGACGCACAGCCCACACATGGCTCCCACCCGCTGCGGAGCTGATCAAAACCTGTGACGGCGCCGGTGTCCCGGTCGGACCTCCGGGAAGGGCCGGAGTCGTCGGCCAGTACCCCGTCGCCGGCGTCGTCAACGGCACGGCGGCGATCTGCAACGGCACCGTCAGCGTGACCTGGCTCGTGCCGTTCGCGCCGCACGCGTTGCACGAGGCCAGCGTCGTCGTCAGCGGCACGCAGACCGCCGCCGGGGCCCTGTCGCCGCAGTACTTGTTACACTCGGGCACCAGGATCGTCGTCTGGTATTCCACGGGGATCAGGGACGCGAGACCGGTTGCGTCGACGGTGGTGTACGTGATGGTCGTCACGAGCGTCGACGTCGAGGGCGGGTGCGGCTCGGGGTCTCCCAGCGGCGGCGGCGGCGGCGACACGTCGTCGGATGTGCGGCCGTAGACGGTGAGTAGGTAGTTGGCCGGCGCGGCACGGCGGTGGAGATGCATGAGGCGCGAGGGGGCCTGCGAGACGCCGGTGGTGCCGCCGCAGAGCTGCACACTGTTGCCCGGGCAGGGGATATCGCAGCGCCCGCGGTCCGCCTCGGCTCTGGTGTCCGGGTCGAGGGCCTCCGCGCAGAAGCATTCGCTAGGGGTCGGGTCGTCAGTACCGGGCTCGTCCGGGTGTTCACTAATGGGGTTGGGCAGATTCTCACCTTCCACGGAGGGCGGCATATCTACCAGGCCTGCACAGGTCAACACACTTCTCGACCGTCAAATCCGGCAGCGAGGCTCTGAGCAAGAACGTCTGGAATCCGGTCGTTGAGCCGTAGCAGCCGAGGTACGCGTACTCGCCGACGGTGGCCGGATCGCGCCCCGGGACGATCGGGTCGGTGGACGGGCTCGGCGGAGCGGTGGCCGTCGGGCCCGCCGGGTTGCCGCTCATGGAGGAGACGAGCACGGTGCCGTTCTGCATGATGCTCGTCATCATGGTGGCGGGATTCGGCACCGTCTTGTAGATTGTGGAAGTGACCTTAATGGTCGTCGTCGTTGTCGGCTCCGCTGGGCCCGCGTTATCGACAGCACTGGGCTGGTATACGTCAATGTAGTTGACCTCCCAGTATCTTTGCTTCATGTCAGCCAAGAACTTTCACTGTCGGTACGTGACAACTCACGCGTTACTAAAGGCATCAGGGTTATTCGCCACGTATTCGACGCAGGTCGGGGCCCGCTGATTGCAGGTATCTCCGTCACTGCCCCATATAGTGGCGGCGTAATCACCACAGAAGTTCTGCTCGTCAGAAGCTCACGTCAGTACATGTATCTTCACCAACCAAAAGTCCACTGGCTCATGGAAGTCGCGGGGACCACCCCCGCTCACGCCGCCATGGGCTTACCGTCTGAATCACAATGCTCATATTTCTGAAGTACCGGTCCACCTCGCAGCTCGAAGTCCCGAACAGCGCCGAAGGCAGGCCCCAAGTAGACGGGTCGGGGGTCTTGGCGACGATGTCGCTGGGGATGCCATGCCGCGGCCAGTGCCAGATGCGGATGGCCTCTGAGGTCCACTCGAGGGCGTATACGCCGCCGCCGACGGCGTTGAACGAATCGCCGTATGTGTGCGGTTGAGACGCGGGGGGCAGGTAGTTGCAGCCGGCGTTGTTGGTGGTCTGTTTGACGCGCGTCAGCGAGAACCGGGGGTGGATTGGAGGAAGGAATGAGGAGCGGGAAACGAGGCTTACACCTGGGCTTTCGCAGTCTCGAAGCAGCGGTTCGCCGGCGGCTTGTGGCGCGTCCGGGAGACGGCATCCTTGCGTGCTGTTCCTTATATCAGTATGGCAGCCACGATGATGACTTGGGGAGATGAACATACGTGTGTCCAGAGATTATATTCGTGGTGGCCTGATTGGCGCCCTCAATGATATCAATCTCGCCATCCACGGGCCAATCCGTCCCGTACATCCAGACTTCCTCCCGATCATGTCAGCCGTTGCGCCTCACCGCCAGTCAGCTCCCCGCTGGGGGAGGAGGCTGTAAGGGAAGAAAACTGCCCGTTCGACTTACATGCTGGCCACAATCCACAGACAGACGGCGGCATATGCGCAAAGTCCCCGATGAACAGGCCATGGTTATATTGTCTCTTGCTCTCGAGCCTCAAGCTCGGCCGCCCCTCATCGAGGCCGTAGACGTTGGTGTTGTCGACGCCCAGCGTCACGGCCTTCGTGTTTGGGTTGATCGAGTAGAGGCCCTTTGCGAGGGCATCGGGCTGGCTCTGGTACCTGTTGCGCCCCGCGTTGTCATCAGCTGAATGATTTCTTGGCCTCGGCTTTCCCCCTCGGCGGGTATGTGTCGGGTTCTGGCTTGGGAAGCACACGTACCTTACAAAGCCATTGGAAGGGTCGTCGTAGTTGATAAAGTTGAAGTCGGAAATGAAGTTGGCGCCAAAGTATGAGTGCGACAGGCTGTAAGCCATCTTGACCTGGCTTTCTTGCCCGCCCTTCTTTGCCGCCTCCTTGTTCTCTTTTCGATATTAGCCGCGTTAACTAGGAAAGGGGGCGTGTAAGTGATCACGGCCCACGAGCAACGAAAGTAGTAAGAGCGAGCGAGAGAGGGAGGGAGGGAGGCTGGTGATCGAGTATGGATAGAACGAAAGACCTCAATCGTTGGCGACAATAGACGGAGAGAAAGAGAGAGAGAGGAAAACGCCACTACAGACTCGCCCGTCAATAATCCTGAGACCTCTGTCCTTATAGCCTCTCGCCCTCACCGTATCCCTTGCACCGATCCACGCACAGCATCACCACCATGCGGGAACCGACGGGGATGACGAGGTCGCTAGTTCAAGTTGAACACACCATCATCGTCCGCCCTCACATCTGGCGAGGAATGCCACGCTGACGCCGCCCGACCCAAGGACCCCAAGGATCCCAAGTTTTCGCTCCTCCTCCCAGCCTCCTTGTCAGAGCCTCGCCTAGACAGGTGAAGTCTGCTTCGCTGCGCGCGATAAGCGCCCCGCTGCTCTCCACCGGTCGGAAGGCGGAGAAGACCCAGCTCTGGGCCAGTCTAGCGGACGGAGGAGGGGGAATCCAATACCAGCATCCCATTTCAAACAGCACAGTCCGGAGAAACCCCAGGGGACAATGCTTCCAAGGAAGGAGCGAACCTTCGGGCTGTAGCAGAAGCAAAGAATCGGAATGCTGCGCTGCTAGCCCGGAACAAGTTGCCTCCTCCGCCCAGACCTCTGAACTGGGAGAGGGGCAAGACATCCTGACGAGTGGTTGTTCGAGAACGAGGCCGAGGCGGAAAGGGGGTTCGTTCGGAAGGAAAGAAAAAGAAAAAAGAAAAAAGAAACCCCCATGCGAGACCAATAATTGTTACCGAGGGACTTGTATCGAATGCCACGGCTCGCAACGGTAGGAGTTGAGGAAAGGGATCGGCTTCGAGGCGGGAGGGAAGACCCCTCCATTCCAGACGGTGGAGGCGGCCCCGGTGGTGCATTCTTCCCCTCGGCCCTTGCTTCCGCCCGGTTTCCGATCCTGGAAGAAGGCCACGAAAACAAGATGCAGTCATCCAGATGAGAGTGGGTATTATTCATGGCAGTTAGTATACGGATAGTGGTAGAGAAAAAAGTCGGAGAAAAAAAAAAGTCCACGGTCATGACCCAAACGCCCCGGCCTGATTCTATTTTCGGCTGATACCCACTCGCTTCTAAATAATCCCTTTCCACCGATGCATGATCCGACATCTTATCCCCAACAACAAGGGGAAAAAATCACCCGGCCTTCCGCGGCCGCTGTAGGAGCCCTTACACCATGATCCGCCTCAGCCCCTCCGTGCCTCCCAGGACGCGCCGGCCAGTGACCGCGCACCGCCCCTGACCGCTCTCCCACTTGCCCTCCTTGTCCCCCATGAAGTCCTCCTGCATGGGATGCAGACCCTCTATCCAGCGGTGGATGCACGTGTAGCAATAGACAATGCCCGTCTGGCACGCCGTCGGCGTGACGATGGCGTCCTTGCAGATGGGGCACAATGACGAGTCCTTTGGCGCGGGCACCGTGTAAATGGGCAGCAGCGACGGCGTCGCGATGGGCGCCATCTCGGCGGCCGGGACAGCCGTCTTGTCGTCGTCGCTGCCACCAGCGGTAGCCTTCTCCTTGCCCTTCTCGGCGCCGCTCTTGGCGGCACCAGCCCCTCCCTTGCCACCTCCCAGGCCCGATACCACTGGTGGCGGGAGGTCCAGCGTCTCCGTCGCCTTGCGCGACAGCTGCTTGGCGAAGTCGGAGGCGTGCCACCACTCGAGGAACTTGAGCGCGAATATGCTCATGGGCAGCAGCAGCGACAGGCTGGAGAGCAGACGCGGGCCCATCTCGCGAGGCGACAGCAGGGACCGCCACCCCGGGGGCGCCCCGGCCCTGCCGCCGCTCGGCTTGCCGCTCGTCAGCGCGTCGATGGCGTGGTAGTCGGCGCCAGTCATCCTCCGCATGCGCGTGCCGATGAGCCACAGGAACGGGTTGTGGTACTTGCTGTTGTCGAACAGGTACGCCAGGTTGAAGGACAGCAACGCAAAGTAGTAGGCTGCGTTGACGCTCGGGTAGATGTTGCGCAGGAACCAGCGGTAGTAGTGCAGGAAACGCTGCTTCGTCGTCGGGTTCGGCGGCATCTGGGTGTAGGCGGCGCCGAGCAGGGCGCGCGGGGCGTTGACCTCGTAGCCCTCGTCGAGCTTCCGCCGCAGGTAGGGGATGCCGACGACGACGGCGAGGTTCATCCACACATCCTTGGTGCCGAGCTTGAGGGTGTCTCTGACGACGCCCGGGGCGGCGGCGCTGGCGCGCGGTATCTCGGCGTGCAGGGCCTTTTCGCGCTTGAGGCCGTAAAAGTTCTCGGTGAAGCTGCCGCCGCGGGTCTTGAGGTAGTGGCGCTCGACGACGAGCATGCAGAGAGCGTAGAGCTCATCGAAGGAGTTGAGGGCGCGCAGGAGATAGCGCGGGTAGCGCTGCGTCGCGACGGTGAGGAGGTAACGGATCGTCGGCGGGAGAAGGGAGTTGAGCTGCTGTTCCGAGATGAGCTCGAAGAGGGACGGTTTCTGGTCGTCGAACGAGCCCCGGAGGGCGGTCATGAACTCCATGGCGGAGGGTCGCAAAGGGGCATCGGAGTGGTGCGATCGCTTTGATTATTCGTGGGCGAAAGCGAGAGGTAGGTAGATTTACCAGGGCATGGCGGTTGAACGCGGTGTGGACTGACGACCGGCCCGTCGTCGGTGCTTGGTTTGTCAGGATTTGGGAGGTTGAAAGTTGTCACAGGGATTTGCCGAGGCACTTCCACTAGCGTGCGTGCCGATGATAGGGGCGTAGAACCCGGGGAAGCCTAGTATGTGGGGCGGAGACCTCACTGTTACAGAAGGGACTTGGACCCCCAACCCGGTATGAATTGGGATGTTGTGAAATCAGATATGGGGGGACTCATCTTAATGGGACGCACAACTGTCTGTCATCATCTTTTATAGAATAATTTTCCTTGCTCCTTTCTCAGGACATCGGACGCCCATCTCATCTTGAAGAGTATTTTTCATAAGGCCCCTCGCCCATCTACACACACAAGATAGCTCTCTCTTTATAGCCACTCAGAGCCACCGAGCAGCTCCTCCCGCCTCTAGCTAACGCTCTCTCTCTCCCGCATTTCTTCATCATGTCCGGAGAAATTCCAGCGAAATTCAAGCCTGTCTTCGACGCCAAAACGGGCGAGGAACGGATCAAGGCCTGGCTCACCCTCGACAAGGACGATGCAGGCAACTTCGAGTCCGGCGTACGTTTCTCACCCCCCCCCCCCCCTCCCCCCCTCGAGACCGAGCACCGCGATGACGCAGCTAACACGGGGGGCCCAGAGCTGGATGAGCGCCCTGAGCCCCTCCATATCCCTCATCTCGGCGTCCCTGACGCCGACCCCGTCCGCCACCTTCGCCTTCACCGTCCGCCCGGAGCACTGCAACCGCGCCGGCAACCTGCACGGCGGCGCCGCCGCCACCCTCTTCGACTCCCTGACCACGATGCCCCTGGCCCTCATCAACGACCGGCCGGGCTACTGGCAGTTCCTCGGCGTCTCCCGCACCCTCAGCTGCAGCTACCTCCGCCCGGCCCCCGCCGGCGAGGAGTGCATCGTCGAGTGCGAGATCGTGCAGGTCGGCAGGCTGATGTGCCATCTGAGGGGGACGCTCCGCCGGAAGCGCGACGGCTCCGTGCTCGCCACGTGCGAGCACCACAAGTTCAACACCGATCCGCCGGCGAGCAAGCTCTGAAGGGATGGAAGGGGGTTTTTTCTTCTTCTTTTTCTTTTTTTTAAAAAAATCCTTAGTCTCAGAAAGGTCTCTGATTTCGTTGTTACAAGATTAATAAGTCAAACTTGTTGCATTGTATCTAGAATAGTACAGCGAGGACAATATACATTCGGAATCCCCCTCCTTCCCCTGCCCGGCCATCACTGGTCGACCAGGTGGTGCCCGTGGAACACGAGGTCGACGAGGTCCGGGTCCGGGGCCGTCAGTGCCATCAGGTCCTGCACCAGGTCCTCCTCGCTCATGTCCTCGTCCTCCTCGTCCTCGCCCCACTCGCCCACCACGTAGTCCTCGTCCTCGTCCTCGTCGCTCGCCAGCTCCGCGTCGAAGTCCATGATGGGCATGAAGTCCCGGAACGTGATCCGCTTCGCGTCGTCTTCCCTCGGGCTCGGGGCCGGGTCCGACACCTTGAAGAAGGCGCTGGGCCCGCAGGGGCCGTGAGGGTCGTAGTCCCTGTTCGCATTTTGAGTAAACGTACAGAGCGCCCTCGTTGCCGTCGGCAGAGAGGGAAAGGATGGGGTGAGAGCGTACGTGTCAAACCAGTGCCCCATGACGCCGCGGGCCGATCCGACGCCCCCGATCTGGATCCCCTCGCTCCGCCACCGCGGGTGGCCGTTGAAAACGGAGAATGTCGTCCACCTCACCTCGCCCTCCTTGGTCAAGCGTACCGTGCCTTTCACTGCTGATCAGAATAAGAATGATTAGCGACCACCGCCGTCCCTCCGCTCGTTCGTTCCCCTTCGGGCAACAACCGCGAGGCAGGGCGCGCGTATCGCGACAAAAGGGCAAAGCAAGCAACGTACCTCGAAGGTTGGAGTTGGCGTTCTCGTCCCACGAGTCGTCCACCGACCGCGAGACGCCGTAAAAGTGTACTACGGGGAGCTCCTTGCCGTCGTTCTCGCCGGGCGGCTGCACGTCGGTGACGTACACCTTCATGACGATGATACGCGTCGCCTCGCCCACGTCGAAGGGGGGCCGCGGGACGTCGCGCGGCGTTCGGTCGCCGATGGGGAAGTTGAAGCTGAAAAAGTCGTTGTAGTCGACGAAGCAGACCACCTAGTTTCCGCGTGTAAGCAGGAGCGTCTCGCGTCTCGGCCCATCACGCCCGCACTTGACAAGGAAGACTCACCCTCAGCCACGTCCCCGCGACGCCGTACGGGTCCTGAAGATCCAGGTCCTGGATCCCCCGGCTCGGCGACGGCACGTAGCTCCTCGCCCACGACCCGGCGAACGGCCTCTCCCACAAGTTCGCAAATACCCTTGCCGTCAGCTTCTGCAGCCGGATGTTGCTCCCGAGCACGATCATGACGGCCTCGACCTTTTCCCAGTCCACCCGCCCCGACCCGTCCTCCATGAACGGACCCCACTCGGTCCTGTCCGTGTTCTGCCGCAGGTCGTACACCTTGGCCGCGGCGTACGGATACACGCGCGTCGACCGCGTGCGGCCGTAGTTTAGCAGCGGCCGGCCGTACAGGCAGTGCAGCTTGGCGCTGCGCTGGTGCGTCTCGTCGGGCACAGACGGCAGCCTGAGTGGCTTCACCTCGTCGCGCGCGCGCTCGTAGACGAAGGAGCGGCTCATGAAGGTCAGGCGTGCGGGCTCCTCGCGGAAGATGCGGGTAAGGGCCGCGGCATTGCGGGACACGGCGTGGGTGCCAGCATCGTTCTGCGTCTCGCCCGTTGGCGATGCATGTTTGAGAAGTCTATCGACGGTCTCGTACACAAAGGGCAGCTCATGGGCCTAGCACATGGTGCGCATTGATGAGTCCTCTGGCCGGGATGTGACGATGGTCTCACTGGAGGAAGGCATCCATCTCACCTGCTCGTGGACTTTCTTGTCGGCGCAAAGGATTTCGAGCCTGACAAAATCATGCACCTCCCTTTCCCAATCAATGTCCTCATCAATGTGTGGGGGTGTATCCTGCGATGGCGGTTAGACGGCCAATGCCGACTTTGGCGATTGCCAAGCGATGAGATCTCATACCAATGTGCTTAGGTACACGTCTTTACAAAGTTTTTGGTTCCCCGTTACAAAATCGTGCAGGAACCGACACGTGCGTGGGATACGTCCCAGGTCGCGGGGTTCGAGGCCCGAGAATATGTGATGCAGGATCTCCGCCGGTAGCAAATTCAGATGCAACGTATTACCGCATGAAGCCTCGTCAGGGTCGCCCGTCGTCGCCATGTCTGTTTCCCTCGGCGGGCGGCTTTAGCTGTGTTGTTTAGAGGGGCGAGGGATTGTCAACACAATCAGGGTTTGATCTCTAGATATGGTTAGATGAGCGGGACGCTCCTCGGATTTGGCAGCGGGCTTGGGGGCTTGGGGGCTTTGGAGGGGGGGGGTTGTTGGCGAGAGGTAGGAAGGCTAATCGGTCGTCGAAACGGAAGCTTAAACCTACGCCCACCTGGCTGGTCCACGCACTCGTGATGTGCGGGGAAGATTGGGGGAGTGAGGACGGTGGTGAACCCGCACGGTGCTAAAGGGACGGCCGCTGGAGGGCTGAGGTAAGCTCCGACGTGCGTATCAGCGCAGTGGGGACGGGCGGTTGAATGAGCCAGGTTCACGCCGTCACGATTCCCCGGCTGAGTTATGCTCCCTCTCCTCTCCCTGCCGTTCGAAACCCCAGTCTTGATGCTTCCTCGGGTAACCGATTTTGATCTCGAGTCTGCTGCACCGTCTAGTGAGCCAATCGGCAAGACTTACAGAACGCATCAGATAGTGTACTCCAATCATCATGACGTACCTACCGAGGTAGGCAGGGTGCTATGGTTATCTAAGGTACCCCTCCCTACCTGACCAAGCGTGCCCCACACGGCGCGTCCGGAGCGGTCGACGAACCCACTCGGACCCGGAGATGACGGATGCGGAAGGCCGTGGGGTCGGTGTATCGACTGCACAACCACGCGCGGGAGCTCAAGAGTCGGAGAAGGCGGCTATGGCAGAGACCAGTTGACTTGGAATATAAATCTGGCCGGTTGCTTTCCATTATAAGAAAATCCGAACAAGTTGTCAGCAACAAGGAGGGGCATGATGATGATAGCCCTGGTTTGAGGGTCGTTCCGGCCAGAGGCTCACTTGAAAGATTGTCCCCGCCTTTCTGCATGCTAACATACAAATTCCATCGTTTACAGCGTCCATCACACTCCATGATGAAGTTCGCACACACACACACACACACACACCGTAATGTCTGGTGAAACAAGGGTGAAAGATGAAAGATTTTCCGACCTAATACACGGACGGACGCAGTAATTAAAATAACATAAAAGGCCCGGGCCGAAAACTCCACGGGATGCATCGCAACCGACTCCCCAGGCGGATATATCTCTCAGCTTGGTTTCTGACTAGGCCTTGAGGGTTGTGACTGTGTATATCGGTGTTGTCTGGGCTGTACTGGATAAGGGCAGTTGCATATATTGTCGGCATTTTGATAGGTGGCGAGATGGCGAGTTAGTTGAACCAGGCACTCAGGGCCGGACTATAGTACCTCTATGGTTTGGTGATCAGCAAGGTAGATGCCCAGACATCTCCATGGAATTCCTCATAAAATTTATATTGTTTTGAGTACCGGGAATGGTACTTTTAGTGTGTTTTCTGACAGTGTATGGTCAAGATTGTGTACCTGTGCGACTTCACGAGGGACCGTCTTGTAATCGTACCTCAACGATCAACTTCCGCATTAGCCCCGTCATCCTCAACTTCCCTCCCATCCGGCGCCCTCCTCCTTGGGTCCGGGCAGGTGGGACATCTCGGTTCCCAGCCCTCCCACACCTCACGTTCAAGTCCCGTGTCAAGGCCTAGTCTGCCATCCCGATGGCTCACGGGAGGGCCGTCCGACAGAGGAAGGGCTAACTGGGCCGTGCCATCAGCGAGTGGGCAACCTTGGAGCGACAAGTGATATATGTGATAGGGCGAATCGTCTTGATGAACTTAAATGCACTCTCCGAGACCTGGTGTCCTCCGTCTCCGCACCAATGCCGCTACCATGTGGCAAACAAAACGTGACGCTTTCGTGAGGAGCGTATCACAGGGGTATAGATACAACAATGCAGAATATAGGAAAATGCAGAAGTAATTCGGCCACCTTGGCCCCCGTCCCTCCCATGTCAGATTATCGTCACGGCGTCCTGATATCCTCCTACAAATACGATACCGAGAAGAGGTATATTTCCAAGTCGAGCCCTCCTGTCGTCGAAGCACCACCATGCGTAACCCCCCTCAACAAGGGGCAGATATTCCCTGCCCGTCCCTCTCCCAAAGAGACCCGCTGTCTCGTCGACGCGGCTTTTGACGTCATTCACATCGTGGCGGCTCCAGTGTTCAGCTGAAGACAGTTGTTGAGAAGGTTGGCACCCTCGTGCAAGAGCTCCCAGCGTGTGGTTCCAAAAGAGTCCTTCAGAACCAGCAACAGCGCAGTGTTGGTGTTGACCCCTTTCATCACCTTGAGATCATCGGGCGAGTTCGCACCGCCATATTTCGTCAGGTATTCCCGCATTTGGTGCACCTGTTCCTGCTTAGTCCCCGGTACCGGTGTCCCAGGGCAAGGGCCTTCCAGGGCGAAACCGTAGCACCAGACGACTAGGGCGGCAAAGTACAAGACCCACGGTCTGTTGAGGAGCACATCGTCACGCGCTGTATAAGGCTCGTCGTACTTGTAACCGTTGGCCTGCGGCAAGTGGTTCGCATCGGGCACAAGGACGGACTTCAGAAACTTTAGTGCATAGAACGTGGCGTCCCGGGCTTTGGCCGATGGCGCCCAGAGATCTCTCATCCTTCTCTGGGCGCTGTTGAGGTCCTGTTGTCCAATGGCCCTTCCCAGAAGCCTTTTCGCCCTAGCAAAGATTTGGCAGTCGACAATGTCAACGTGCATCGCCATGTGAGCAAGATGATGTAACACCGTCCGGCTTTCAAAGACAACGTTGGCATCGTTCTTCTTCGCAGAGTCGTACCGGTAAGGATCAGAAGAGCCTTCGTTCCTCGTCAGCGACTTGTCGAAATCTTCCTTCCAAGCGTCAAAGGCTCTCGTGAGAGTACCTCGCCACTTGTCTCGGCCACCCAGCGCCTGAGACACGCCGCCGCCGAGCACGTTGACTTGAAGGTCCCTTTGGTTCATGTGCCAGCTGACGCTGAGAAGACCGGCCATGAGAACCATGCGGCCGAAAGGGTTAGTTTGCACCCCTTGCCCGCTGAGTGTCCGTTTCAACCCTTCCAGGAAAGAAAGGGGCTTGACCCCGTTGGACAGGAGGTTGGACTCAATCCTGCCGACTTCTGCGCCACTCGTGGCCTTCCACAGAGCATCTTCGCATGGCAGCGGCAGCCTCATTTCGTGAGTGACCATCACCGTAGAGTGCCCAAACATCGTAGCGTGGATCGAGTCGATGACAAATGCCGCAAAGGCAGCCCGCCTGGTCGACTCGTTGGTAATCCAGTGGTTCCACCATTCATCTGCAGTGTGAGCCACGCCCGATGTTGAGGAGTGCCGAGAGCCGTTCGTCTTGTCGTCTCGAGGATTGGGTGGCGAATCGAGGGATGACTTGCCGATCAGCGACCGTCCACGGCGCATCAGGGTGATGGTTGTCGCGTGATGGATATGGGCCCTCTCGTGCAGCTCCCTCGTCGAGTACATCTTCTCGTAGAGCTCGAGGAGGAGAAGTGTCTGGAACACCCACAGCTTGGCGGGAGGTCTGAAGTTCGGGTCCATGAATATTTCCCATCGAAGATGCCAGGCCAAGAAGTTGGACAACTGCGCCCCAGCCTTTGTGACCTTCTGCCCGTGGGTCTTGTCGAGGCAGGCGGCGCCGATTGTCATCATCGCAAGGAGCAGTAAGTTGGGTGTTCTGTCGGGAGAGAAGGTTGGTTTGTGAAGAATGGGGATCTGGTCGCTGAAGTGGACCCAGTACGACCCGATGTACGCCTGCATCATTCGTTTGCTGAGCATGTGGTCGCCATCGCTACGATCGCCTTCAAGGATACTGTCACGCTGCCGCAGCGCTGGAGCTTGGTCGTTCTCGTGAAACCTTTGGTTGATGAAGTCGTAGATCTCCTGGCTCTTTTCCTCGGAGATGGTGGCCTCCGGGAGGTTCTGGTCGAGCAAGTTGTTGACGGCCATGACCTGCTGAGGACCCGAGGGGAAATAGCCCGCCGGCACGCCATCTGTTCCTACGTATGGAACACTGTAGGAGTTTTGCACCTCCCCGTAGCTACGCACCGTTAGCCATGCTCATGTCTCGAAACACACGCACAAGGTGTAGACTCACTTGTTTACGTACCCTGGAGCTACCATGTGGCCCATTGGCGAGCCTTCCCCTTGTTGCGTGTTGAACAAATAGGCAACAAAGTCTTCCGGGATTGTGACATATGGCGATTTGCTCAATATACTGTCGCTTCCAAAGACTGGGATCGTCCCGGGCATGGACATCTGGTCGAGCAACATCATCTCGCCCGATTGTTGGGTATGGCCCTGCTCCGAGTATTCTGCAGAGGTGGTCGGCGCGTACGTTTGGCCCTCGCGGGGTCCGCTGCCCGCCCCGTTGGGGAAATCGGAGGGAGGTAGGTTGAAGGCCGGGAAGTTTTGCTGGTTGGTGTACGTCACAGGCTGAGGGGCGCTGTGCGGTTGGGTGTGGTAGCCGTTTTGACTTGGGGTTGGGGACATGTATGCCCCGTTCGCTTGAACTGTCGGGCCCGGCCCGTTCGGCGACTGCTGCGGAGGCCGATGGGCCTGGAGACCACCATAACCGTTATCGTGATGCATGTAGTTGTTCATGGAACCGGGATGCGCGCCCATGGGGTATCCGGGGGGGGTATTCGTTGCCTGGGCAAACGGGCTACCAGAAACATCTTTGGGGGGCTGGTACTGCATCTGAGCCTGCCGCAGGTTGGCGAACCCATTGCCCGGTCGACTGGTCTCGGGCGAGGCAGACCCGGCCAGGGGAAAAGGAGGCCGATCTGCAGTAGGAGACAGATGGCTCATCAGCGAATCTTTGCGATTCAAAGCAGACCCTTTTGCCGTGTGACGGTCTCTATGACGGTTACACAAGTCGAGCCGCACAAAGGTGCGGCTGCATTCGGGGAAGTCACAGGCATATATCTGCTTGGGTGTGTGGTTCAGCTGGTGACGGTACCTAGGAAACGGTTAGCTGAACAAGCAGTCGCCAAGGCTGCACAGTCAGACATACAAATGCTCGGCCCGAGAGTAGCTTTTCCCACAGCCCTCTTGAGGGCACTCGAACTTCTTGTCCAGGCCTTTGCGACTCCTCCGTCTCTTCCTTGCAGGGCCGCCGTCCGAGTTGGAAGAGCCAGCTTTGCCTTCGTCGCCGTCGGCCTCGTCATCATCCATAATGTCGACATCCTTGTCTTCAGAAATTTGCCGCGGCCTGCCTCTCCCCGGCTCGTGTTCCTGCTTAATGTAGCGTTGCGGACTCGCCCGCGGGTCGTGTTTTGACGCCATCGTCGCAGGACTAGTGGAAGACAGGGAAATGGAGGGTTTGAAGTTGGTGGAGTGCGCAGGCAGAATAGAAGCCATGGTTTCGCAGCTGGCAGCTTCTTGGACCAGATATCGGCATGTGCCCAAAGTAGCATGCGGCGCGGGTCCTGTCGTGATGGGACGAACAACCGCTGCAAAGCCGCCGAACGGTCTGACGCGGGCGTGCCTGACCGATGTAAAGTGCGGGGAGTTGCGGATGAATCTCGACAAGACGGTCGGCAAAGCAGTGATATTCGGCTCAGAACGGGCGGCGTAGCGTTGTTGGAATATGGGTCGGTCCACGGGACTCGTCGCGTGATGTGCGTCGGGCTCCGTTGATGTGCAAACTTGAGCGCAGAATCGTAGTTGCTGTTCCTACGTTCGAGGCCCCTCCAAAGCCAATTGGAGAAGGTATTCAAAACATGATTGAGAGGGAGTGTCTCCCGCCAGCAGAGTCAACGGTGACAGCGGCGAGGTTGAGGTGGCGGAGTGAAGAGCGCGAAGACGAAGTCGAGTCGGAGGACTGGAAGGAGAGTAAGTAGTAAGACCTCCTCAGTCGAGGTATAGACCACCCTTGAGGCGAGATCAGGCAAGGCGAGGTAAGCTGTCGGGGGGGGGTGTGGGTGGTTAGCTAGTGTGTTTTTTTTTGGTGGAGATGGTGGTATTAACGATGGGCCAGCCGCCTGTTGCGGTAAAATGGACGAGCGCCGGCTGCATGACAGAGCGCGAGAGGGGAGGGTGGAGGAGGGGGGTGGATGTTAAAAATAAGAGATGGCAAGGTTGCAGGCTGCGGATGGGAGTGGACCAAGGGACCATGGGCCGTGGACTCAAAGCGTTGCGTCCGGGGATGTAACGACAAAAGGGTCAGGCCGGCCGTCAGGATGAGAGCCAGGCAAGGGACTTCCAGGCAAGCCCAACGCTATCTCCGTTGCCCTGAGTGGCTAGGCGAAAGACAGAGGGGGGAAAGAAAAGGGGGAAAAAAAAGAAGAAGTTTGAGCGCGGGGACGGTCCGGTCTTCCTCTAGGTTTATTGGATAGATAGGATTCTGTGCGATCGTCTTTGGGAAACCAGTCCGATGTCCAGGCAAGAAGGGAGGAGGGAGGAGAAGCAGATGCGATGATGGGTGATGACAGAAAGTGACTGTGATGAGAGGGCGCAAAGTGACAAGAAGAGCATCGTCTTTTTCTCTTCTTTTCTTCATCATCTTCTTCTCCTCCCCCATCCCTTCCTTCCTGGAGAGGGACGCCGCCGTAGGTAGTTCCAGCTGCACAAGCTTCTCAGAGCGGTCCAGCCTCTGGAAAGCAAGACAAGGAAAACCCATGGGCAAAAAGCGTCGCGGTAGACCGAATAGGATGGTGATGTACCGGGTACGCCTAGCGGTGTTCCAACCGTGTGTGCATTGCAGGGTTCTGGTCGTGCACGCTAGGTACCCTAAGCTCCATGGTACCTCGGCCAGGACGGCGTGATCCCTTGGGGCGAAGCGAACCGACGCGAACCGTTGATGTGCGCCCAAGCCTCAGGTTAAGGTAGGTACCTCGGGCTTGAGGCCAATGATGGAGTGTAGGTCGGAGTGCGCCGGTGACGACTGCAGTAGCTGAAGCGGCAACAGGAGTGGTTCGGTAATGTTTGGTCGCATGCCATCCTGTTGGAGTGTCCATCCCCATGAAACTCAACCATGATGCAACGCCCTGGTTGACGGTGTTTGGCAAGATGGATATGATGGTGCCTTGTGTGCGATCCACCGCGGCATGTTTTGACCAGCCCCGAAGCTCTTCAGCCAAGGAGTCGGTTGGAAGTTGTGCATGCGAGAGAGACTGAAAGAAAGTCCGCGAAGGGGGGGGGGGGGGAGGGACGAAAAACATGGAGAGCTGGGGACGAGGGGACGAGGGGACGGGAGAAGATGCGACATACGGGAGAGTGTGGGTTTTCCTCACCTGAAGGTTTTACAGTTGATCGATGCAAGGGCAAGCCTGACGAGACGGCGCGAACCAGAAGAGATGAGATGGGGAAGGTGGTAGGGCTGTAGCGTCGTGGTGGAGCGTGAGCAGACTCGGGGCACACAAACACAAGATGGACTCTTTTGATGCTCCTTGAGCCTGGGGTCGGGTTGGCGCCGAGTACAATGTTTGGTTGTCGTCGTTGGTGGTTGAGGAAAGTGATGGTGTAATGTTGGCCTTGGAGAGCTTGCCTTTGGTCGTGGGCGGTTGATTGGTGGGTGGGTGGTGTGTGTAGTGTCGTCGTGACGCCGTCAGTGGCACCAAGTCTTGGGGAAGTGGATTGGAAGAGGCATTCGATCGTCTGGACGAAGGAAGAAAGAGACCACAAAAGCACGAGTGTGGGGGGTCTCGAGTCTTATGCCACCTCCCGCTCCCAATCCCACTCGCTTTCCCTCCCTCTAAACCCCGTCTGTCTCGCTCCTACTCCTCTTCCTCCTCCTCCTCCTCCTCCTCCACCTCCTCCCGCCTCCCCAGGTGAGCCGACCGACGTGAGCAAACAGCCCAGCCAGGGTCTAGGTGTGTGTGTGTGTGTGCGTGAGGCCTGGGGCGTGGTGCGATGCGATGCAGTGCAAATGCCCTGTCTTGACCTGCCGTCGGCCAAGCAGCAACAGCTTAGCTCTCATAGGCGCGATGGAAGGGTCCTAGCCTGCCAGAGGTGTGGTGGGCCACGCCATGGGTGGGTGGCTTTAGTGCCTTAAGCAATATGGGAAAGCCGGTTGGAATGCTGTTAGGTCCGCTTCTCACTTCGCGCCCTCCCCCCCCCCCCTTGCGACATCCGAGGTGTGCACTCGTGGAGGTGGAGGCGGAAGCGGAGGCGGGGGCGAGGTACCCGAAAGGTGGGCGAGGGCAAAAAGAAAAAAAGAAAGAAAAAAAAAAACAGAAAAAGAGAGACAGAAAGGGAAAAAAAAAGGAAGAGATAAGACCGGCGCGCACTGTGAGGCAGGCAGACAAACCCCGACTCGACGTTTCCTGCCATGAGTTGTGGTGTGGCCGGCTTATCAGTTGACTGACTCCCGTCGAGTTGACCATGATGCGTACGCCTATACCTGACCTCTATCCGTACTCGCGTCTGATTCATCTTAGGTATCCGTAGCCCCGTCTCTCTGCTGAAGACGTAATCTCCTCGTCCCTGTCTGTGCCCCAAGTAGAATGGTGGTGTTGCTGTCGTGCGCTGGATACAGACCAACTAATACCGGAACATTGACAGACCATGTAAGCAGAAAGAACGCCCGGCCAGTATTCGGTACCCTTCGCGAGAACCCGACGAAAAAGTTGACAAGTGACCAGCTCTGTATGTACGTCCCTGCACCTCATCGTTTTGTCGCAATGGAGGAAAACGGCGTATCCGTCCGAGGCAACGCCGCTTTGCCTTGTTTATCCTCGCTCGCTCTCTCTCTGTCTCCGCCCCCCCTGCTTTTGCCAGAATTTTATTTCAAGGCAGAAAAAGACTCTCTCGCCATAGTCTCGGGGCCCATGCGACTTGCGCCGATTTTGCTGACCCTGGCTGAAGCTCTGCCGCGTAAGAGGCCGAACTGCATCTGGCCTATACCTCGCTAGGAGTAAAATATCCAATTCTGGCTGGGGAGGACCCGGTTATGAGCTTGTGAGGTACATACACGTACGAGGAAGCCCACTCTCTCCGTCACATCGCTCGCCCTGTCCTTCGCTCAACGGATATTGGTCGGCAATTCGTCGTGACAAGTGACGGCTCTCCAAGAATCGTAATTCTTTTCTCGTGATAGATCCACACAAGTCTCGGGTAGCGAGGTTACAAGGCGGGTCATGCAGACCCTGCTCCCATCATTGCAGCTCGAATAGCCGTTGGTTCACGCTTGACTGTCGTAAGAAGGCTGCCAGAAGAAAACGACAATCCCCCGGTCATCCTGTCTCTCTCAAGACCGCTCTCATCCCCAAATGACAGGCGTCCCCATGCAGACCGTGACTGGCGTGGTGGCTAGCCTTTACAGGGATGGTCGGCCTGTAAGTTCACTTGAAGAAGACGAGACGTGTGGGGATGGCGGGCACGGCCTGGAATTTGGGCTGGGGGGGCGCGCGCTATCCCCAACCTGCGGGCATGGGTACGTGCACCGGGCCGCCCGTGTCACCTACCTACTTCACTGTCCCAAGAGCCTTCCTCGACTCTTTGCCAGCCTGGGCACTTGGGTTGCTCACAGACGGTGCCGCTTGTGTTCTACGGTGATCGCTCTTGCTAGTTTGCACGACCACGCAATTTGGCTTCGAGGCCCCTTTCCTCTGCGAGATGATTGGGTTGTCAATAGTGCGAATGAGTAGTCGCAGATGGCGGCGGCGCGCGCGCACAAGAGAGAAAGAGAGGGGGAGAGAGAGAGAGAGACTAGGTGGTGTGGGAACAGGCAACTAGGAGGACGATGCTGAAGAAGGACGAGGAGACGAAAGGAGAAGCGTGTGACTTTTGAGGGCTGTCAACCAGCTTCAAATCTCAGAGAATCCCAGGGTATCAAATTCCCGTGCGTGCCAGCCTTGCGTGTTGTGATGAATCGTTCGCGCGTTCCGTCGTACCGAGTCGGCCAACTGACCCGGCCATCGCGCCTAACCTGTCAAATGAAGCTTAGATTGCTCGCCTGCAGAGTTTGAAGATAATCACGTACTAAGCATTTAGCGACATCAAGTAGCACACTTCTCCGATAATTTTCTCTAGCGGCAGCTGCCATGTCGTTGCCAGCCAGTCGTGCATGTCAACACCCCACGCACTGAGGCTGAAATGCGTAATGCGTGGGCGAATCTTCTTCATTGACGCCAGCTGTGTCGAGATATGGTGGGTGGGCTTTTGTCATCGTCCGGGCATCTCTGCACCGCTGCTCATCAGGTGTGTGCGTGTGTGTGTGTCGGCGCGCCATCAATCTGCCATGCCCTTCCCATCTCGTAATGGGTTCCCAATGGGGCATGGCTGCAACTTCGACCAGGAATAGCTGTACTCAACTCTCGTTAGCTATAGAAATCCCCTCACACCGGTCTGTTGCCTCAGACCTAGATCGAAACTCGACAATCTCAAACATCCCTCACAAGGCCAAAGTACTTCGCGCTTCGTGCTTCGCCTTCTTCCTCTTCCTGGAAGACCCTTTTTGGCGATCATACCCCGCGTAGGGTGGAGTGTCCGTTCTCCCACCCCATGAGGGTGTGTCGAGCGAGTCGCAAAGCCAAAATCTCCTCTCTCGGCACACCTTGATGCGACCACAACCATTGGCGGACGGAGAGTGTAGAAAGTGCTAGCCGCAGTTTGCAACGGAAGGAACTTCTGACATTACTTGGGCGGGATCGGGCCATGTGCGTAGGCAGGCAAAGCGACATATATTTTTGTGGTTTAGTGCAGCTTCGGGGCGCAAGCATTGTCGCAGAACTGGGGGTGAGGGGTTTGGCGCGCTTCGCGTAGTAACATGTACAATAAACGTGCAAAGTATGCCTTGAATCTCTCAACTCCGCATTCGACTCGACAGATTGTGGCCTGGGGACATGGAAAGTCATCGTGTCACACTGAAATGTCTGTTCCCCCAAGGGCTGGACACGGATCTAGGTAGTGTAATTCTCTCGATCAGCCTGGTGGGGAAGGCGACAAGGATCTTTTAGCTGATCGCCAGTCAGCATTTTGTGAACAAATCACAGACTGACTCACAGACCCACTATCGAGAGCTCTCAAGGACCGGGGTCTTCTAACAACCAGCTGTCGGGGTTTGCCCCATGAGATCCGCCAACGGAACAGAGAAGGGGGCCGCCGAACAGTCGCCATACAGAAAACCTCAGCTTTATCCTTAACATTTAGTTTCTGTTAATGAGATGGTTTCTTGGCGACTGTTGGCGAGGTAGCCGAATGTTGTCAACGCCCAATGCACGCAAAAGACTATGGAGCCGAGAAACCCTTTCAAGCGCCAGCAGCGGCATCGAGGGTTGCGAGGCAATATTCAAGAACATGTTGGGCTGCCGCGCTTGATCTCTCGCAAGCTTCTACCAAAAGCGGCAACGCCGGACCAACAACACAAGTTCATTCGTCAAGATATTGTGACTGAGAAAAAGCAATGCACCAAACCACCTATCGTTTTTCTCGGACGTCGATCGATGACTCGGTGACATGGAAAGCCATGAAGTCGTACCTCAGGATTGGCGTTGAAAGAAAGTTTGGGGGTCTCATGGTCCACCTGCGTCTGGACGTGGGATGTCCCTAGGAATGTGTGCGAAATCAATCATGTGCGGGATAGCGACCCGGGCTTCTGGGCCACTGCGCGTCTGGCGGGAAGAGAGGGAAGCCGATTCCGCAGGTCAAAATCCGAATACCAAGGCAATACTTGTCGACTTTTTTTTTCCCCCCGGCTGGGACCTTGGACTGTCCTGGGCGCTATGTAAAGCCAGCGGTCGTTGATTGCAACTCGCAAACCCCGGTCAGCGAGATTGATTTCCCAGTGGCTTGCCGATTGACGTAGTCGTCTGCTACTCCGAGACCCAATCCTCCCTTGATGCGGGAATGTGGGGGGAAGGTTGAGGTTAATGGGAAAAGATTGCGGGCGTGCGTTCCCGCAAGGTATTGATCCGAAAGAATTGGATTTCGTCCATACAATCGTCATAGTTTGTGGCGACCGTGTTGACACTATTTCCGAACCTGGGTGTTCTGCTGATGTATAATGGTACCTCGTCCATGCTTCTTAATTGGATCAAGTGCTTACATACCTAGGCACCAGTGTACGCATGTGTCGCGTGGAGAAGACGTCGGCTGCAGATCAGTCCAGACAAGGCAATTGGGACATCGCTTCCGCTCAAATGGGAAGTCGATACTAGACGGGCTTTCGGTTGTCTTTGTTCCTTTGGTCATAGACTCGCGCAACGGCGAAGCTCGGGCTTCTTTGTCTCCCTCCTCTGCCGGGCCTTATCGTCTGGACTTTGATGCTGGGATGATGTGACAATGGAGCTGAAGGATTGTCACCATCATCTCCGCCTCCGAGGCTGTCCTGATTGGCCACCAGTGTCCCGAATTGTACTTGTTACTTGACCGGGTACGACCAAAGCCTGCGAGGTTTTGGATGCTGGCACCTCTCCGTGGATGGGTTAAATATTTGTGTGGTAACTTGGACTAGCGATCGGCAAGGAGGAGGGGATTAGCTCGACATGATGCCGCCGTTCACTATCCTGTACCTTGGCCGCAGGTAGGAAACTAGATTTGTTTTACCAATCCAGATTGCCGGCTTGTTCCGAACATGGCTGTGAATTACTATAGATGGAGGGGAGACGATGGTCTTGCCAAACGCGCCGCGGGAGGAGATGGGGAAGGGGCCGAAAATGTGAGAGTGTGCAACTTAGGTAAGCACGTGCGGTCAGGTCCGATAGATACGTACCGCCTGTTGCGCCTTCAGAGACACCTGGATGGCAACTCCCAGGCACAGCGTTCGCTCGCCGTCCACATCAGACCCCGAAGCGCCCCCGCAGCTCACTTATCGACGCCAGGCAGGGAGGGCCCCTGGGCAAAAGCCAACCCGGTGCAGCAACCAACTGCAACGGCGCCGGTGCCAGGAGCCATGACGTGAGAAAAAAATCCCCTTCTCGTTCCCCCCCCGGCACCCATCGCTTCCCTCTCTCGCACCACCTCCTCCCCTTATCTCTGCACCGACTACGATGTGACACTTGGTTACGTCCTTTCTCCCCAACCCTGCGACCTTGACCGAACCCAATCACGACTGGCCTCGGCGAATTCTCAACCAAGTTCCTCCTTCGTCATGGCGCCCAAGTCCTCCAAGGCCGCCCACGACGATACCAAGTCTGAAAGCACTGCCCCCAAGGAGAAGCAAACACCTGGCTCTGGCGGCCATCACTCGAACGGAAAGCTGCGCCGTGTGGCCAGCTCGACGGGCTCTCAGTTGCGGGAAGTAACAAACGCAAACGCCGCCGCGGATGTTCAAGTCGCTGCAAAGGAGACGGCTCAGAACCCAGCGGTAAGCCTCCTCTTGTCGTGACGCACCGTCGTCCCCTCGAGTTCGCTCCACAAGACACCACTCGCTGACCTTCTCTTCTGGCAGATACAATGGAGTACATTTGACCGAGAAACCCTACATGCATACCGACGCGAGCACCATCTCAACACCCCCACCTCGTTTTCCTGCTCCTACCGTCAACTGGTCCTCTCACGGCCCGGTGGCATCGGTCTACACTCCCCTACGATGGCTCGGAAGAAGGAGAGCAGAAGACAGAGCAAAGAACAGCTCACGCTGTCTGTGCGGAAGCACTTCAATGGGCTTGGGATCCAGGAGAACGATATCATTGTCGACTTCATCCACAAGGTTAGGAGTCACGCTATCACAAAAAGCGACCGTCACAAAAGGTCTACATCAACACCTCACGACGCATGACAACCTTGTATAATGGACAAAGGGTTTCCTTGGGAACTGGAAGTATCGACGAGAGCTGACTGATATACGATTGTGTCGCTGCTGGAGCATAGCCTGGCCGACTGTTTGGGCGATTTGGACTGCATAATGATACCTCACCATGGGCGGGAACCTCATGACGAAAGACGACAAAGGCAAAGCCCTTTCTCGCAGTTTTACATAGCTATGATCTACAACCTACTCAGTAATGATATCTGGCGTTTTTTTCTTGGATCCGGAGGCTGGGATCGGCTTATAACATTACGCTTTGCATTGGGCGCCCGCCATGGGTTTAATTTGCTGGTCCTCCGAGCCCCGGCACAGTGTACCTGTACCGAGTATCCGTATCTGCTCTGAGATTTACTATGGTATGGATAGAGCGCACACAACGCGCAATGCCGCGAAAGCATGTGGGGCCAGCTTCGCGAGCCACTTAAAGTCATTGATTGCTGACATAAAGCAGACACTACGGATACAACAGTCACTATCAATCCGTCCCCACCTTCCCCCCCGCCCAAGCCACCCCCTGCATCCACCCGCACTGCGGTGCCGCTTGTGCCTGAGGCAGTCACTGCAGTTCGGCTTAGCATCGTGCAAAAAAAAAAAAAAAAGGTTGATATCATCCCGTCTCTCAATGGCATCGAAGGGCAAAGAATTTGCGGGAGAGTTCCACTTGCGCGTCGATGCTTTTTCGCGTCCCCGGTCGATTTAACCCCTAAACTCTGCGTAACAACTGCTTCAGATGCACCGTCAAGCTTCACAATGAATGCAAGCATTCTTACCAAGGCAGCGGCCCCGGGCCGCCTGTTGTCCAGCCGCATCTCCCGGCAATCCAAGCTCAAGGACTCTGTCTGCAAGCGCGCCCACATTCACACCGTCACTTACACCGTCCGGCCCACGAACTCCTCGGCTGCACGGGCGACATGTCAAGCTCCCGTGTCCAAGCATGTAAGCGTCGCCGCATGCCAATATATATGTATATCTTGCTGATTAGCTTGTGCAACAGGCCTTCCACGCGACGTCCAAAACCTTCGCCCCGAGCGACCCATACAAGACCCTCGGCGTCGACAAGTCGGCGTCTGCGGGTGACATCAAGAAGGCATACTACGGCCTGGCGAAGAAGTATCACCCCGATACGAACAAGGACCCCGGCGCGAAGGAGAAGTTTGGCGAAATCCAGAGCGCATACGAGATCCTATCGGACCCGAAGAAGAAGCAACAATTCGACCAGTACGGTGCCGCTGGCTTCGACCCCAGCGGTGCACCCGGCGGCGGCGGCGACCCCTTCGGAGGAGCAGGAAACCCTTTCGGTGGCGGGTTCGGCGCGGGAGGATTCGGCGGCGGGTTCAACTTTGACGACATCTTTTCGGCATTCACGGGCGGTCAAGGATCCCCGTTTGGACGCCGCGCCAGCGGCCGGAACCCGTTCCAGCAGGAGATCCTGGTCGGTGACAACATCGAAGTGCAATCGAGCATATCATTCATGGAGGCGGCCAAGGGAACGAGCAAGACCATCACCGTGACGCCCCTGACCGAGTGTGGGACGTGTGCGGGCAGCGGCTTGAAGCAGGGCACCAAGAGGTCGGAGTGCAAGTCCTGCAACGGAACCGGTACGCGGGTGCACTTCATGAACGGCGGTTTCCAGATGGCGTCGACATGCGGAGCCTGCGGCGGAACCGGTACGACCATCCCCCGAGGCTCGGAGTGCAGGCCCTGCGCGGGCAACGGCGTCGTGAGGGAACGCAAGACCATCACCATCAACATCCCCGCCGGCATCGAGGACGGCATGAGGCTGCGGGTCGATGGCGCGGGCGACGCGCCCGTCACGGGCAAGAACGCCGACCCCAACGTGCGGACGCAGAAGGGTGACCTCTACGTCTTCGTGCGCGTGGCGCCCGACCCCAAGTTCCGCAGGGCGGGCTCCGACATCCTCTACACGGCCAGCATACCCATCACGACGGCCATGCTCGGAGGAGAGGTCACTGTGCCCACGCTCGACGGGCAGGTGAACGTCAAGGTGGCCACCGGCACCAACTCGGGAGACAGGCTCACGCTGTCCGGCATGGGCATGAGGAAGCTCGACGGCAGGAGGGGCGGATCCGGCGACCTGAAGGTCGAGTTCAAAGTCAACATGCCCAAGTATCTGAGCGCGAACCAGCGCACCCTCGTGGAGATGCTGGCGAACGAGATGGGGGACAAGACGGCCCGGCGGATCATGAACGTCACGCCACAGGGGTAAGACAGCAGCGGCGCTCCCCTACCCATCCACCCTCGGCGATCGCGCCGTCACCCGCAACCACTCCTAGTGCTAATTCCATCAAGCAGAACCCAGCCTGTGTCGCCGGACGACTCTGAATCCCACAAGAACGAGGGCTTCCTCAAGTCCATGTGGCACACCCTGACGAACCACCCGGCCCACCAGAAGCCCTCCGAGGCGGACGCGGACAAGTCGGCGACGGACAAGAAGACGGACGAGAAGAAGGACGATTCCAAGAAGGACTCTGGCTCCGGCTCGGCGTAAAGGGGAAAGCCCTGGAGCAAGATGTGTTCCGTGTTCGTTTTGTACCAACATATTCGGCCTTCCATGCGGCTGGCTAGGCGTGTAGAACGACTCTCTGTTCGCCAAATCGATTATAGACTCAAAGGAAAAGGGAAGTCGGGGGCTTGCATGGCAGGGTGTTCAAACGGTTGATATTTCTGTTCTATCTTGTTGTTGTTTCCCCCCTTCGTAATCCAAGTAGTAATCCCCCAACCTGCCGTAGGCCGAGAGCGGGGGCGGAAGGGGTTCGTACAGCGGAACGGCCCCATTCTGGTCTGGAGACGGCCATTTGCTTGCTTGTTGTATTATTTTACAGAGAGTGTACAGTGTAGTATAGACATCGGCGGGCGGGGGTGAGAAGAGAAGGAAGGATTAGCCAGCCCTCAGAGAGGCCACTCACCTCAGATTTTGTACAAGGAGACCACACACCCAATCAATAAAACAAAGACAGTCTATAATCCAGCGGGCACCAAGTCGGCAGCTGTCGAGGCGCGTGGGTTGACTAAGCTCGGGCGGTTCGTTGTGATGTGCATTTGCGTGAGGTCTAAGCCATGGGGCTTGTCTGCGTCTGATGGGAGAATGGCGGTCGGACTCGAGTCACAGGCAGTTGTTGGTCGGCACGTTGATTCGTTGGCTGTGTGCACCCGAAAGAGACGAGGCGCAGAACGATAAGCGGACCGGTCGCATAATGGGCTTTCCTCTGAAGATCATCATGCCCTGGATGCGTTCCGTTGCTGTGGGAAATGTGTCTTTGGGCTCGGCCGTGGGGTCCATGACCATGGGTGCCTCTCGAATGCTTTTGGCCGAGGGAGCTCTCGACCACGGGCAACCAAGCACCGAGACGGGCGGCTAGGTAGTTACTAGTTGGTGTACCTCCGCACTCGGGGGACAAAAAAGACCGCCGGTTTCCCCCTACACAACAGCCACCCTCACCACCAGTACTACAGCTCCTGCAATAGGCAATGCAGCTTTTTACATGCTAAAAATATACATTTGTGAGGACTCATAAGACAAGAAAGTCTATAAAGTGTATGAAAGTATACATCTTACCTATTTTCTGGTATCTAAAAGCAATAGGGCCATAAGATAAGGTCCTTCAAAACCAGCGGTCTTTTTTGTCCCCCGAGTGCTCCGTACCGTAAGCTTTGAAAAGTGAAAGAGAGGTCAACCTTGCAAGGAGCGGGCCGTTCGGGCCTGTTGAGGGAGGTTGCCCGCGCGGGTCTGCTCCATCCCCCTGCTCAGCAGCCCATGTGGGGCCACGAAGCGCCGACTGACGACGCCCAATGAGTGGTCGTGGTGGAGGGGCAACTCTCTCTGTGGCCCGTCACCTGCATGGTGGGCGGGAAGAGCAGAAGACCAATGTCGATGCACGGGACATGGGCTGTCGAGGGTGCTGAAGGCGTTAGTGAGATTGCGGATGTAAGTGGTTTTGTGCGTGTATATATATATATATATATGAGAGGGAGAGGCAGAGGGTGAGAGGGGGAGAGAGAGAGGCAATGCTACATCTCTCTGCCTCGTTTGTAACCAAAGTCACACACCCGAAATGGGGACAAGAAGAAATAAGGAAAGGTAATCAGCTCAATCATCTGTATGGATGTGGATGGTGGTTTTGTAAGGGCTCTTGGATGACGACGATGATGCGCTGACTGACTGCAGCCTAGGCAATAGGCCGTACGCAGTAAGCCACAATGGTACCGTGATGTGAGGTTGGTGCGGCCAGGGGCCAGGGGACACCACGTATGCGAAAGCGATAGCTTGTTTGGGCCGACATGCTCGGAACAAGATGACACGGGGTAGAGTAACATGCGGCAATGGAGGAGCGTTGCATCGGGCACGTCTCACTGTGATCCAGCCGAGGGCAAAGGATAGGTTGTCCGGCCATGTCGATGCGGGAGGAGAGCTGTACTATCTACGTGAAGTGAGGCGACAACGGGGGTGCCGAGAACACATCTCGTTATCGAGCGTATATACCTTTGGTTACTACCAGGGCTGTCTGCCCCTATGTGCTCCGCGGTTGACTTGTGTGATATTGGCTGGCCCCGATACAGAGTGCCCACGCTCGGGATAGCTGCCCAATCGAAGGAATGCTGGCATGTCCTCGAGACTTTTACTCGTGGCCAGTTTCGAAGAAAGCAGCGGAGGGAGGACGCAGTTAAAAACCCAGCCAGGGTGTACTGTAGCTGAGGGGATGAGATGGACGATGCACCACGATGCCAGTGAGTTGCGAGAGTCGTAGTGTTGCACATGTCAACGACATTCGCATCATGTGAAATAGTTCATGGCTGCTTGGATTGGCTTCCGGCAAGAGTATCCTGGAGAGATGAAAAGCACAAGCAAGCTGATACTCAGTCGTTAGATGCGCGTGTCTTTGGTCCACCGTGTTATTACATGCGAAGTGTCAGCATCCATCCATCTAGTTTTGCGTGTACGACGGGCAGCACCCGCCCCCGAAGCCAGGACCCCGCCAAAAATACAGGAACATCCCCGGTTCGGTTCCCCAGTGGGCAACAGTCGCTGCCTGGCGGCTACGCAGCACGTACGGATACTACGACAACCCAACGTATCCTCTCCCGGTCCGCGTTATGCGCCAACGTCAACACCACCGACAAACAACAATTGGACGACGACGGTGACGACGGCGACGACGAAGAACAGCGCTCAGTCTCCTCTCATCTCCAATCTCTGAGCTCCGTTTGGTGATTCCATCTCTGGGGCGCTTCGTCCACCAAGCATATATCAACTGCCTGCCACTACCAGAGGCACGACCCTGGAAGCTTCACAGAGAAGAAAGTCGAGACGCTCAACGACGCCGAGCCATCACGGACGGATAGCTGCCCCGCCCTCAAGCTCTCCACCCCCTTCAGGCCTGTTTCGCAAATTGCCATCTCTCATCTTACCGGGTTCCCCCGGCAGTATGACCTCACATAAACACGAACTCTATATTCCTTCACTTCTTCGCCAACATTAACCGACGGGAAGAAAAGAAGGGGGAAAAGGAAGAAAAAAGAGAGAGAGAGAAAACCGACGAAAGAAAAAAAAACCTGCAGCAACCTGGGCTTTGGAAGTTGGACACCCCACCATCCTTCGTCTCTGACAAGATATATGTATCCGCTGTCATCTCATCGTGCCACCCCACACCCACACCGGCGTCCTCATCGAACCAAGTAAGCAACTATAATCAAGGCCGGCTGCAGAACAGCAGCCCAACGTCCGCCGGTACCGCTAACCCGGCTTCTGCACAACACGCACGCACTCACGCACTCACTCTGACGCCAGGCACCCCCGAGCTGACAGCAAGAGTACGTACCCAGCCATCACGGAGCTCCAGCGCACTGACACCCGACTTGCTTCCAAGCCTCTCGCAGTCCGAATCGTCCCCCACCCCGCACTCCGCCTATTCGTACCACAGCAACACTGAAAGCACCAGCCCAGCCCAGCCCAGCCCAGCCCAGCGAGCGACCCGACCCGAAGAGCTGCATCCGTCCACCTCCCAGTTACGTTACCACTTCTTCGCAAGGCCACCTCTGACGAGGCCCCATATGCCACCCAATCATTCCGACATCTGAACGAGGCTGCCCGTCTTCGCAAGATACCCGACCGAGTGCGATTCATTGTCGCTCGCGACAACAACAACCCCGCCCCCGCCCTCCCCCCGCCATCCTCCGGGTCGAAACCTGCTCCTCGTCGTCATCGTCGTTGTCGTCATCTGTCAAAATGACGCAGTCGCCCATGATCTCGTCGCCGCTCAAGGCCACAAACGAAATCGACTGGGTCACCCCGTTGAAGGACTACATCAGGAACACATATGGCGATGATCCGGAGCGCTATGCCGAGGAGTGCGCCACCCTCAACCGTCTGCGACAGGACGTGAGAGGCGCCGGAAAGGACAGCACCTCGGGCCGCGATATGCTCTACAGATACTACGGCCAGCTCGAGCTGCTTGACTTGCGCTTTCCTGTTGACGAGCAGCACATCAAGATCTCCTTCACATGGTACGTCTCAACCGCCTGCCCCCTGCCACCTTGCAGCCCAAAGCGTCGTTTGCGCATACTGACCACCCACGGCCTCGCAGGTTCGATGCCTTCACGCACAAATCGACGGCGCAATACTCGCTCGCGTTCGAGAAAGCCTCAATCATATTCAACATTTCCGCCGTTTTGTCATGTCACGCCGCTCACCAAACGCGATCGGAGGAGTCGGGCCTCAAGGCCGCGTACCACTCTTTCCAAGCCTCCGCAGGCATGTTCACTTACATCAACGAGAACTTCCTCCACGCACCCTCGTCCGACCTCAGCCGGGAAACCGTCAAAACGCTCATCCACATCATGTTGGCCCAAGCGCAGGAAGTGTTCCTGGAGAAACAGGTGGCGGACCACAAGAAGCCGGCCCTGTTAGCCAAGCTTTCCAGCCAGGCAGCCTCCCTATATTCGCAAGCAGTGGAAGGTGTCCAGGATAACTTCAACAGAGCCATTTTCGAGAAGGTCTGGCTTCTCATGGTCCAGGTAAGAACTGCTCTAGCCGGTCCCCCGGCATAACCTTCGGGATGCTTCCACCCAGGTGCCTCGGCTTAAGACTAACCGTACCAGGTCAAATTCAACCTTCTCAGCTCCATGTCGCAGTATTACCAGGCCCTTGCGGACGATGAAGCTGGTCAGCACGGGATTGCTGTTTCCAGGCTCCAAGTGGCCGAGACACAAGGAAAGGAGGCAAACCGCATCGCCAGCAACTTCCCGAGCTCGGTGCCACCCAGTTCCAACCTAGGCGCCGAGACCGGCGGTCTCCTTGTCGACTTTACAAAACGCCATTTATCGACAGTGCAGGATAAGCTCAAGGAATTCACCAAGGATAATGACTTCATCTACCACCAAAGTGTCCCTGCGGAGGCGAGTCTGGCACCTGTTCCTAAGCTCCCAGCGTCAAAGCCAATCCCTGTCAGCGAATTATACGCTGGTCAAGATATACAGCGCATCACGGGGCCG